ATATGATTACTTTAATTAAATTGTTAATATCATAATTATAAATGAAAATAGATTTATAGATTATTTAAATTTATAGATAAAAACTGTACTCTATTTTTGTGAAGTCTTTTAGATTTAAAAATGATTGAAAACATAAAGTTTTATATTTTGATAAATTTATTGATATTGTATTTAAAATCTGATAAAAACAATAATAACAAGACATTAACAATTTTTCATTATTTTTGAGTCAATATTTTACTGTATTTACTGTTTTACTGTATTTATTGTTTAATTTTAGTTGATTTATGAAATAGATGTGAAATAAAATCAACATTTTGTTGAAATTTTGATTAAAATAGTATTTTTCATTGTATTGTATTTTATTTACTTTATAATTCAGTCTTTTACTATAACTTAATATAAATCTATTGTTGGGTTAATTCGTGTGTGAAATAAGAAATTGAAAATAATTTTTCATTGATTGTCAATAACTGTCGTTTTAAATCATAGTTTATTTTTAACTTATTATTAAATTTAAAGTTATATTTGATAACTATTAATTAGTACAAATTATTTTAATTATAAAATTAATTTACAGTATTTAGTGTATCTTAATTGAATTGAATTAAATAATTTTTAAACATTTATTAAATATCTGTATTTGTGACTATAATATGAATTTTGAAAAATTACCTATTAAAAATCTCATCCCTCTCAAAAAAATCAATATTTTTATTTTTTACCCACACTATACCCCATTGGGGTGATTCACATATTACGTTTGCACTTTTTAAGAAATCTAGACCCCATAAGAAATAAAATACAATACCAGTATATTTGTAAATTATTTAACTAAAATTAAAGTAATAATTTAAATCATGTATTATAAACATGGAATCGACATTAACTTTAGAAATAGTGCTTCACATTAAGTTTGACATTTAATTTAAACAATAAAATAATAATTTAAATAAATATTTTATAAAATTATTTTCACTTTTAAAATATTCCAAAAACTAGAAATAAAACTATTTCTATTGAAGTCATATATTGATATTCATTCAAACATTTTTTATACGAATTATTTAAATGCCAACATTCTTAAGATCTCTACCCCTCCCTCCCCTCGTTAGCAAAAGTTTGATTTGACAGACACCCCTCCGTAATATGTGAATTACCCCTTAGAATCAAAACATTGTTAATTTAAAGATTAATAAATATATTGATACATATCGATAAAAATCAATGTATAATATGTATAATAAAATCTATAAACTTTGATGAATTACTTCAAAAATACAGTTAACTACAAATTTTCGTTTATACTTTAACATTGGAAAATAAACTAAAACTATGTTTACTCTATAAATACTATTGTAATGTCAAGTTAACTATATTTTTGAAGTTTATAGATTTTATTATACATATACATTGATTTTTATCGCCATGTATTAATAAATTAATTTATTAYATTTTAGAAATTTGTTAGTTGATGCATCAAATAAGTTAAATAAACATTTAATGTTTTTTAAAATATATTTATCTATGATTTTTTGATTTTGTATTTTTAATTGCAGTTATATATTATATTTTAAGAAATATACATTTAATTTGTTGTCCACATGTATTGATTATATATTTTTTAATAAAGATCTAAAAAATACAGATATTAAAAAATCAAAAATTAAAAAAATATGCCAATAGTTATTTGAATAAATTATAAAAATGTTGTCATTTTATTCAGTTACAAAATAATGCACTTTAATGTGTGTACATATTGTCTATTTATCTTTATTAATAATGTTACTTGATAAACTACTAAATTTTAAGTTAAACACAACTTTAGAATAATTTTTAATAAATTTATTTTATTTTTAGTATAACTTTAAATAAAACTATAAAATATATGTTTCTCATATTCTCTATTTAGTGTATACGGTATTTTCAGATCACATTTCTAAACTAATATTACTTTAAATGAGTTATTAATATTAAAAATAAAATACTTTTAATTTATGAATTGAGATTATATGACATTTTTTATTACTATTTGTTAAAAGTGCATAATTTTAGTGCATTTTATATTTTATACGTACTGTACATAATGTAGATTATTAATTGTTTGTTTTTGAAAGTATTAAATAAATTAATGTTTCATTAAATCATTACAATAATTTATGATACAATACTTTTTGATAAATTTGTAAACATTTTATATAAATTTATATAAAACTACAAATCTATTAATCAATATTATAGTATTATAAGTATTGTTTTCAAATATTCAAAGTTATAATTACTATTTTAATAATTCATAAAATAGGAGTAAAAACATATTCTTAATAAAATTTTGGATGTTTATTATAAACAATTAATTGATATATTAAATATATTAATTAATATTTAAATTTTAATAAGAATTATAATTTATAATTTTTTCAAGATTTAGATAAAATTATTTAGAAATTATTCATGAAAATCGACAAAATGGCGGCCAAAGTATAAAAATTGCAATTTCTGTGATTAAAATTTAGATGATTAACATCTATAATATGATTGTCTGAAAAAGTATTGATCTCTGTATTGTCATAATAATTGTCAAAATAGACGATTGATTTTAGAAATGTATAAAAGTTATCATATGATTCATAACAATTTATATTATAAATTAATAAGTCTGTTGTTTTTGTTGAGTTATATATATTAAAGAATTAAAGGTTAAAGAATATTGTAGTTATTTTTAATTTTTTTTAAATACTTATAGTTTATTTTTTATTATATTTATAAATTATATATAAAATATATATCTTATAAAAAACAATTATTTAACATAATGAAGTTTGTTTAGGCAATACTATCATACTATTCTCAACTGGTTCATGTTATACCGGTATAATACGGTATGTACCGGTATATTGTATAATGTAAAGCACTTAAAAGTTAATAATTTCAATTAAAATAATAATAGTTAATAATAACAATAGTTTAAATGTAGATTTTGTTTAATATTAGTGTTAGTGATGTTAGTATTACTTAAAAATAATTTTCATGGTTCGCATAGAAGTATATTATTCAAATATTATTATATATAAAAGCGAGAAAAGTTGAATTTTCCTATTTTATGGAGATATAGATTATTAAATAATTGTTGCATTTATTTTTGATAAATGGCTGTATATAATATTAAATTTGAAATATATTATACATGTATTGATATAATATTTTTAAATATTTAATTTACTGTAATTTAAAAAAATGGAATTATTAGAGTTTTTTCATACAACTATTTTATATCTGCTTTAGATTATAGACATAAAAATTAAACATTTATATGAAATAATTTAGGTAAAAATTTTCAGCAAATATTGAGTTGATAAAATTAAAATGATAAATGCAAATATTATTAAAAAAATAATTTTAAAATGTTATAAATAAGAAATTCAAACGAGAAATCAATTTTCAATTAGGAAATAATTAAACTAATCTTTTTGTCAAATCTAGCCATTTGTGAAATACGGTTACAATTATAATCATTATTTTTTTATAAATCTTAAACTAAAAATTGTTGTATTGACCCAAAGTATATAATGGTAATGCCTATCGTTATAATAGTATACAATGAATAGCTTTATAAAAGATAACATAACTTCCCATTTCATGACATTTTTGTGACATTTGGTTTACTGTAATGTTAACAAAATATTCACTATAAATGTCTATATATAAAAAAGTGAAACACATGCAATTTTTCTTAAACTAAAACAAAAAAATAACAATAAAAAATGTATCAAAATATTGATGTTTTTGACTTTATTATGTTAGCGATATGTCATACAATAAAGTCAACTAAAATAATGATGGGTTTTAAAGTTATGTATGTATTGAATATCAAACAAGTCGTTATTTTACTATATGTTAAAATACTATATTATTATTGATGACAATTGTAAAATATTTTCATTTATTTTTGTTGTAAAATATTGTTATTTAGTGTTAAGTTAAATAATTTATTGCATGTTAATTATATAAAACATATTTTAAGATAATATATTTGCGTTTTTCAAAAAAAAAATCAAAAAATAAAATAAATATGCCAATAGTTATTTGAATAAATTGTTGAAAAATGTTGTTATTTTATTTTGTCACAAAATAATGCACTTTAATGTGTGTATATATTGTCTATCTTATCTTTTTTTAATTTTTAAATGATAGTAAAGATAGAATATATTATAGATAGTATAGATAGGTAGTATAGTATATTTATTTTTATTAATAATGTTACTTGATAAACTACTAAATATCAATTTAAACACAACTTTAGAATAATTTTTAATAAATTTACTTTATTTTATTATGATAACTTTAAATAAAACTATAAAATTTATGTTTCTCATAAAATAAGGTTTAATTGTTTATAAAAGTTTAAGTAATATAAATATGTAATTATTTAATTTAAATAAATATTTTGTTAAATAATTCATACAAATTCAATTAAGTTATACATGAGTGACAAACATGTTGTAAATTCAAAGATATTGCCAACAAATGTGAGAATATGTTGAAACCTTATTTCAAATAAAAGCAAAATAAAGTAAATAAAGTTTATTAATATTAATGGTAACACAATTTAAATAATTACATTAATGAAAGCAAAGCAAATGTCTATATGAATCTCAATGTATTTAATTTATTTTACTATTTTTTGTTAACGTATTATTTTTTTGGCGACAATTTATGATAATAGTATTTTTATATATAAATAAATAAAATTTTGTTGATTTGTCAATTTTTTATATAATCAATCATGATTCAATTAATATTTGATTGAGATTTTAATTTTATTTTATAATTACAATTAAATATTCTTTTATAAAAATATATTACATATAATATATTATATTAACTACTAAATATAAATTATTTATTTTTATTGATTTAAAAATTAAAAGATTAATATTTAATTTTAGATTTCTTATATAAAGATTACTTTAAATTTAAAATAATCGACAAATCAAAAGATGTCTTACATTGAATATAATGAAAATACAACAGATATTGACACAAACATAAGTAATAACCGTATATTTATGCAAAATCCGTATGAAATACTGAACCCTTCGGCTATAAATCCAGGTTTGCTTTTGATTAAAAAATATTTGTTTAATAGTAAATACAAAATATTGATAATATATTTATTTTTGAATAAAGCATTTATACCGATAATCGTGACCCACGGCATCACATTTCTTATCGGAATTATCGGTAATATATTAGTTATCATTACGTGGTCTCTGAGAGGACGACTTCGGTCACCGACGGCTGTATTTTTGGTTAGCTTAGCCGTCGCTGACATGTTGTTACTATTAGTGTTCGTCCCGTTGGAAACATTGGAATATTTTGTCATTAGTTGGGATACGGGAGGAAATGTATGTAAAATGAGTTCATATGTGGAAATGCTTTCAGGAATGGCTACTGTTCTCAATTTGGTGGCCGTCAGTATTGAAAGGTATAATTTCATATATTTATTAATAAACTAAAAATTATTATAAAGAATATTCTAGAAAATTATTTGAACATCTAAAATATAATAAAACTAATAATGACTAGTTATTGTCAAAAAATTATATATTTAATTTAAAATAATTTAATTTATTATTTTTATAAATTTCTTATATAATAAATATGTAAAATAACAATTGTATGGTAAATATTAATAAAGCAATATTCATTATGAAAATATTCAAAATGCTATCAAATTAAAATTTTGAAATTTAAAACATACTTAGATATTATTAGTATTCAAAATTTATTTGTAAGTTAACATTACTTTATTAATTATTTATATAAATTATAACAAATATTGCAAACATAATTGTAAACCTATACAATACTAAATATTAAGTAAACCTATTTATCAGTTCATAGCTATTTAGTATATAAATTCTGTCATAAATATTATTATTGATATTTTATAAAATTATAATTGGAATTCTATTTAAAGCATGTTTTTTAAATTTAATCAATAAAAATAACTTACAATCAATGGATAATATTAAAAAAGCTTAACAAACTCATAAACAAAGTTAGAGAGTGTAATATAGTCCTACATGTACTGAATTATAAAGTATTTTAAAAATATTATTAAAAAATGGTTAAATGACAGCTTATTAAGCAAATATTTGTTATTATATGAATATTCAAAATCCAATAAACATGTAATTAGTTATACAGTAATATAAAAATTTATTAACATAAACATCATAAACATATTGTCTATATAATAACATTTAATATTCACCTGATTTGATCATTTAAATTATATTAAATGTAAATTTAATTTAGTAAATTTTTAGATAACCGCTGCTAATAAATTGAAAAATATTTTTATAAAAATAGATTTTTGGTGATAGTATACCCAATAAAAGCCCGTTCCTGGTGTACAATGAGCTCAACTCGAAAAGGTTTAGTGTGTGTCTGGAGTTTAGCATTACTGTTGGCTACACCTGTATTGTTGACTAAAGTTTGATATTTTGATTTGAAATTTTTACAATATATAAAATCTTTAAATTTAACAAAATTATTCAAAATTATTCAAAATATAGACCGTATATTCAATGACATATTATAACAATACAACACAATTGACAGCATATTATTGTTGGGACGCCGACGATGACCTGGCTTTCTATGTGGCCGTCTATCAGTTGCTCGTAATGTTTGTATTGCCGGCACTTTTTATGATTGTCTGCTATTTCTTAGTCATGCAAGAGCTGTGGATCAGTAATAAATCCATAAATACAATGACACACTCGGACTCATTCAAGCACAGGTACTTTCAAATTTCAATTTGTGTTACTTTTATATATATTACACTTAAATATAGTAACAAATTTTAATATTGAATTTTTGTCTGTTTAATCTTAAGACTATATATATAAATCATTTGTGATGTGTAGGCAATGTTTGTGATTTTAATATAAAACTAAATATTAAAGAAAATATGACCTAAAATTATTTTTTATTATTAATAATAATAAAAACACATTTCTTAATAATAATAATAATAATAATAAAAACATTTCTTAATAATAATAATAATAATAAAAACATTTCTTAATAATAGCACTTCTCGCGCCAATCAACGTACAGAATGTCTGTTGTGTTGGCCATCCCTTAGACATCACAAACAAAACATCGAAGAAACGACCAGTGCTTCCGCTATGCATTCAAACGCTGTGGACATTACAAGAGGTCGTAAACAGGTCTGTCTTTGTCATCAGTTAATACTTTTACTAAAAATTGCAAAAACAAACTATAAAAATATTATATTAAAGTAAATATTATATAAGCCATTAATAAAATAGCTTTTATGTAATTCAATTTCTTATAATACATGTATTGACACATATTCTACTATACTATATGTTAAATATACTTTTAAAATGAACAAACATTTTATTTGTCATCACTTTAACAATATTCCTATATATAGTAAAATGAAGTATTTTTCAGTCATACAAATTGTTTGATTGAATTTTGATATTTAACATACAGTACATTGCATTATATAGTAAATATATAATGTACTGTATATTAAATATCAGAATTAAATCAAAAATGTTTTATATTAACTAAAAAGTGGGTGTTTTGATGATATCATCAAAATATTAATTTTTTAGTCTATCTAAAATAAAATTAATTAAATCTTATAGATTTTTATGTATCACTTTGTTATTATTAAATAATTTAAAGAATATATACAGTATAAAGAATGATATTGTGATACTGAAGTAATTATATTTAAATTATACAAATTGTAATTAATAAATAATTATTATAATACTGTAAATTAACTTCTGTATAATTATATAATATAATATAAAAATATTATTTCATATAAATAAAGTTAAAATTAGTTTATAAATGTTTAGTTTTTAGTTTATTTAAATGTAATGTACTTTTGCAGAGTATTGAATGTACAGTATTACTGAATTATGTAGATATTACATATTAAAGTAAAGTAAGTTTAGATTAGTAAAAATAAATATAACGAAATAATTAGTAAATTAATTAAGTATTGATAAAATCTTATTAAATTTATTTAAATTTGTCGAAATAAATTATATCAATTTATAAATAAAATTCAAATAATATATACTTTTTTCTTATACAAAGTACTTTATTGTCTATACAGTTATGATTTGATTTTAATATAATACAATTTATATCCAACAGCATTTGTAAAGCTAAAACTATTATATTTTGTTAATAAATTTATTTATAGAGAATATCAATTCAACTAACAAACACTTGTAAATTTAATTGAATCTTTGAAAATATATGTATAGTAAAAAAATATGTAATACAATATTATGGGTCAATTCATGCTTAAAATATAACATACAATTTAATGTTCTTCAATTGTTAACAAGTATAGCTTATCTGTGATTTATTGGTAAATATAAAAAAATTTAATTTTATACAATTGAAAAATTTATAATAAATTATTTATAAATAAAGTAATATTTTAAGAAAACGTTAATAAAAAATAGATTTATAATATAGTTATATAATGAATTGATAGTAATATACAAAATATTGATTATACCATGTGTTGCATTGACAACAATCACTGATATAGTATATTATATTACTGTAATCAAAGCAATAAATTAGTTTCAATTCAACAATTGAATGCGTGAAATGATTTTTGATTGCAGAGTATATAATGTATACAGTATATGATATAAGCAAACACTATACTTATAAATGTATTTTATTTGAATTGTTTTCACTTAAATAACAAATATAGTTCAATGCGTTAAACATTTAATGTATTTGTTTTGTCCGATAAACTAATATTTAAGTGACATTTAGTACAAAATAATAAATAAATAATATAAAGAATTTTTATAGCATTTTATATATAATATGAACTTAGTTCGTACACATTATAATCTATATTATATTGAATAATATTTTTTAATAGTAATTTAAATCTATAGGTATACGTGCAATGAGTTTATGTGACTAATTATCTTATCTTAGATTATCGAAAACTTTATTATTTTTATGTTATATAACTATTGTATAATCTTAAAGTATWTGATAAAGTGACTAAATTATAGTCTATTTGAGTAATCATTTACACAATTACTAATTTTCAATTAGGTTTAAGTACTATACTTTTACCATAAAAGTAGAATTATAAGCATTAAACTAAATTTATATAATAATTAGAATTTTATTATTTAATTTATTAATAAATAAATAAAAACATTATATGTTTTCTAATTAAAATGAAAATATAGAAGATATAATTATTTAGGAAAATATATTGTTTATTGAAAAATTAGATTTCAATACAACAAATATTAATATTATATTTATTTTGAAATTTAAGACTTAATTAATTTATGTCTAGACTTTGTTAATTAGACTCTGGACTAACTGTCGAAGAAGCGACAAAACATTGTAKACATTATATTAATAGCGTTGGCAGAGACAACATGTTTCTATAATACAAAGTATATTAAACAGTATAATGCAATGTATAATACAATGTATAATACAATGAATAATACATGACCAATTTTGCATACAAATAAAATTTAGTTTCATTTAGTGTCAAAAGAATTGATATAAGAAAAGTAAACCATGTTTTATAATAAATATAGATCTAATATTAATTTTTCATTTAATTTCTATTTTAAATTACTTCATTATTATTATTTAAAAACAACGATTATTATAACAATAATGCATTTTATAGAAATTATATTTTTACTATATATTTTTAAATAATTTTTCAACATAATACTATATATATTAATTTTTAAATTGTATAATACTGTACAAGCAGTACATTGTATTATACTGTACTGTATTACTATATATAAAGTCAAAATTAAAAACTTTGTATTTTTCCAACCCTGATTAATACCTTTTTTATGTTAAATATTTAACATTTTTAAAACAATATTTATTAACTATTAATATAAGAAAAATAAAATTGAATTAATAAATTTGTTGTTTAATGTGTTTAAAAATAGGTGATAAAGATGTTGGTATTGATAGTGATGTTGTTTATGCTGTGTTGGGGCCCACGACTAGTCATCAATGTATTGATAAAGTTAGGTCTTCAGAGTTTCTCTCACTCGGCATATACGGCACGAATCGCTTGTTATCTCTTATCGTTTATTCATTCGGCTCTCAATCCCTTCGTCTACGGCCTGATGTCCAGTAATTTTCGTCAAATGATATGTCATTCGTGTAAAAAAAGCAATCGTTTTACAAATAATTCAGAAACATATCAATTAAATCGTGTCAATACATATACCACTAATTCAACTAAAATAGCTAACAGTTTTGTTTGAGTTGATCTCTAATTATAAGGAATTTTAAAAATGTTTTTTATATCATTATCTAAATGTTATCTAATTAATTAAATTTTAATTGATTTACTTATTTATTATTAATATTATAAATTGTAAAATTGTACATTTATAAAGTACAAAGTTTATACTTAAACAATAATTTTTAAGATAAAAAACGTTAATTTATATAATTAAATGTATTCTTATGTGTATTTATATTATTTACTTTTATTATATATCTATAAATAATCAAATTTATTATTTATTATACATGTACTGTATATRTTGACATTATAATTATATTGTATTTAATTTATATATTTTATAAAATGTTTATTTGACAAAGATGATTTAATTTAATTGTATATTTATTTTATTATAATAAAGTTTATTTTTTAATTTTTAAGTTTAATTTAAATAACTCTTGAATACTCTTAATGTAATAATAATAATAGACTAAAATTTATTATAAAATTTAGAAAATGTTAGACAGTTGGCATTTTTGCCAATATTGTATTATATGATTAAAAGTGCCAGGGTGGCATAATCTAATTTAAACTATTGTCGAAATTTGAAGAATCAAATATTTATAAATGTAAACTTAACATTTGTTTCAATGATAACAAATCACTACACAATAATAGTTTTAATGAACAAACWATTATTTATAGATACRGTGTTTGTAACTGATTATTACAAACTTATTATTATATTAAATAACTTTGATTTTACCTAGTGGTATTTTAGAAAAAATAATTTCTTAATCAATAAAAAATATGATAACATAAAACAAATAAATTTAACTTAAATTAAGTACTTTAATGATTAATAAAACATATTTAATTTTCGCAGGTTATTGAAGAAAAGGATATTAGATATTGTAAAACAAAATAATATAAATTAAGAGTTAACTAAAATTATTTGTTGATTCAAAACTAAGTCAATAACAAAAATGGTCAAAACGGCGATCGTTTCAATTGTTTTTATTTTATATATAATTTATGAAATATCTGCAGATTGTGGTTACGAGTCATGCATACAAAGCGATTCAAATAAGTTAAACATTCATATAATATCTCACAGTCACGATGATGTCGGTTGGCTTAAAACAGTTGACGGTTATTACGAGGAAGACGTACAGCACATCATCACAAATGTGGTCAAGTCGTTGGACAAGAATCCTCACCGACGTTTCACTCAAGTGGAGACCTACTATTTCAACCGATGGTGGTCCGAACAAAACCAACAAACCCGTGATTTGGTACATACTTTAGTGAGTTCGGGTCAGTTGGCATTTGCTAATGGAGGCTATACTGTCAATGATGAAGGATCGGCTCATTATAATGAGATTATTGACCAAATGACATATGGTTTGCAAATATTGGATAAATTGTTTGGCAAATGTGGCCGTCCTTTGATTTCATGGCAAATCGATCCTTTCGGCGCTTCCAAAGAAATGGCTTCACTTTACGCACAAATGGGTTTTGATGGACACGTATTCAATAGGAATGTCTTCCCAAAGGGTGAATTCATATGGAATGCCAGCCCTGACTTGGGATCAACTTCTGACATATTTACAACTGTTCTTCACAACCATTATAGCGCTCCCAATGGCTTTGATTTTGAAAATGGTATTAAATATTAATTGTGAAATCTTATTAAAGACTAGTATTGTTTTATTACTTGTAATTATAGGCAATGATATAACTTYAGTAAATAAGAAACAAAAAGCTGATTCAATTGTAGCGATTGCTAATCAATGGAACAAAGATTATGGTAATTCAAACCATGTATTGATCACATTTGGTGATGACTTTAAATACAATAACGCCGAGCATTACTTCGCAAATCTGGACAAACTTATAGATGCTGTCCATGAGTTTTATCCGAATGTCAATATATTTTACTCAACACCCATGTGTTACTTGAAAGCAGTCAACCAATTGAACCGTACATTTGAAAGCCGACAAAAAGATTATTTTCCTCTTTGGTCCGGTTTCTTCTCAAGTCGACCGTCACTCAAAAGACAGGAAAAATCAATAAACAGTTTATTACAAGTAAGCAAACAGTTGGATGCCATCACCAGAATCCCAGAAGTCGAGCCATTTCTGAATGAGGGTAGAAATGAAATTGGAGTTATGACACATCACGACGCCATCACTGGTACATCACCACAGTTTACAATCGATGATTACAATTCAAGACTTTTCAGTGCCAACGATGCTCTCAGAGAAGTTATCGATAGGACGTATCAACAGTTGTTACCAAAACAAGAGTCCATTAAAACAATTCCTAAACAAGTGATATGCGATAGACTTAATATAAGTCAATGTTCTGTATCAGAGACTGCAAATGAATTGACATTAATTGTCTACAATCCCATCGCAAGACCTGTCTCTCAATGGTTAAGACTTCCAATTAATTCAAATAATAGTTATGAAGTATATGACAGCAACGGTACCAAAATTAATGACATACATGTGGTTCCCATTTCGCAAAAAGTACAACAAATACCAGAGAGAACTACTTCTTCCAAATATGAGTTAGTTTTTCGCGCAAATCTCAATGCTATGGGATTTGTGACATATTTTGTTAAAAAATTGGGTAAATTATTAAATCTTAAAATATATTTTTTTTAAGATTTATAAATGAATATAATTTTATTGTTTAAAATCATTTTTTAGATAAATCATTAGAAAATTCAAATAATTCTCAATATTTACAAAATGCTGAAACAATTGAAATGAAAGGAAAGGGATTCAAACTAAACTTGGATTCTAAGAATGGAAATATTGAATCATTAAAACTAAATAATGGCAAAGAGTTACCATTGAAACAGTCGTTTAAGTTTTATAAATCAAATTCAGRCTCGAGTTATACTTTCTGCTCTGAAGGCGATGTTAATGATATCAACAGAGATAAGGTTCAGTTGGAGTCTGTATATAAAAATGGATATCTTCATGAAGTGACACAAGTCTGGAACAGTTGGGTCTCACAAACAATCCGCGTCTATGAAGATGAAGAATATGTCGAACTCGAGTGGATTGTCGGTCCCATACCTGTTGACGACAATATTGGTAAAGAAGTAATTACTAGATTTGAAACTAATCTCAATAATAACAAAGAATTTTTTACTGATGCTAATGGACGACAAAATGTAATTATAAAATATATATAATATTATTTATTATATATTTTTTAAATTAAAATTTTATTTTTAGATAAAAAGAGTACGAACTTCGGAACAAACAACTTGTGGAAAATATAAGAATAGTATTTCCAATAATTATTATCCCATTTATGAAAGGATTTTTATGAAAGACAACCAAAAAGATATTCAATTAACAGTTTTGACTGATAGAGCACAGGGAGGTTCCAGTGAAGATGACGGTCAGATTGAACTTATGGTTCACAGAAGACTTTTAACCGATACTCGAACCAGTATTAATGAGACAGGAGTTGATGGCAAAGGAATTATAGTCAGAGGAAAACATTATTTATTTTTTAGACCAATTAATGAATCCATAAAACTATATCGAGATTTGAGTCAAAGACTATTTATGGATCCGTTGTTAACATTTTCGCCACTTAAAGAATCACAAGAAAGTTATAAAAATAAATATAAGACAACATATTCCGGTCTAAACAATGAATTGCCGCCAAACGTCCATTTGTTGACTTTAGAGAAATGGTCACAAAATCAAATTCTGGTCCGTTTGGAGCACTTTTACCAAAAGGAAGACAACAATCAATTATCAAATGCCGTAGAGATTGACTTACAAAACCTATTTAAAGATATTCTTATCAAAGATGTTCAAGAAATGACTTTAAGTGCAAATCAATTGCTTTCAGAGTCAAAGCAAAAGAAATTAATCTGGAAATCAAAAACTTCGTCAAATGAAATTCAAAGTAATTTTTACAATAATATTATTGACATCAAAAAGATTGAATTGAATCCACAAGAGATCAGAACTTTCATCATAACTATTGACGATCACAGCCATAGAGGTATTATAATAATTCAAGTAATCATTAAAATTTAATAATATAATTATTTTATCAGTCAATTGTTCCCTACAATGGGTGCCCATATCTGGCAGTAAAATACCGAGTGATGCCATTGTTGGAGGTTTTGATATCGACTCTTCACAGCTATATATATGCCGACATAAACAAGAAAATGATATAATTCCGGGAAAAGCTAATGAAAAACTTGGATGTATTATCACTTTAGGAGGAAAGTCTTATCAGACAATGACTAATTATGAGGTGTTAGTGGGACATGACTTCAGTTGGGTGTCAAGACATGGCGCCGATGCTGTACCCGATCAGGCATTTATTGCCGGACACAACAGTCAATCAATTCCTGTTTATGTTGGAAAATGCCATTTATTTATAGGCAAAGTTCAAACACAAGTTATAGGCAAAGTTGATCATAAGTTTTATTATGGATGGGATGGTACAGAAAAATCGGACTGTCCTAATCATAAAGTTATGGTTTGCTAATATATAATATCATTTAAAATATGGTTTCAAATTAATTATTATACAGTACTTTATATTGTTTTATATTATCTAAATTTTTAATATGTTTTCTATCAATACTATGTAATGGTATCAGAAAATTGTGACTTAAATCTTGATAAATGGGATATATTTGGAAACTAAAGTCAATTTTTAAAATCTTAAATAAAAACTATTAAAAATTAATTATTTTTTAATAACATATTTATAATAAGCCATAAATTGTTAATAAAGTTATTAAAAATACCGAAAAAATATACTTTAAAGTATTAATAATCATTTTTGTATTAAAGTATTATAAGAAATAATTTGAAAATTTGTTTATAAGTGTTTATTTAATACATGTATTGAAATATATTATTAAGTTTTGATAAAATATGTTTAAATGTTTTGGTTGTTGTCTCGTATGTCTATAAATGTCATCAATAATGCCATCAATTAATTGATTGAATGTATTGTTGTTGTTGTTGTACATCATGTTGTTGTATGGCATGTATGGCATCAATCACTCCATCCAATGAGTTATACATTCAATACATATGTTTGACAACAGAGTAAGTGTACAGTCATTGCAAACAATGTAATCAAACGATGTTTTCATATAAATTATTGTCATTTTTATCGTTTAAAAACAAAGACAATAATAATCAGTAAGAGATGGCATCGCACACCTCATTGGTCTCATCGCCCGCCACTACAAGTGTTACCAACAATGAAGAGTCAACCGATGCGGACCAACACTGGACTCAAGACTCGGCCGGCGATGGCGAYAGTCTGGAGAAGAGGAAGCGTTTGTTTGGCAAAGAGTTACGGTGTATGATGTATGGCTTCGGTGATGACCACAATCCGTTCACCGAATCTGTCGATATGTTAGAAGATCTGGTCATACAATTTATCGGCGATATATCGCTTAAGGCTCAAGACGTCGGACGCAACGGAAAAATATCGGTCGAAGACGTCTTACATTGTATGAAACGCGATGAACGCAAATACGCCAGAGTTAGGGATCTATTGTCGATGAATGAAGAGCTGAAAAAAGCCAGAAAAGCTTTCGATGAAATCAAATATGTCTCCAATGCCTAAACACAACACTTCACTATTCATTACCAAATGACTGGTCAAACATTGTATGTCTTCATTGTGATCACTGTTTGCCTTATAATTGATTGCAATTAACTAAATAAGTGATAATTTAAAATCATTTTTTTTAGTTTATTATGATATATACCATAGATTTATATTAATTAACTCATTAATTGTTTGCAACCAAAGGTTATTTATTTTAATATTCAATGGTTGAGGAAATAGTAAATTAAAAAGTGAGAAATAAAACTATTTTATACTTTTGAAAATTAATTATTTATAAATTCATTTGTTTAGTTTAATTATAATTAAATTGATATTATCAATGAAAATATTTACAACTTATTGGAAAGTTTATTCATTTATATAATTATGATTACAATAATTATTAATATAATACAAATCATTTAATCTCATGAGGAACTCTGATTTATCAAAAGTTGATAAATAATTATTTAATATAAATTATATAATGCTATAATAGTAATAACATAATTGCTAATATTTATGATTAAAATGGTATTTTTAGTCAATGAACAGTGAATTGAGTTATAAAAATAATGTAAATTAAAAATATGATTAATTAATAATACGGTGTTGTAAGTTATCATAATAAACCAATGTACCCTTAATATTTAATATTTAATATTTAAGCTTTAGTATTTAGTAAAATATATATCAAATAATTAACTAGACATAATCGTAAAATAACATTAGAAAATAATTATATTAACTAATATACAGTATATATCAAAAATAGACATACGTAACCCAGTACACTTAGCAAATTTAAATATCCTTTAAATACTGTTAATATAAATACTGGTTAATATTATGCATAATTATAATTTTTAACAATATATTAATTATTTTATATTTCAAAATACCTGTAATGTGTAAAACACAAGTTAACCAACCAAAAGCCCTTTAGACACCTTTTAAATACTAAAATATATTTTATATACAAGTGTTTAGATTTTGATATAATGATAGACCTCAAGACTGGAAATAATGATATAGAAGAGCCAAAGAGATACAAACAGTATAGTTGTCGGCAATTTGTAAATCATAGGACCGCCTAATTCGCCGCCAACTACTTTGGATCGTCGAGCCAATAGAGTTGCGGCACAAACCAAAGCCGATAAACAGAATATAGTCACCGAAAATGACAGATTTCCCGGATCTACTGCAAAACCTCCTGGAGTTCCTACAACAGCGTGATATACAGCAGCTATAGTCCAGGCGACTCCTATACCCAAAAATACATTAACCGCATTACTTCCGGTCACATTTCCAATGGACGAATCGGCATATTTGTCATTAAGAGCCGCTATTTTGGAAGCAAATGTATCGGGAACTGATGTGCCCAATGCTACTAATGAAATAGCAGTTACCGAATCTTTTAATCCGATAGTACAACCAAATTGTGAGGCCAAGTCATTAATAAGGGCTGTAAGTAAACCGATAACTATAATGGACACTATAAAACACGCCCAACCATTCCAGAGATAAGGTGGCGGAACACAAGCGAACAAGATTTTCCAAAACAGTGTCAAATAGTGGACAATATAAGATAGGATCGATTTCTTCTTGACAACTATAACATCACCTTCATCTTCGGGTTCTTTGGAAGCGGTGAGTGACGGCACTCTCACAGCTTCATAGAACTGTCCTTCCCATGAGGCAGAACTGATTGCTGTCACTGCTTTCTTTTGACGCATCAACTTATCTACCGTTGCTTTAAAGTCCCGACTTTCCCTTATTCTAACGGTGCATTTGACGAGCTCTCCTAAACGTGGGGCTCCCTTATCATCGGTAATATTCTTGTTTGAGTCGACCCGATATGGCTGACCTATTTCCACATAAAAAGCTACATTTTTCTCGTAACTGTCAGTATTATTAATATTAAGGATAATCTCTTTATGTGTCTCATTATTTGCAAATTCAATCTTCGTGTCCATCATTCTAAAGTCAATATTAGGTTTAGCAGTCCCGGCAATTGTCTTGAATGGAAGTGCTATGTGACCACGAGCTCCGACAAAACGGGAAACTTTCAAGCGGTAATCTCCAACAGATTCAGGTACTTGAATAATATTATTAGTAAAAGAGAAGACACCGCTGTGGTCGTCATCAAGAATTGTCACTTTTGCCTCAGAGTCTGATATTAAAATGTTTGGTCGAATATCACTTTCAGAAACTGGTGTTAAATAACGACCCGCAGAAAGTCGGACATAAAAATTTTCGTCTTCTTCATAGATATCGTCGTTAATAATTTTAACAGATATCTGTTTGTGTTGCTCTCCCGGACCAAAAGATAACGTTCCACTAATAGCCTCATAATCAGAGCCACTCTTAGCAGTTCCATCTTCAGTGGTGTAATCAATTAAAATAGTTGACTCGAGACCACCCGAACGACTAATAGTTAACTGAAAAGTTCCGATATTTTCTAAAACTGTATACTCTTTAGGGTTAAAAAATATTTTAATGCTATTGTCATCCTTATTATCATCCGGTCCATCAAAGTCTTCGTTGATTGACTTGAGGATGTGATCCTTTACCAATTCAGTCACATTTCCCATTAGTCTTCGCGCCGCTTGAATGCGATAATAAGCTTTACTTTTAGGCTGTAGTTTATCCAACTCTTTTCGGGCCAATTCTTCTAATTCTTCAGTGGATGCGTTAGGATTTTTTTGTTTAATATCTCGCAAAACGCTTACAATTTCTTCTCTATGATCTTCAATATTTTGCAAATCTTCATCATTGGCATCAATATACTGTTAAAAACAAAACATATAATTACCATAATAAACAAAATCACTATATATTTGATAATCATTGATAGTTTACTAATAATAAGACATACCTTAAAGTCTCCATCAATTTCCACATCGTTTACCTTAACTTTAATACCGTTTGTTTCAACAGAATTTAATTCGACATTTTCACCGTCGCTGACGTCTGAGTGTTGATAAATTTCTTTGCGTCCTCTCTTCATACGATATCTTTTGTCTAAATACTTATATATAAGTAATCGTTTGTCAGCGATGTATGCAATGAGAACTGTAATCGGAAAGAATAAGAATGTGAGGAATGCTTCCCATATTTCGATGATTCCATACGAAGACCAGATCAAGATATACAACAGCCATATGTAGGCAAACACAGAGAAAGTCATTGTTATGCAGAAGACACGCAAAAACTTGATCTTTTTGGCCTCTTTTGGTACAACCCATACACAGATGGCTATTATAACAAACATATTGAAAGCGGCCGAACCCACTATAGTTCCGGGACCTAAATCGCCGGCCCGAAAGTTGTTGCCGCAAATCTCGATCACCGAAAGTAGTATTTCGGGCGCTGAAGAACCCAAAGCCATGAGTGTTAGGTTAGACACCGTTTCGTTCCAAATGCGAACCGATATTATCTCTTTATCGCCGTTCGGTTTGCGGACAATCACATCCTGTTCTTGAGATGTGATCTGCTCTATGGCTGCCATAAAACGATCGGCTATTATGGCGACGCCAACAAAGATGTAAATAAGTGCCAACAAGTAGACAATGCCGTGAAATATAATAAGTCCAGTGCTATCATAATGTGGCCAAAACGGTATGATTACGCCGTCCACACAAACGTGATAATCACCAGTTGATGACAAATCTATCAAATAATCGCTTATATTTGATGATATATTAGTACTTTGTGTGGCCAACTGCTGAAGACCCGGTGTGTCGTCTCCATARACAGTGCTCTTCAACAAAGTGTCAAACGTTTCATTCAAAATACTATCGTTTAATGACATTGTCTTTAGTGGATGTGATGGCAAACAAACCAATAAATAAACACAAATATGACAAATGAAAAGTTAAGTACTGTTCGGACAATAACCGGATGCGATGACAGATGTCTTCAAGTGGTATAAATGTGTTTATCTTTATAACCACTCATTTGAGTCCAATTATGTTATTTGTGATCATTGAGTAAGTGGTCGATCACTCTATGAGTGACACTTGACTTCAGCAATGGTTTTCATGTGAAAGTCATGTATAAGTTTGACAACAACTTGAATGCAATGTAAGGGCGAGTCTGTAGTTGTCGTCAACACTACAYGTGCTTTACATCACTCACAACAACACAATAGCCGTAATCAACAATACATTTATAGAAATCACTGCTTAGTTATGTTGAATACGCTATTATTGTCTTAACTATTAATATAAGACATTTTATTTGATAAAAACARTTAATTATTGATTGAATAATAGGTCGATAATAGCTTTTAAAAATAGTTGTCTAATAAATGATGAGTTTTACAAATGTTGACAATTATTGCTGTCATTTACGGTCATCACAATGCATAACATATACTATTTATATAATGATAAAAACATTTAATTAAATTAGTGTTGGGATTATTGAATAACACAGAATCGGAATATAATTTATATATACTGTATATGAGAGGAAAGGGAGAAAAGGGAAAGTTAGAGACAGAGTTTGGCAAAGCATTCATTACTTTTGGCTTTTTATTAATTTATGATTACTTGAAACTATCACTCATTTAATATGCGGTTTATTGTTTCAACACTGAATTATATAATATGAAAGCAATTTTGCAAAAACCTAAAAATATAGCACAACTTTACAGCTTTTGTGTGTAGATCTCATAATATAAATAAATTAACAGCAAATTGTGCGACAGTATTGACAACTACTGTATATTGAATATAATTAAATGTTTATAAAAATAAATAAATATATAATAAAACAGTAGTTATATTATTGACAAAATGTTGCCTTTAAAACACTAATAATATTTTGCTGAATAAACAAATAATTAATTATATATACACTATATTACTATACAGTATTGTATAAGTGTTTCCAAATGTATTGTATAGTTAGTTACAAATGCTATCTCTGAGAGCTATAAACAAATAGAGAAATAATTATATATTTTATATAACTTTTGAAATTTTCAAAGTTTTTCTGAGTCCGTGACATAAATTATCACTAAATCTACAGTAAATTTACTATMATTTATATTATAKCAAAATATTATTATTTTTATAACTTAATTGAATGACCAACAGTTTTAATTAAATTGTTGTTTATTAAGTTAATAATATCAACAAATAATAATAAAATAATAAGTTTATCACAAATTTAACTAAAAATAATAAATTAATGTAAACTACTTGAAAAACAATGATAAGAGCATTCAATTTATTATACAGTATTTGACGACTTTATCGCTGAACTTAAGACTTAGTATTTTATAAATTGTTTAGATTTACGTCTTAAATGACTTATTTCACATTTACATCAATTAGTTTTGAAAATTATCCAAAAATAATATTATTTTTATATCAATTATTCATAAACATTTAAAGTAATTTGTTGTTATATTAATAAAAATTTAAATCTTATATAAATAGATTTTAGATTATACAAAATWTAAATAATTTTATAAATTAGTAAAATTATTAATAAACAAATTTAAACAAATAAAAACTATTAATAMTATTATTATCATAAACATAGTATTTTATTAATGAAATCAATTATACTTACATAATAAGCTTAGTTGTATCTACTAATTACAAGCTAATGTTGAAAAAAAACAAAAACTAACATTTGGCAAAACACCTGTTATGGTATTATAACAATATTTAGTGCAATGAAACTACAGTATAAATTATCTTTCGTTTTATAAATTATAATAAACACTAAATAAGTTGATATTTCACGAACCGGTTTGTAATGAAACTCATAATAAATACATTGTTAGCTTAGATAATACATTGTATGTTTGAAAAAAGTGTTTTATGGCCTTCCAGTCCTRTTATTAATAGGGATGACATTGATTCCGGTGCTTATAGTGATTGTCATAAATAGATTGCTTGGGATTATTGTTATTGTTATTATTATTATTATTATTATTATATTAATATTTCTCAATCCAACACTTACTAAAACAAGACATTTATAGCAATATAAGTAATTTAAAAAATAAAATTATTACAACTATTAAATTATATTGAATACTATAACTTAGATGACAGCAAAATAAAAACTTTAAGGAAGTACTTGAACCACACAAATGTTATATTTCTAAACACACCCATTACTGATGTAGTGATGAGTTTGAACTTAATTGTTATGATAAATGTTATGTTTGTTTAAACTTTAACTCAATTATATAATGATTTTATTGTTTAAATATCTGTCATTTATATAATTGTTATAAGATTTTTGTCTAAATATAAATAATACTTGAAGTCAATGATAAAACAGTAAAATGAGAGAACTATTTATACGATTAGATGATATGAAATAAATAAATTTAGTGGCATTTATGTTTGTAATGCCCGCATTATACAGGTATTAAATAATTATTATGTAAATTATATTAATTAGTTTATCTATTTTGTTCAATAAATGACAAATATAATTTTATAAAATCAAATAACCATTAAGAATTAATTAGTTTCTATTTTTAAATATACATTATATAACTATAATATAAAGTAATAAATGATATAGATAATTTACATTACTTTCAATATTACTATAGACTATATTATTAATAACTACTTTAATGTGGCAATATATTACAGTTAATAATCAATTATTGACGTCTAATTTAATAACTGAGACAACCATTAATACTCTTATATTTAGATTATTTGACTGAAAAAAATGATTATTACCATTAAATTTAACATTGATTTAATATCAAGTATTATTATTTTTCTATTTTTATTGTCGTCTTTATTATTTAAAATTAAACAAATATAATAATAAAGTATTAGTAATATAATGTACTAATACTGTATACCTTTTAGTACTTCAGTACAATATATTAGTATATCTGTCACATAAAGTTAAAGCATAAATTAAAAATGCATAAATAATTTTTTTTAAAGATAAAAAACTAACATTTATTTTAAATGATAATTTGTTAATATTTTATTATTTCTAAACTATTTTACTATTAATTTTTCTATTTAATTTTATAAATTATTTTTACTCAATTCTTAGCAATGATAGATAAAATCAGACTCAGCAATGATTGCTAACACAAATAATTAAAAAAATAAAATATATTTATTGTTATAATGAATCAGAAATGGCTTTGAATAACAAATATAAATAATATCGGAAATAATGTTTTCCGTTTTTATAATGATATTTGCATATAAATTAATATTATATTATATATAATTAAAACACTGTCTTATGTTTGTTTCAATTTATATTACATTATATTTATGTATATAAAACGATTAAGTAATAAAAATTTCTTTTTATCAATTTTATTGCTACTATTACTATAAAATAATGTCTAAAAATTGAAAAAATCTTATACTAACAATAATTGTAAGAATAATTACTATATTATGAAAATAGACAATAAAAATGTTTAATCATTTAAGGAAAACCTTTTAAAGGCATTTAATTGATTTACAATTAAGACAGACATAAATTTAAATAAAAATACTTTATTATATAATACTAACTATACATCAAAATGTTTTAGTCATTATACAGTATATGTAATTAATTAATTAATATGATATTTTGCACACTTATTTGGAAATAATTRTTGCAAATATCGCATAGAAATATATATAAAAAGTATACAAATATATAAAAAAATTAACAATAATTAAAAATATGTTTACCTCATAATTTTATARCTGTTTATTATATACAATACAATGCCCAACAAAATAAATAATCACTGAGAAAGTCATTCCTTTAGCTAAGCCTTCAATTTTGAAATGTCAAGAATACTATATAAATGCTAAATAATTGAATCCAATTACACCATAATATTATACAATACATGTATTGTAGTTTTGTTAGCCAACAACATAACCATGTTTGACATGCATATAATATACAGTATATTTTTATTAAATTWAAAAATATAAATTATTTAAAATATCCTAAACAATGCATTCAATTTATATCGTTTTTATTAGCACTAGAGATGAATATTTCAGTGAATTTTTCAATAACAATAGTTAAGATTTACAAACTTAATTAACAAAATGTTGTTTTAATATTAATGATATTTTAAATATTATAGAATAATTATTCATTAAATCAATATATTCAATAAAATTAATAAATTCTAACAAATAATTTATATTAATATTTAAAAAAAAGAATCCATAGTATTATTAATATATAATTTGGAAYWACTGTTAATAAAATTTTCTGTAAAAATTATTTTAATTAATAATTTAAAAATAACAATTTAAAATGATTTTGCGTGAGTTTGAATAAAATTAATAAATAAATATATAACAGAAAAGAGTCATGGTAATTTAATAATTTARAACTAATTAAGTCAAAAAACATTTATTAATAAAAACTATTTTACATAGAAATACTGTATATATAAATCTAAATTTTGAAAACAAAGTATATTTTAGTCTTAATTTTAGGCTTTTTGCTAAAATTTAATGYCAACATCACTAGTTAGCATACAATATCATACATTGCATATTTACAATACAGTACAGTATTTTCCTGTTTAAATATCATACTGTTATACATCATAAATAAAATTTTATATAATAAGTAAACAGTAAAGTAAAGTACTTAWTGTATTACTAGGTATGGATCAACTAATTTGTCAATAATGCTCTACAGTATACTGTATTTGTTACTAAAATATAAATTCTATAACAATAACGATAAATAAATTCTATAAATAGCAAAATAATTTCAGCATTTAATACATTTTAATACATTTTATTGAATTTCAATTTTTCAATACTAAATTAGTTTTGGTATTTAAACCAAATAAAATAGTGTTTGTGATTAAAGCATTAAAAACACTAATTGAATTAATCAATTTGTTTAAATMATTATATATTTTTATTTAAATTCAATATAAAATAGCAGTCCATAGGAGGCAAACTCACGACATTATGTCCACAACTTTAWGTCAATAATTTTAAACATAAWAATTAAATTTATAACAATAAATAGCATACAGTATATAGTAAATTAAGAGTATATAAAAACTAAACAAATTATATGATATATTGTATTAATTAAAATATAAAAATTATATTAAGTTTGTTGTTTAGAAAGTGTTTGTTTATGACATTTGGCAAAACTATGTCTAAATACTTCAGTCGACACAACAGTGGACACGAGTGACGGCAATATAAACCTATAGCGAGTCTTATGCGGTCTCTTAGTCTTCTGTATGATATAAATACCAGCAAATGCTTCAATAAATTAAGTATTTTTATTGATAAAAGTCATCAATGGTTTCAATTGTTTCAATGGTTTGCATACAAACCGATGCAGAAGACGGCAAACCCTTTACCAATGGCTCTCCAGAAGCACTCCTTTGGGTTTGTGTTGCAAGTGATCACATCATATGTTGTCTCACTTTTCACATCATTATTGCTAATCATTATTGTAATCAAAAATTAATATTAAAAATAAAATATAATCAAAACTATTAAATTTATATAATTTAATACATAAAATGTATGTAAAACACGTGACATATCATATCATTGTATTTATATAAACATTTTGAGCGCATATTTTAAATGCTTACACAAATGATTACACATTACAGTCATATATTCATTGAAATTCATATTAAAATGTTTATATTGAAGTCATTTTACATTTAATAACCGATAGTTTATAACACATAAATGATATAATACTGAATATTATTTAACATGAATTCAATAATTTTATATATCATATTATATAATATAATATATATACTATAAGTTCAATGACAGTGTAATATCTCTAAAACTAAAAGATATATTAAAGTAATGATTAATAAATATATGTATTTTAATATTTTTAGCATTAGTTGTGTTATGAAATCATATGAAATCTGTGTTTAAATTATGTTTAGAATTTACAAATGACTTTTCAKTAAAAATAAAATATTAGTTATGGTTTTGCAAGTAATTGATATTTATTTTATATTAAATGATTTATTTAAATAAGAGTATTTTTATCAATATTGAGAAATATGAAACAAAATATAGTACACAAAAAAGTTATCTGAATTGACTTTACAACATATTATTATATTTATTAATATATTGTTTAACTATTTTCTATTGATTTCCTTATTATATTATATTGATTTCTGTGTATTTTATTAATCGTTATACAATATTTACATTTAATTTTAATTTTGACCGTTTTATATGAATTGCTATTAAATGCCATTCAATGACATTAATCAGTGTCATCTCAATGACCGCATCTTCACGCCTATCATCTCTTAAGTCCCTTGAGAGCCATTGGGTGATACCTGCAGTCAATTATAGTTCTCATAGTGATTGTGATTATTGTTATGAGACTAATACCAACCACTAAAGTAAATGACACAACAAAATCAATTTAATATTAAACTATCTTAGCTTTTCTACCTCTCATTTGAGATGTGTATATCTTTTGGTAATATAATATTATTGACAAAATTTTAAATGCCGTCTAGAATTTTGTCTGTCAATGCTAGGCTAACATTWTCAATTGATTTATTTTTTGATATCTAATCAAATAAATATATTTATATCGTTTAAAGTCAAACATTTTGAACTCATATACTGTAGACTCACGTCATATAAAAATTGTCAGAATAATCAAACTTTATATTTTTGATTGATTTTAAGGCAACAAAAATATTTTAAATATTATTTTATTATAATTAAAATTTCTATTAAATAATTTTTACAATTATAATTAAATAGTTAAGTGTATGTTATATTAAATTAGTAATACTTTATTAATTAAACAAAATGAGTAAATTTACTGATGAAAAGTTAGAGARCACTAAGTTTGAAGACATCACTTCAATAACCAGAGGTGAGACACCTCAAGATATTGTTGAAAAATGTCATAAACTTTGTGCTGAATATTTGGGAGGCATTTGGCAACTAATAGACATAACTAAGATAAATGTCTGGAGAATTAGTGGTGGATATACTAATCAATTATATTATTGTGGTTTAAATGAAGAAATTGATACTATTATTGACGAACCAACTGAAGTTGCCGTTAAGTTTTATGGAGAAAAATGGTTCAAATCTGATGAAAGAATTTCTGATATAGTCATTGGGATATTGGCCTCAAATTATAATTTGGGACCAAAAGTATACGGAGTATTCAATGAGGGAGAGATYATTGAATATATTAAGGTTTGATTGATGTGATTAAATGTTTTAATTGTATATTATATATTATATTACTTGAAATAGAGTCATCAATTTAGATATAATGATCAGCTCAATGACCAACTAGTCAAAGAAGTGGCTCAAAAATTAGCAAAATTTCACTCAATGAGAGTCCCAATCCCTAAACATAACGATTGGTTTACACAAAACTTAGACAAATCTTATGACATGGCATTCAGTAATTTTCCGATCGACGACATCATCAAAGAAGTTAATGCAGAATATCTAACAAAGTATAACATCAAAGATGAGTATAAATGGCTTATCAAAGCGTTAAAAGCCAGTCAATCGCCAATTGTCTTCTCACACAATGATTTTCGTGGATCTAATATATTGGTTCGAGACGTGACTAAAGACAATCAATCGTCAATTATTTTATGTGATTTTGATTATTCAGATTATTATTACAGAGGATTTGATTTAGGAGTTTGTTTGGATGAATTTGGACGCAAACAGATGATCACATTTGAAAAGGATTTACAACAAGACTTTGTGGATAAGTTTGTGTCGTCGTATTTGGATGAAGCCATCAAATTAAATGGACAAAAATATGCATTGAATCCATTCAACTCTAAGGATCACCTAATCAATGAATGTCGACTATTTTCATTGGCTTCCGATATGTTTTCCATTTTATTTCTTTTTTCTGCCAAAGAAATCCCATTTTGCAAAAACAAAAATGATATAATGGTATCAATTTTTATATTAAATTATTAAGTTTTTTTAAAAAATAAATTAATTATATCATTGTTTATAATATAGGTTGGAGCAGATAAAGTGTTTGCTAAATATCTTTTTAGGAAACAATATTTTACAACTCTCGGAGCAATTCCTATTGTATGATTCAAAAACATTTAATCTATGATTTTAGTGCCAAAATAAATAAAAATTTAAATAAAATATTGAAAATATTTATTAAATATCAAACAATTTCAAATAATTCGGTTTACATTAGGAGTGTTATCAATATTATCTTCGAGTTCGTCATCAAATTTATAAAGATATAAATACCAATAAAGAAGATTTAAAATGGCAAATGTTAGGGGAAACACCAGTCGCGCCCATTCATCCAAATAGTTACCAATTGTAGGCTCCAATTGGGCCAACTGTTTGATCGGCATATCTCTAATGTTGTTAGACTTGAAACTATGAGATGACTCCTTTGTCTTTGTATTTTTCAATTCTTCATTTGTTTGAYTGTTTGTTTCTTCGGTCACATCTTTATTATCGGTGACAAACTCGACGTCCACTTTGGCTTCTGTTTCGGTGACAATAATTTCTTCCTTATCTTCTGTCAAAACAACATTTTCTTCAATAATGTCAACTTCGAGTTCTTCGCAATAGTTTTGTTTGTTCTGATAAGTAAAACAAATGTTATTAAAAAAGTGTTAAAAAGTATGAAATTATTAATAAAAAAGAAAAACAAACCTTAATTTTAGTTTTGGATTTTTTAATTTGATGTTTTCGCAACTTTTCATTAAATATTTTTTGTATTTGTTCGGCCTGTTTGTGGTCAGCAAAGTTGACACACGCGTACTCAACCATTGCTGTAAAAACAAATGCAAAACACATGACTATAAACCAGTCCAATGCTGTGGCGTAAGTCACCCGAGGAAGTGATGTCCGACCGCCAAAACCCATTGTAACTAATGTAAGCACAGTTGTGGCGCCTATTAATAAGTTTTTAATTAACTGTTATTTTTTTATTTAATGTACTGAAATACAATATATAAGTCTAATCAAAATATTGCAGTAAATATATTATAAACATTTATACAGTAGATAAACTGTTTTTAGTGTCCTCAGGATATGAATTTAATGAAAGTTTATAAAAATAAATATAAAAGTAGTGTTTTAATTAAAAATTAAACAACAATATACATTCTATATATATATATATATATATATATATATATATATATATATAGGAATTATACAGTTTATATTGTGAATAGAGTGTATAATTAAATACAGTAAGTATTAAAAATTAATTAAATGTAAATTTATAAACATTAAAAATTGTTTTTACAATTAATTTATTTGAAACAGCTAATATTAATAATAGTAATTTATATATCATATAAATAACATAAAATTAAATAAAATTAAATAATCATAGCATACCAACAGATACTCGACCTAAAAAAATATTTATTATAATTAGAAGAAATTGATTACTGAGTGCATTATAAATACCAGCGGCATCGGAACGATTGATCCAGAAAGAGACCCAGGAGGCGCCCACTATCATAGCACAGGGAGCATAGATTTGTAACATAAAATATCCTCTCCTTCTTTGCAATATAAATCGTACAATTATTGATGACCTCTCATCTTTATTAAACAATAAGTTTTTATAAATAAATATKATCAATTATTTAAAATCTATTGAAATATATACAATAGTTTATAATGTATTTAAATTATATCATTACATAAATTGTTTCATAATTGATCAAAATTCAAATTAATTTTATTTGGTGTATTTTATTTATCAATTATAGCCAATCAATTTATTTGTGGAAGTTTTTAAAAATAAACTAAAAAAATTATATAGCAATTTTCTTTTTTTATATTGAGTAATTTTTAATTTACAAACTTTAGTTTRAGGAATTAAAATAAATTATATTTTCACAAAACATAGTATACCGGTAATAGAAAATTTATATTCATATACATTGTATAAAATATATTACCATTATTTATGTTAAGATGCAAAGCAAATGAAAAGTTATGAAAGTGTTAAAACTTTTATCAATGATTAGCCTATTGTATAACAAATGCATAAATGAGAGGATGTGGTGCTGAGCTTAACATTAAAAGATCAAATGAGAGCCCATTTCCTATGGGAATATATACTACAAAATTTTTGTTACACTCTATGAAACAAACATATTATTTATGCTTTTCCTTTTACTTTTTACTCTTTTATTAATATTTTTATTATTATTATATACTTTAGTGAATATATTTTATTGAATATCAATTCTTATTTAGTTTGCGTTTAAGTGATTTTAATAATCATTTTTTAGTGATAATTATAATACTATATATGCGAATAAATATACAGTATATTTGTGTATTACAAAATATACAGTACTATTGTCATAGTTTAATAAACTTTAACACATTTACTTTTAAATAGGTTGGAAATTATTATACAAGGTTTTGAATTTTGGTTTTGTATAATGCAGTATAAATACAATATATTGTATGTATCGTATTGTCCGAAAATTTTAAGCTGTAGCTTTATTATAAAGATTTAATAAAATCTAATAATATGTCAACTAAGAACAGTTATTCAAAGAATCAATGCACATGGTAAACCAATTACGCCACATATTATACGCCTCCTAAAATTATTTTTAAAAACTACTATATTTTTAACTTATAAACTCTTTTTATACAGTAATTAGATTACTACAAAAATTAATTTTTACAAAAATTATAAATGAGTTAAGAGTATCTAAATACTCACTTATATAAAATATATACTATTATCTAGATAAAATATTCGACTAAAATAAGTAATTAGATTTTCTTAAATAACGAATGCTATTAAATAAGACATAAATAAATTTATAAGTTTACAACTAAAATAATTGAATGTTTATATTTAAAGTTATATAACTTTTGTTTTTGTAAAGATATTTTGTCGAAATTAAAATAGCAAATACCTATAATACTGATTGTTTTATAGCATATAATTGGTTATTTTATATTAACATTTTATATTTTTAATAAGCATTTGTTTATAAACTACATAACTTGATCATAAACTTAAATTTACAATAAAATAATAATTTTACTATAAGTAATAATTATTTATTTTTGCAACTGATTTGCGAGGAAAGTATAACATTTGTTCTAAGTAATGACAGGTCAAATTTTTGTAAACTTACTATTAATTTTTTTTAAATACTTAAAATTAATGTAAAAAATATAGTCATATTTAAATTAATATCACCGTCTTATTATGAGTAGTACCAATTTAGTTATTGAATTATATGAAACTAGAATTGTTCCTAAGTAAGTGTTGATAGATTAAATATTTTAAAATAAATTAATAGATGGATAAATTTTAAAGTAAATCATGTCTTAATATAAAATGTCTTAAGTTTAAAAAAATAATCAGGTTTTGTTTTTTATAAATTTAAATATCTTTAAAACTAATTGTCAGATTTTGATGAAATTTATAGTTTAATGACTTAAGATATTACTTTATATAACGACATAATTTTTACATTAGTACTATTTATAGTAAACCTTCAGCTAACAATTTTTGGACAATACGATACTATTCGGTCATATTATACATTCTTAAAAACTAAAACTATATATTACTTTATAAAATTATTTTATGATAATATAGGTGTTAGAAAACTAATTTTTAAATATATTATAGTTGTTTTCTAAGAATACAAATAAAATAAATTTAGAAAAAATATAGAAATAATATACAAAATTAATATCATATGTATTTTTATTGTAAAAAATATTTATTTTTTATAATAAAAATGGTTTTGATATTAGGTGGCGCTAACTTTTATTTTCTATGGCAATATTGGTCATGTATTATACCGTATCCAACAACATGTATACACCAAACATTTCATCTCTGCCAACACTAGTATTTATATATTATAATTTAGTAAAAAATGTATGCTTTTCCTAAATATAATATTAATAAAATTTGATATTAGAATTTCACTAGAATTTCTAATTTGCTGTAATACTATAAATTGTATATAAGATATATTTTTACCATTATATAACATAATATAAACAAAATTTAAATCTTCTATATAAAACTCAAATTGTTAAATATAAAATAATTTAATGTTAAGTAATTTTTACTTTTACTAATTTTATTTTGTCATTTTTATTTAATTATATTATGATTATAAATGTATTTATTTTTAAATTACAAAATATTTGTAATATTCTATGTTTGTATTTTATTAATTTCTAAATAGCAAATAAAATTATTACATACATGAAATCATAATAAGTTATATTAATATACAAAAATATTACTAAACTATAATAATTAATTTAACTTAARGTCAAATGTTTTATGTCATTATAAAAGATATATCGTATCTGTATTTTATAGATAAGTTCTTTACTTAATTTAATTGAAGAATTAATTTTCAACAATATATATATATTACACAAATAATTGTGCAAAATATTAAAACAATAAGTTTAATATAAAATTAGTATCATAAATATAAAACATGATTATATTAATTTTGATGATATGTTTTAATCCTTAGTTATGTTATTTTAATTATTAAACAACATGTTTTGGAAAACATTTTGAATATAATCAATTAAAATAAAGTTTTAATACAATAGATTAAATATATACTATAACTAAGTATTAAATAAAATCAATTTAAATAAAAATAGATTACTAATATTTACTTATTTGATTTTAATTTCAATAAAATATTGTAACATTTGYTAAGTTATAACTAAAAATAAAACAATAAGTCATTGAAATACTGTAAATAAATATTAGCATTCAATGTAATAAAAGTTTATATATATATATATAATATAAATTTTAATTAGTTTATAATCATATGTTAAGTTTAAAAATTTTAAATGTCACGATATTTATAGAAATCAAAGTCAAAACAAGTTTTTTCCAAAGTATATATTTATTGTTWTTATAAAATTTAATAAWATTTTAAACATTKAAGAGATATTGAATACACACTATTAATTTGAACCCTTAATTTTATATGAATCTTATATAACAATCTTAATAATATTATTGATATAAAAACAATTTGTTTATAAATTTAGTTTATTTACTTTAAAGATATTTTAAAATTCTATTATTATATGTAATCCTAAACAAGTAATTGTTAGAGAGAGAGAAAATTAGAGAGAAAGAGAGAGAGAAAGAGAGAGAGAGAGAGAGAGAGAGAGAGAGAGAGAGAGAGAGAGAGAWAGAGAGAGAGAAAGAGAGAGAGAGAGAGAGAGAGAGAGAGAGAGAGAGAGAGAGAGAGTATTACAATAAATGTTATTCAATAAAAATTGTTTCAAATCCATTGAATTTTATAACATTCATTTTAATGTGAATTGAATCCTCTCTTGTATTTTCAAATATTGATATCTAATTTGAAATGCATTTCTCGCGGCATTTCATTTCAAATGCTTACTTGTAATTTCAAACTATATGTTAATCAATTTGTATGTAAATTTAAAATACAGGATTCAAATAAAATTATTATAGAGTCACTCGTATTGTCAGTGATGCTATGATTTTGTCATTTAAAACATTTGCTTAAAAATCATATTTGCATTATAACTAATAGGCTATTAACTATAGTGATACTCATTAGTTAATTATAATTTTGGTTATATCATATAAATAATGGTAAAATGTATAATTAGTAATTATTAATTACATATAAATTATTGCCTATATAGTCAAAATTATTGTAGAGTTTAGATTTAATAAATACTAAAATCGCAATCAATGATTTGCACAAATATCTCATTATTAATTATTCTTAGCATTAATATTATAATATTTATTATAAACTTTATTAACAATTTTATCGATACATCATAATTTATAGTWTACTATACTTTTTATATATTGGTTATATTAACAATATATTTAAATTATTATACATATTAATATAATTAAATATAAGTAATTATGAATATATTATAAAATTATTTTATTTGTTAAAAATAAATATAAAATAAAAGTATGACATACCTGAAGATGGTTTTGTTAAGTTTGTTAGTGTTATGTTAACAAAGTTGTATTGAGAGAGTGTCACGTCTTTACTAATCACTACAGGGGTCTGTCCTTTCCATTTGTAGACAATGTCTTTGGCTGAATAGGCAACTATACATTGTATACAAACAACAAATAATATATTATACTGTATTAACATTATTTGACATCTTTACCATTATATTTATTATCTATAAATAAACTTTTATTTATCTGTCACTTTGAATCTTAATCAAAAATAATAAACAAATAACACGGTTTGAAAATATAATGATAATAAATTGTTCAAATTTTAGTAACAAAATAAAACTTAAAACTTATTTTTTCTCATTTACTCAATTTAAACAAAGTTTTACTTATTTTAACACTTAAATGTTACTTAACTGTACAGCACTGCACTTAACTCTAATTTTTAAAAAGTAATGCTATATTACTTTTAATTATATATATATTATATTGTATACTACTGTATAGTATATTGTATTATATAAACTAGTACTGTCAAACTTGTACATTACATTATATTTAAAAAATAAATWAATACTAAAATTTAAWGATTAATTATTATAAAAAAACACATTATAAATGTTAGTATGCATTGTATTTTGTCAAAAACGTTGATGAAAACATTGTAAAGGTGTTTTTAATTTTTATTTAAAAATTATTAAAAAATTAAAATAAATTGAATATAAATTAATTTATTAATGACATATAAAATAGTAATGCATTATGTAATGAATAAAAAGTGATGCAAAACGTCAAAACTAAGCGTTTCTATGTGTAGTATATAATGTTAAGATTGAATACAAAACGAACTAAAAGATTCAATTAATATTTAATATAAAAAACTTTAAGCATAACTGATATGATTTTAACATTTAACTGCAAATATAACTTTACATATATTAGATGCAAATATTAAAAATATATAATTTATATCTCTTGAGGCCATTATATAAATCATGATAAACTCGGCATTTGCTTAAAAAAAAATGCATAATTATTTTACAACATTTTATACTATATAACTAGAAATTTTCCAGTACATTTTCATTAAATACTGTATATAAATATATCTCATCAGGGTTAAGCGCTGGGGTTAAGGGGTAAGGTTGACATAATATTTTTAATTAACTTTAATATTTTTAAGTTTTGACGGCTACTTTTGTCAATATATATTTTATTTATTTAATATAAAAAAAATGTATAATAAGACTCACAACTGCCTATTTGTAAACCACACGATTGCATATCAAACGGATATTTTCTCAGATGCATTGGACACGAAGCCTTTATTGTGATTCTAATAATAATAATAATAATAATAATAATAATATATTTAATGAAATTATGTTTTATAAAAAGTAATGTATTGTAAACCTCATTGAATATCTGAGTTGTCCGTCTTGTCTAACTCTAATGAATTTGTTAGGAACCGTCACTTTATGCATATAACTATTTCTTCCGTTAAATATAGAAGTGTCGGGAATCCAAACCCTTTGCAAAAATTTCCAATCCTTTCAAACACAAAGACAACAAAATCTCTTCATTAATGAATAAAACTTCTGTTTTCATAATTAATGTCAAAAAGGTTTTTAAATTCATTATTTAAATGTTAAATTAAATACTTAAAAATGATATTCTATTATAACTATATTAAGTATATCTAAAAACTTAGAATATTAACTATAGATATAATTTTAATTAAATTAATAATAATATAATTACGTTAATTATATGCAAATACATAAAATATAATAATACTGTAGTATATTGTATTTATATTTGATACGATATTATGAACTTAGCTAACCATAGATAATACCAAAAGTATGTCATTTTTACTATAATTACCAAATCGTAATCTCGGGTCAACCCATGTTTGACGAAAATAGCAATCCATTGAATAAATCTATTGTAGTGTCATTCATACGTAAAATATATTGTTAAAAAAWTTTTTATTTGTAAAAGAAATAAATAATTTTATTATATTTTTAGTCAACAAATATTTGATAAGAAATAAAATAAAAATATTAATTTAATTAGCATAAATAAATATTAATAATAAAAACTATAAAAATTCTATAATATAATATTGACACAATATTTATACGATACTTGCAATAATAATAATATAAAAATAATTAATAAAATTAATCGATTGAATACCATTTCGCTTTCAGAAATTGGTCCAAAACTTCTGATCTCTATATCGGTGTAAATCTCCAGCGGATCACCTAATTTGCAGTAATCTATACATTACTTTATAAGCAATTTATTATGTTATATCATATGATCATTAAGTATTAATAAAATATTGTATTTTGTTTTTCCATTTTATGCATTATATAAATATGTTATTGCTCAAAATTTGTTATATAATATAGTTTCTTGTATTGCATTTTATAAAAATAAGTTAATAAACAAAACTTAATAATAAATTATCCAAATTTCTTATCCAAACATTGCATAAAATTTAAATCATGAAAAGATTCAAATTAATTATAATTTGACAAACAGTATAGTAGTTAACAAACAATCAGTGCCACTGAAAATGTTTTCACTGCCTTTATCTGTAAACAGTATAATACCCCTATCTATATAACATTTTAAAAATTATTATATGTTTGATATTTAACTTTAGTTTTTCGATTAGTTATGTCGTATATATTTAGTACAAAATTAAATAACATGTAATTTGCAATAATATAAATAATATACCAATAATAATGTTAATGCTGTAGTGTTTAGATAAGTCTAAGCATTTTAATAGTAATAATAGAACCATTGTTGTCATTGACTGGATATTAGTTTATTTAAAAGTATTGATAAAAAAAACAACACAATTGTATGTATGATATTCAAGGCATGAATCAAATCAAATAACAATGTATTTTCTAAATGCATTTACAGTATATATGTTATACAGTGTACACAATATTGTACGTAAGTATGTGACAAATTTAAGCCATTATTTGATGATTTGATTATAAGAGGTGTCAATAATGTACTGTAAATCGAGTGCTTTGTTTTCAAGCCATGTCCCATAATATTTACAATAATAATAATATAATAATACTATATCTACTGATATATGATAGTTATACAGTTACACTATTTTCACAAATTGTCACACACACCCACACACACACACACACACACACACACACACACACACACACACACACACACACACACACACACACACACACACACACCCACACACACACAATTTCAAGTCTCAAGTCTATCACATTTCCTAATACTCATGACTTATGCAATATTGATAAATATAATAAAAAATATATATATAAAATCTAATTACAAAGTTTAATATGTAATGTTAAAGTACATTACATACTGTTGTACAGTATGTGTAATAAATATACTGTATATGTCCTATGAGTATTGAAAATATTTAAATTAAGATTTTAGAAACTGATAAACAAGTAATATATAGTCTATTGATAATTGTATAATATTTTATATTTAATACTATCAATAACTCAAAAGGTTTGTCCTATAAAAATGTAACAATTTTTAATTTTCATAATTTCTATAAATAAGTTTTAAAATTATATTTAAAAATTACATATCAGAGTTAGTTTTAGTGTTTAATGATTTAGTTTAAGTTTACTATGAAATTATACTTTATTATAAAAATATTAAATTTACTTAAAAAACATACTTTTCTTAATTATATAAATATATATATATATATATATATATATATATATATATATGTATAATAAATCAAAATTAATATTAAACTGTAATATAAAAATACTAAAAAAACTAAAGCAATGAAACATCACTTAAATTGATATTGAATTACAATTAAATAAAATGAAAGTAATATAACTCTTACCCCCAAATCCCGGTCTAATTCGTTTGTCGTACACATCTTCAGACAAAAGTTGATCCAAAAGATAACTCATATTTGAAAGAAAAGCCAATTTGAGATTATTTTGTGAAATATTTGTTGTCATTTCAGTGACATCCGAGATATCCAATTGGTATTCATTTGGAGAAACAGTTGTACTTTTAGGTTGTCTTTCAATGTATAGAACAGATTTGGTACTAACTTTTGGCACTAATGTTATGTTTATTTTTGATTGTATTTTTATATTATCTATTGAATGGCTATAAGAATAATTTTATTATTTTCATTATTTATCAAATTATTATTAATTATTAGATATTTAAATTTTTATATTTAATTTTAAATAATTTTTAAAAATAAATTATATTATTCTAAATCAATAGATTCATAAAATAAAGAAATAATTTTTGAATAGTTATTTTACTTATGTGTAAATGAGTCCACAAAATGTTGATTTAATAATAATAATAATAAGAGGCATGACATCCACTTAATGAAACTATAAAATGGTGTGAAGCAATACCACCACTTGTTTTGCTTGATTTGTTCAAACATTTCAATTATTTTTTGTTCAGATAATAGATTTTTACTAGTTTTTGGTATTTTTTTATTGACTATAAGTTTGTTTGAAATGATTTGTTGTCTGAGATTTACATTAAGTTCAAAGATAATTGAAAGCAATTATACGAACATTTCGTTTATTTCAAATACATTTGTCGGATGTCTTGATTTGTGTTCAAATGATCTTTTAATATGAAAAAGAATAAAATGTTTCTTTTAATTAGCTTTATATTAGTCGCCAGACAAACAAATTCACAATTAATTGATATTTCAGTTAACTATTAATATTTTTTTGCAAATTTTTTCGACTATAATAATGTTAAGCATTTAATGTTTATTTTTAGATTTGATACAAATAATATTATAAAATTAAATATAATAATTTAATAATAAAGTAATATTTAAAGTAGGGATTAATTTTGAAAAATTCATATAAAAGCTCTATATATAGCTTTTGGTCTATATTTACATTATAAAAAATATATGTTAATTATTTAATTATCTAGGTACAATAGTATAATGTTATCATAAAATATCTTACATAATTTACATAAGGTAAATATATAAATGCTATTTATATTATATTCTTTAGAAAATATACAATATATGATACATTATTTGTTTCTAAATAGTGAATTTAGAATAAATATTTTTATTTAATTATTTATATAATACTTAATGAATAAGTAATTAGTATAAATAATTAGTATAATTTTTAATTAATATATTAAATAATTAAATTAGAAATAAATAAAATAAATTTTACCTTTTTCCATAAAAATAATTCCAAATTATAACGTTATCTTTTAGTGATTTATCAATTTTATTTTTAATTTCATATTTTAAGTAACTTAAAATTTTTGAAAACAAGTATATATAATAAATCAAATTTAACGTAAAAATATTTAAAAGTTTTAGTAATAAATGATTTAAGAATAGTGTTTAAACTTTATTGACATCAATAGTGTTTAAAACAGTTGTTATCTATTCATTGAATGTGTGAACCGACTACTAGTTTATGTGAATTGAAGACAATGTTGAAGACAATGATTTTGCGCACACAGTGTATACAATCCATACAATACTATACATCACTTTGAATGATCAACTAAGGTATGTATGTCTTTATGTCTTAAAATAACAAAATTTCATCAAAATATGCTTAACTATTGTAATTTAAAACTGTATATTAATCTTAATACTACACATTAATGTAATACTTTATAATATTACATTAAATACGTATTAATATTATAAAATGTCATTTCATTTACCTTAATATTTGGTCAATTTATAAATATATTTATACAGTTTTTATGGTCTGATATTTACTGTTAAAATATAAAATTGAAATTTTACTGTAAAACAATGTCATTTTTATCATCTTACTATATTATCATTAATATTAAATATATAATATTTTATTAATATATTAAATAAAATTCATTTGTTCCTTCATCTGAATTCTATATTTCCGTTCGCTTTTTATTGAATTTTTAAATTTTGACTTCAGATTTGGATTCAGATTTCAAATAAGGTATAAGAGATCAGCATTAAAATTTTGATATCTTCGGGAACATAGAGAAAATGGCGGTCAAAGTACAAAAATTTTAAACTTATTATTTAATTTTTATATTAGAATTAAACATCAAAAATAAGTTATATATGGAATTAGAATACAAATTTTTATATCTTAAAAAAGATAGAAAAAATGAAGCTTAAGTTAATACTTTTTAAATTTAAGTTAAATTTAGAATAAATATAATAATTTATTTTAGTTATTTTATACTAAATGAATAGTTGAGTTTATTTTGTAATACTGAGCCATTTGATACCCCACATAACTAAAGTTGAGTTAATTTTTTCATACTCAGTCATTTTGTACCCCACATTACTAAAGTTGAGTTTATTTTGTCATACTGAATCATTTGAAACCCTATATGACTAAAAATGAGTTTTATTTGTTATGCTGAAGCATCTGATTTTTATTTAATTTTTAATTTGGATTAGGAGTTCGTATGGAAATGCTTTCTAGCATTCTCAACTAGTTATAAATGAAGATATTTGTAAAAATTGAATTTTTCCGTTTAATTGATTTAATTACTTTCCAATTATCTTTAAAAGATAAACATATTTGAAAATAATTTTAAATAATTGCAATTGTGTTAAATTTATTATAAATAAATATATTAATTCATCAATAAATCAATTGCTAAATTAAATGATCGAATAGTTATTTAGCTCCAAATTATTATATTTTTGACTAATAAACAATTTTCTACAAAGTTATAAATAAATCTTTTTTAACGGAAAATTTTTATATTATTAGGTACAGTATTATTTGTAATGTTATCTAAAATATTTTTTGATTTAAAATAAAAACTGTTTTGTTTAAACAATAAAAATATAAATAACAATCTTATAAAAGAGGAAAGAGAGAGAGAGAGAGAGAGAGAGACTTTATAAACTAAATTTAAATATAATTGTTTTGTCAAAAAGTTAAACAAATCTTTGTTTTTCTATCTTTTATAGCAAAAAATCAGATCCCAAGAGATCAGAATCACTGTCATTGTAAAGACCTTTCTTTTGGATTATACGTTGATTTTTGCTTAAGACGACAAAGTTTATACCAAATTATACACTATATATGATATACTAAACTGTATTGCATTAGTCATATACAGGAAAAATAGTCTAAACTTTTTTATTTCATATGCAAATAATATTGAGTCAAATACTGAACTTTAAAAGCGATTTCATATATAAGACTTGATTTTATTTTGAGTTTACAATAGTTATCAAAACATTCAATCCGTTCTTTAACTTTATTCATGAATTTTTATTTGAGAAAATGCACCAAAAGTTTTACACAATAACTCTTAACAATAAATAAAAAGTTATTTTCAGATATTCACAAACTCCTGAAAGGATCTGAATTCTTAATGTCTGTCTGTCTGTCTGTCTGTCTGTCTGTCTGTCTGTCTGTCTGTCTGTCTGTCTGTCTGTCTGTCTGTCTGTCTGTCTGTCTGTCTGTCTGTCTGTCTGTCTGTCTGTCTGTCTGTCTGTCTGTCTGTCTGTCTGTCTGTCTGTCTGTCTGTCTGTCTGTCTGTCTGTCTGTCTGTCTGTCTGTCTGTCTGTCTGTCTGTCTGTCTGTCTGTCTGTCTGTCTGTCTGTCTGTCTGTCTGTCTGTCTGTCTGTCTGTCTGTCTGTCTGTCTGTCTGTCTGTCTGTCTGTCTGTCTGTCTGTCTGTCTGTCTGTCTGTCTGTCTGTCTGTCTGTCTGTCTGTCTGTCTGTCTGTCTGTCTGTCTGTCTGTCTGTCTGTCTGTCTGTCTGTCTGTCTGTCTGTCTGTCTCTCAAAATAGATTTTTAAATTTAGATTTGTGTAAAACATCAAAATTAAGATATAGGGGATTAGCGTTAAAATTTTATTATCTCTTCATGAATATAAAGAAAATTGCGGCTAAAATACAAGTTTTTTAAAAAATAAGTTCGTTTTAAGCATCAAAGTCTAGTAAAGAATGTTTTAAAAATGATGTAAATAAATGTTAAATATTTTTAAATATTTTACAGTATATAGCAAAATATCAAAATATAAGAAAATTTTTAAAAATCATAGCAACAAACAAATTATTTATATGATTTAATATATTTATGTTTATAGTTATTTTTATTATATTGAGTTATTAGATAGCTTTCACCATTAAAGTTAAGTTTATTCTGTTATACTGTCATTCTATTAGATCGTAATCAATCCCCGATCTATACATCATATCTTTTTTCTCAATATACAGTAATTAATAAATTTATAAAATCAAAGAATATTAAATAATAAAATAATGTTTACATGATTTAATAAATCAGTGAATGTGAAGTTGGTGTGAAAATGCTTTCTAGCATTCTCAACTAGTTTTATAATAAAATGATTAGAAGTATATTATTTATAAAACATTTCAATAACATTATAAATTATATGACCAACTTTTCAAAATGTTATTTAATCTATTTGTGTCTCTATTTACAAATTATTATTATTATGTATATATCAGGGTTAAGCAAGGCTTTTTGATTTTAGGGGGGGGGAGTAGACCGGGGTGAAATTTACATAATTTTCGAAAAATCTTGGGGGAGTATTGGGTGGGGTAAGATTTTTATTGCATTTTTAAACGGCAATTTTTTCAAAAATCCAAAATCAAGACGTGGGGGTCAAGAGAAAATTCCCGAATATTCCCATGTAAATTCCATAAAGTTCCCATAGTTTCCCGTATAAGTTCATGATATCACATTATAGGCATGTTATTTTTATACAAATACTGACTGAATACTAATTATTTAACTCAATTTTCGTTAGTTTTAGTTATATTAATTATAAAATTGAAAAATATTTTCAAATTTTTTATTTAAAATTTTAAAAATTATTAATAAAAACTTTATAATATAAGTATTTATTGTTTTATTAACTTCTTAAACTTCTATTTAAATTGTAATCATGATTACTCTTTTCAACAAATAAGTAATTTTTAATTTTTTAGTTTAATATTTCAATTAAAATAATGTTAGTTTTAGATGAGTTTTAACGTTATTTTAACTTTTTTACTTATTTTTAATCAATAATTATTCATATAAATTTTAAAAACAAAAACACATACTAAAATTGTACTAATTAAAATTAAAAATTTATATAACTTAAAAAAATTTCGGCGCCTTAGGCCTTAGGGTCATTTCTCCTAGTTTTTAAGCGACAATTTTTCCAATTTGGTCAAAAAGTCTGGGGGGTAAAATTCCAAAATCTCGATCTTAGGGATTTATTTTGGCCTTTACCCCCCCTTACTTAACCCTGGTATATATATATATATATATATATATAAATACAAATTATTATATTAAATTTTTAAATATAATATAATTATAAAAAAAAATATTTTAGTTTACAGTTAAGATATTAAGTAAAAAAATTAAATGATATTTTTATTCATAGAAATATGAAATTTATTTTTAGCTACCATTATATACTGTATATAAATATATAAATAATCTGAAAATTAAATTTGACATTAGTTTATGATTTTTCTATATGTTTATTGTGCTTATCTATACTATATATGTAACTATTTTTGTCATTTTTCTTAAAGCAAAAGTGACAAAAAGTGATTTTTATAAAACAAGTTATTGAAATGTATAATCAAATATGTTTAACTCAATTTTTGTGTGTGTATTTTTGGATAAATAAAACAAAATAAAAAGTAAATTAATCTACTGTACAGTAGCCATCTAATCATGTAATTGATATTCACATGTGTGTCAATTTAAAAGATTATTATTATCGCAAAAATATTTGACAAAAATTTAATTTTATATAATTATTTTTATGTATTGATATTATACAAAAATAAGAAAAATTATTCAATCAACTATTTAAAGATAAATTTATATATTATATAGTAGTAATCATAATTTTTCAATATTACTTGTTTTTATATGTTTTTTTTTTGAAAAAATAAAGTCAATAAAGTATTATATATCGCTTAAAGTAAATCAATCACAAGATTTTTTTTTAGTTATATACTTGTATTTATATAAAATCAAATGATTGATTTAAATTCAATAATATAGTATGTAAAACACTATTATAAAAATATTATGCTAAATAAAAAAAATAAAATCAGTGTTCCGTATATTAAGTGTAAAGATTTTTTTAATTTTAGAATTTTTGTCTTTACTTTTATATAGAATAAGCTATAAAAAATGAAATTTAATAAATTTATTTTATTCAATTTTAGTAACTAATGTTTTTATTATAAATTGTACTGTACCGTATATTTTTTAGATTAAAAATGTATGTCTGATTTTGTTTTTGTTGAATTTAATTATTTAATATTACAGATTAATATGTAAAACTGATTACATTTAATTTCAAGTCCATTGAATGGTACGCTTAAAACACCAAAACCTTTACTGTAATCTAAAACTCCAACTACTGTTGAAATATAATCAAAATATTTTATAAGACATTTACCGATAAAATAAGTTTGTGACACATTTGCTGAATATCTATGATATTCTTTACCAATAACAGCATTGGGTGGTAATTGTTGTGGTTTTGATGATATAAATTGCCAAATATAGGCATTTAATGAAATTTGTAGTAAAACTTGAAACTTTTGAAACGCCTGTTCCCTTCCCTTGTAAACCATATAACAGATATTTTCAAACATATGGCCAACAATTATCATATTATTGATAACTATTCTGCAAATATAGAATTGGTTTCCAAACGAGTCATTGCCGACCAAAACCATTAAATCTGATCTTTGTTTTATAGAATCGTTAAATACATGCCATTGTAATTGTGAACAACTGTTTTATATGTATATAAAATATATGCATTATATATACTGTATATACAAATGCTATAAATTATTCTATATTACAATAATAAAGAATTTTGTTAAAAAATATTAATTGTATTTTTATATCATTTATATATCATAAAAATTACTTAATATTATAGATGAAAACATATATATTTTTGACTCAATATTTAAAAACAAATATATAATTTTTATTTTATTTTTTATTTTTTAATATTGAATATTATATTTATATGAAAATATTTATTTTTATTATATTGATAAAATATTTTCAAATTATTTTATGTGTAAATAAACTAAAATTGTTTATAAAATCTGATTTTTATTTTTATTTGTATTTATTTTTTTAACGTTTATATATTTGTAACATTGTATTGTAGTATACTATAAAGTATGTCTAAGATAAACTTGAATTTATATATAACTAAATAATGTTTATTCTTAACTATTATTTATATTGTCAAACAAAATATTTTTTTTTTGAATTCAAATAAAATCACAATTAATTAAAAATAAATTTAATAATTAATTTCTTAACAAAATTAATACTTAATTTTATTTGTAATGTTTCTTTAAATTTTGTTTAGTGTTATAATAGATTACAGTTTGATTGAATATAAAATTATAAATTTCAAACAATAAGAGATATAGAATAAATAAATATAAATTAATTGTTATTATAAATAATTAATTTTGTAAAAAAAATATTAGTAATATAACAAACTTAAATTAATGAAATATTAATAGACTATAATATATAAAAAACACTTACTTTAAAGTATTATTATATGTTTGTACGATTTTGTCATCATTTTCAGAGCATTTATAAAAGTTATTAATATTTTTAATGTCCAAATCACTGAATCCTAAGTTTGAACCTAATTTTATTTGTTTATTTTTGGCAGTCATCTGTAAAAATAAAATTAATTATTGAATATAAAAATATAATATAATTGTTATAATTGAGCGAACAGTTGGTCTCCCGTTCCTCGAAAAGGCTGTTTCTTCGTACTGCAAGACACTCTTGTAATCGTAATTATAATTATAATTCATTGAATCGTTTTTTGCAATAATTTCAAACTCATATTCCATTCCTTTAAATAAAGAATTGCAATCAAACATTAAATTAAACATTAAATCATTTTTAAAATACTAATTATTTTAGTTAATAATTTTATTTGAAATTATATAATAAAAAATTAATAGTAAATAAAATATTATATAAACTTAAATTAATTATTAATATGATAATCAAATACGAATTGGTAAAAATATAAGTAAATTTATAATATATGTTAGTAATAATTATTAGTATGAAATTCTCATATTATAATATATTAATCATATCTAGAGTGAAAAAGTAAATACTGGATAAACTGAATAACAAATCTATTAAAATTTTTATCTAAAAACACAATACATCTAATTTTATTACAAAATGTTAATACAAATTATTAACAAAGACTGAGTTGTTAAGTCAAATATTGAACATTTACTAACTATATATATATATATATATATATATATACTTAAAAATATATATTTAATTAATATAGTTATAACTTATAAGTTATAACTAATACCTCGTTTAATATTTTCTCGATGTATATCAATATATATGTCTCTATCATAGCGTTGATGTTCGTGAAAGAAACCGATTGAATGCATTAATTCATGTATTATTGTATGCAATTGTAGACATCCGTCACCCAAAGTAACATTTTGACCCTTTCCCTGACGACCCACTGGTGATGAACATCCCTGTCCACTGGTAATCAACACATAATCCGTATCCTGTGGTTGTTTCAAAACAAACTTAACACAAGTTTTGTTGTGAAAACTATTGATTGCATTCAATATAAGCTGTCGACTATCAGACGAAAACGTGTCGGATATTACATAAGGAATCGTTGCGTTTAACCATTTCTTGTTGTTATCTTTTGTTGTCAATCGTGTATTTAGCTGTTATTTATTTACAAAATCAAAATTAATTATTATTTTATCAAAGTTTTTTTTATAATATAAACACAAACTAACTCTATTTTATATTTTAATAAATACTGTATAACTAAATATACAAAAAAGTTAATATAGAAATTATAATAATCAAACATACAGTTTATGTTTTCATTGAAAACTAAAAGTTAACTGATTTATTTAAATATGAATAAATTACTAAAATTATTTAATTATATTGTGGTTTTATTAACATATAAATTGAGTATATAAAATAAATTATTGATTTGCTGTACTTATAACATATATATTTAGATAAATAGTATTGTATAGTACAATATATTGAATATTAGTTAATATTATTAATATTTATATTAATAAAAAATAATAAGATCTAATTTTATACCTTGTTGCTATGTAAATTATAATTGTGATTTATTGTAGATAAATAATTTATTTGCAGATAAACTTTAATTAAAATATTTTATTATAATTTAAATTAATTAATTTAATCTACAAACCTATAATTAACGTAAAATATTTATAACAACAAAACATAATACAGTATTTATAATAAAGTATTTATAAAAATTTATATTAATAAAAAATATCTAAGTAAAAATAATACTAAAAATTAACTCAAATTATTTGTCTAATAAAAACTTTATTTGATATCATTAACAATTATGCTGTTGAATAAAATAATGAAATTAATTTTAAAAACAGCAAATATTTAAAGGCATGAATTGAAATTGCATATTATATTAATATGTGATTAAATATTTTATATTATTTTATATTTTAAAAAAACATCATTAATATAAAAGTGCTAATATAATCTATTTAAAGTTATTATTATGTAAATTTAATTGCAACGTAAACTTATTTAGAGTGTAGATGCAATTATAATATTTATACAATTAAATTTATTTTAGCAAAATTAATTTTAAACACAACTTAAATCTTTTGAATTTGTTTACATTTAATTGAATTGCATTTTAGAAATTTTATTTATAAAGTAATTAAGAAATATATTAATAAAGTAGTATTTATTTGAGAGCTTTATATATTCAATATTATACATTTAGTATTTTTGATAAAACCAACGCAATATTGCTATTAATACATATTTGTAAAACATTTAGTAAGTGTTGTCATCTAATGTTGTCGTTTACAACAAATCAATTGATTTAATATATTAAACTACAGTTATTTTCTTAGTTAAATTTAATTAAAAAATTAAGTAATTTAATTACATTAAATAATAATATAAATATTATAAAATTACAAATATATTTCATTATTATAAATAAAATAATAAAACAAAATTACTTTAAAAATATTATTACTAACAGTTATTACTTTATTTGTCACAGATTTTTAGGTAATAAATCTTTACCGATTAGTTATAATTGAATTTTGTGTCAAATTTACAGTAAACATAAAGTTAATAATGCATTTACAGAAATTTTTGATCATTTTTAAACTTTAAATAAAAAAGTAAAAACTTGTTATAATAAAATTGTTTTAAAGAATACTAATAATATTACATTTAAACTATAATTATGGTTAACATGAATAAAAAAATCACGTATTAATTATAAATTATTATTATTATTTAATTTTAATTAATATATATTGAAAACAACTTAAAAAATATTTATATTAATAATAATAATTTATAATATATAAATTGACTTTTTATAATTTATTTATTACCATTATTTTAAATTTTAAAACAATATTATTTCTTATATATAACTACAGACAATTTGTTAATATTTTTATGTTTTGAAGATAAATATAAAATATATAAATATAAACATAATAAAAAATAAATGAACAATAGTTTTTAAATTGCAATTTCTTTTATACATATATTTTACAAGATTTAGTACATCAGAAAAAATGCATTTCAATAAATAATGCATTGTATATTTTAAATGTAAAATAAATAGTTGTTTAAAAAGTCAATAAACAGTATATATCTATGATATATTTGCAAAACAAATGTCACAATAAACTAATAATGATATATTGATAGTGAAATGTGATAAATAATTGTTTTAAGCAATAAAATACAAAATTTTTTAGAGTAGATTAAACTGAATGTTTGGTCGACAATCCATTACTAATGTGACGGCTATTATGATTATAGCATCCATTGGTTGACCAAAAAATAAATAAATTAGTAAACCATTTGTAATGCTTTTTGGATGTCGTGACTGAAGTCTGAAAATAGTGTTAATAATAATAATAATATTAATATATAGAAAGTCAGTGTATTTTCTCAGACATCTCTCTCAGGAATATTAAGTATATTTTCAATATATATATATATATATACTGTATATAATATATACAGTTATCTAGTGAAACAAAAAGTAGTGTTATTTGCGATCAATGATGAGATGCGCTCTAACAGTAAATTGAGTTTACAGTACATCCAAGTCCTCAATCCTGTCTCTTCCTAATCATTGATGAATACTATATAGTAATAGACGACATGCGCACCGATAGCACCATAAGACTAATACTTTGGGAGATGAGAGTCACCTATAAGTTGCACAACTCTATTGCACTCCAAATGTATTGTTGGCCACTGTTGCCCATCTCATCACTTATTATCACTTATTATCATTAATTTTTCATATATACATACAATCTCTCCATTATTAATACAACAATGTGATCAATAAATCATTTTAAATTATTGCTTTAAAAATTGTTTATTTAAAATCTATAATATTATTTATTAAATGACTACCAATATCATGGTGTATCTCATTGAATAACATTTATTAAATAAATAGAGAATTTATTAAATTTAATTATAAAATAATGCTTCACTTAAAAACTATTTGTGAAATTTGAGTGAAAATTTGCTAATATTATTAAAAATAGTTTAACAAATATTAAAGTTGTATCAGTAATATTTGATTTAAATGGATGATCAATAATATAGTCGACTGTTTTATTTAGTACTAAACAGTAAGATTGAAAAATTATATACTGAAATACATAGAGTTAAATATACTGTACTTATCACACACACATTGATCACTTGTTTATCGTATTTTAAGCCAAAGTTGTATGAAATTGTATGTAAAAAATGTTTAGCTYTAAGAAATGACATACAATTGTGAACATATCTTTAGTATTTGTGTCTGAAGAGCACAACTTATTGTCTAAAAAAGACATTACTTTGTGAGTGACTGTGAAAATCCAATCTTTGACTGCAATAGTATACAAAACAATGAATTAAATTTTCAATTATATTATATATATTTTAGTCAAAAACAGTGTTTGGATATGACTTTGATTGCAATGCCAAAGAGTGCTGTTGTATACTATAAGTTATAGATGGAGTTTATAGAAAAGGATAAACACAGAGATGTAGTTTCTCATCATATATTGAAACACTGGAAACCACTTATAGTTGATTTATTTCATAATCAATTCTCTGATATTAAAGATTTGCTAAAAAAATCATTTACCCATAAATTTGAAAGTCATAATTATATAATTAGTTACTATTAATTTTTTACACAAATTTGTAGCAATAAATAATAATAATTATTATTATTATATTTAATAATAATGTTAATTCATACATAATGGCAATTGATGTTTATTTAATAATTGTTTTTATTTATCTAATTATTGGGTAAGTTTTAAACAAATTAATCTATAATATTAATTGTTTCTTTATTATATTTACTGTATAAATAGCAGTACTATTTACCAATAATACAGTAATTATTAGTTTTATTAATTTGAATTAATTAGAATAATCATATCGTTTAATCACAAATTTTATTTTTAAAAACATTTTATTAATAACATTATTTAAGATAAAATCACAAATCACTTTATGACTTATTATGTTAATGAATTATTTTATACTTAAATAATAATATTTAAATTTATGAGTTATCTAACATGTAATTTATTAGATTGTCATAATTTTTTATTGATAAGTGATAATCAAAATTTATCTATATGTTAATCAAATGTAATTTTTAATTAAATTATCTTTTAACAAAAAATTTTCAAAAATTAAATACATTATTTACAATATAATTTTATATATTAATATTAAAACTTTTATTTAACTTCATTTTTATATACAGTAATTTTGTAAAAATAATAAATTATAATAAGACTTACAAATTATAAGAATCTACATAATATTGAATGTTTGAGTCAATTTGATTTATTATTTTAATATTTTTAAACAAAATATTTATATTTCTTTAGTTATATTTATTGTTTTCTTTGAATGTATGAATATAAAGAACTGTTTCTAATAATTAATTGTAAAACATATACATAAAAAACTTTAAAAACTAAATTTAAAACCTTATTAAACAGTTATTAATTTTATTACTATGTTAAATGTATTTTATAATTTATAATAAATATTAATAAATGGTTTTAATCATTAAATTAAAAAAAATTTTAGATATTAATTTTTAATAACTAGTTCATAGTATACAAACACGTTTGATATTGACAAACAATTTAATATTGCTTTAGATACAAATATTTTGATCAATTTATTATACTGTATTATTAATATTATAAAATTAATTGAAAATAACATCACGCTATCAAATAATAATTTATAACTATATATACATATTGTATACAATGTAAATAATTTAGGATCTATTAAGAAAATAATTTTGTAAAACTTTTACTATAATACTATAATTGTTTGTTTATATCTCAATAATATCTATTTGTTATATCTATAAAAATATGTATAACTCGCAGCTAATTGATGATAGTCTCAGTTAAAAGCCTATTGGCAGAAGTTAAATTTGAATTAACCATGGTCAAAGCTAAACAATACTATATTTGTTTAATTTAAAACCCTTAATATAAATTAATTTTATTGAGATAATGTTAACTTTTATAGAAAATTTTATTATATTTTTTATTTTTATAAAAAATATCTTTTCATTAAACACTTAGTATATCCAATCTTTTAAAATGATTTCCTTTTTTACTAAATTTTCTAAAATAAATAAAACAGTCTTTCAATTACTTGTTTGACTTCGATATTTGTTTGTCGCAAAAAAAGACATTTTTATTTACATTTATTGTTATATTACTTATGCTTTAATATAATGTGTTTATTTACAGCAGAGTTTTTAGTACTTTTCACGACTCAAAATCGGGTTTCGGATTCACAACCAGACAATTAGATAACGTAACAGAAATTATTAAAAAAATTTTAGACGGATATGACATTCGGCTCAGACCTAACTTCGGAGGTAAGCATTTAAACAACACTTATTTTAATCTATTTATTTAATATTTAATATTATAACAAAATATAAGTAATTTAGTTGCTATACAATAATGATTTAGTCAGAGAACCGATCAATTATTAATATTATTTGTCTTATGGCTATATTTTTATAGAGATCTAGTGGTCATAATGTGCTGAATCGGTATTCAATCATTTATTGTACAAAACATAAGCACTTAAGTCAAACACTGGTTGCTTATTAAAGCATTTCTTATTATTAATATTATAATATTATTTTTGTTGTTATATATTTTTGAACTAATTTTCTTACTTAATCATCATTTTCTAATATAAATCAAATTATTAATCATAATTAATTTGTATTAAATAATTTTATTTCTAAATAAATTTCTAATAATTTTTTATGATAATTATATTATCTTTATATAACAGGACCACCACTTCAAGTGGGAATGGATTTATCGATTGCAAGCTTTGACAGCATTTCTGAAGTCAATATGGTATGCATTTAAATAAATTTCTACTAAAATATTATACTTTATTAATACTGTATATAATTATTATGCTATATATGATATAGAATGTGATTATTTAAAAAATTAATTATTAGTAATTTTGTAAATTTTAATTAAACTAATTTTTTCTATTGTTTAATAAATTGAAAGTAAAATATGTTTTAATGCGCGTGTAATATCATTTAATCTAGAGTTTAATTGAGATGTACAGTATTACCATTACTTAGATTGAGAGCAAAAACGGTTTGGGTTTTGAATTGTAATAACCGGAACCGGAAACGGTTTTTGGTTGCGTTTGATTTGATTATCAAAATTTTTTATTGAATTAACCGTACGGTTCGGTTTTAACAATTAAATTTAAATATGTTTTGCTATACATGTTTTGATATTTCGGTTTGGTTTGGAAAAAAAATGTTTTGGTTTTTTCTCTACTATCACTAAACTCATTGATGTTAAATAAGATTTGGTAAATACAATCAAATAGCAATGCGTGAGAGTTTGTATATTAGAAACATTATGTTATGCAATGATACTACTGTATGTGTAATATACTGTATATAAATATACAGTATATATATAGTATTTATATTAACATAAGTATAGTACTGTTTATACTATTTATATTAATATATAAAATTATATACCATATATGTAATGATTTTGTAGCAATGGATACAATTACTGTATATAAGCGCTGGAATCTCATATTAACAGTGATTTTATGTTATAAATACTACATTTATTAAGACACAGTGTTTGAAAGCATTTCATTAATGCTATGAAAATTTATTGCAAGAATTTTTTGTTGTTAAATAAATTTCATTTTAATAAAGAAATCAATATATAATTTCATTGAAAACATGAAATCTTTTATCCCGACTTAGAAAAAACAATTATTAACATTTACACCGGTATTAATTTTACAACAGTCTCATTATATGACTACTCACTTAATACATATTTAACTGATCACAAAACACATTTGACATCAATTTAATATTAATTTATTATATTTTAAAATCTTTTATAATAACTAAAAAACTTGTAAAATCTTTACTACATTTTGTACTCAAATTTAAATATATTATTAATAATGGAAAGACTGGTTATTCTTCTAATTTCATAAAACAGAGATTATTAATACATAGAAAAGCCTGAAAGCAATGTTTTTGAGATTATCTTTCAAATAAATACGTCTTTTGTTTGATTTATATTCAGAAATCTGTCTAAAATTATAAATATTATTATTTATTTAGTTTATGTCATCTTAAGATACGACAATAAATCCGCACAAATATTGTAATAAAATATGTGATGATTTCAAAAATTAATAAAAATATGTTTCCAATTATATCATAAGTTATTATGAATTAAATGATTAATTACTGATATAAATCAATAAAACAAATTAATTATCAATGTTATCTTAATTTTTTTTTATTTAGACTATACTATAAAATTAATCGAATATTTTTTAAAATATAATAATAAAAGTAAATTTAGAAAGTTATATTTTATTAAATAATAGTTAAGTGAATTTATTGTCACAACATTTAAAATATATCGCAGAATAACACAAATAATATTAAGTATAGACTTATAAATTTTTTTGTATTAAAATTAATTAAAGTTATTTTATATTTTTGTTAAGACTTTGGTTTTATATTAATTAATCAATTAATGTGATAAATAATTAAAACTTAGTTAAAATATATACTTTTAAAAAACAGGGTTACAAAAATGCTGGTTCTGGAGGTTATAAATTATATATTTTTATATCAATAACATAAAAATATAATATTTAGAAGTACAGTATTTACTTATATAATATTATATAATTATTTACTGTAATTATTGTACAAAAATTATAATGTAATATTTTAATTAGAGTTTATGCAATTTCCTAAGGGAGTGAAGTTCCCTATTAAAATATTTCCAATTTTCCCAGAAAATGTGGAAAATATTTTAGTATTCTTCCCTTCATTGTTAGAAAGGAAAATATATTTTATATTATTAGAATAAATAGTAGTAAAACTTAAATATTTTGCATATAATTTCATTGAATTATTTAAAAATAAATCTCAATTCAATAAATTTAGTCTTTCGTTTAATAAACAGTTTAATATAATATTTGTTTTTCAAACATTATATTAAAATTTGTTTTTTAAGTTTCAATAGGTGGTAGCACAAGGAAATAGATTCCCTGGGAATTCCAAGGGAACAGGAAAATAGGAATTTTTGAAAAATAAAACGAGAGAGAGAGAGATAATTTGATCAAATATTGTTTAATATAAATAAATTAAAATTTTAAAAATTTTTTGTAATGACATTAATAGAACTGAATTCTTTATTTTTCATAATCTTTTGTTTGAATTTTAATATATTCAACAAAACATTTATATATATTCTCAGAATTGTTCTCAAAAATAATGTAAATTTTTATAATTTTGGTACAAATGTTTTATTTTATAAAAAAATATGTTTTTTTTCTAAAATTGAGTGTCATTGACATAATTATAACATTATAATATATTTAACATACAGTAGAATATAATTAGTTTTAAAATATTAATATATTGCATTAAATAATATTTTTACATATTATACTGTATTAATTACTAAAATTACTTAAATATTTTTACTAAGAATTAAATATAACACAAAATTTAATTAATAATTTACATTTAATGTCATTTACATTTACATCTAAATACCAAAAGATAGTTTTATATTGATATTAATAACTATTATATAATAATTATTAATATTATGTTTATATTATTAAATTTTAAAAATTATCAGGGTTAAGCAAGGTGTGATAGCAGGGTATGGCAAAAATACCACCCATAATGTCGAGATATTTGGTATTTTTTCCCAGACTTTTTGGTCAAATTGAAAAAATTGTTATTTAAAAGAGAGGAGAAACGACCTAAAATTTTGGCGCCAAATTTTTTTCAAATAAAAAATTATAATTTTAACTAAAATCTATTTAACTATTTTTGTGTTTTTAAAACACATTAATATAGAATTACTTAGTAAAATAGTTAAAATTAAGCCAAATATAACATTATTTTAATAAAATTATGTAATTAAAAACTTAGAAATTAATCATTTCTCCAATAAAGTAGTTACAAGTAGAATATTATTTTAAAATAATTATAATAATGATAATTATATCTATTATATATAAATATTGTTTTTATAAATATCATTTTAAAAATTAGTTGAGTTTAAATATTAACAAAAAAATAAAATAATTAGTATTACATTACTATTTATCTAAATATAACATTATATTAATAAAATGTTTAACAAAAAAAAACTTAAAAATGATTTATTTGTTGAATAAAATTAATTTTATTATAATTAGAAAAATATTTTAAGATAATTAATATAATAATAATAATAATAATAATAAATTATACTGTAAAATTTAATTATTTTATTTTTTTCCTTTTTATTATTTGTTTTTATGAATTTAAGAAAATATTTCTAAAATTTAAGAATTTTAATGCGAATATTATCCTACTTTCCTTGAAATTTCTTCTTATTTACGAAAATTTTCTTGAATTTTCTTTTGACATGGATTTTGAAATTTTGAAAAAATTGTCGTTTAAAATGCAATAAAAATGTGTATCACACTCTATATCCCCCAAAATTTTTCGAGATTATTTCCATTTTACCCCACTATATACCCCCTAAAATTCAATACCTTACCTAACCCTGATATATATATATAAACCAATTATATTTTTTAAATGTTTTGTTTATGAAGTTATAAAAATAACAAACTTGAAAATATGTCGATATTTTCAAGTATTATATAATAGACTAACAATAGAGTATAAAGAATGCCCTCAAGTAATGTAAATGGACTGTACTGTAGATTAGATAACAAAAACAGAAACTAATGTAAAATCTCATCTGAAATTTGATGCTATATTTTATATATTGATATAATTTATATATTATACAATACTGTATCATCTAAAACCAAAAATATATAATTAATATGAATTTTAACATTTATATATTATATTTTTAATTTGAATTTTGAAATTTAGTAATGTGTCTTTGCTTTATATTTTACAATATTTTTTGCATAAATTAAACAAATTCTATTTTATAATATTTTCTAATTTACATTAATATAATTTTTTTATTTGTATTTACACAATATATTGTATTTTACAAATAAGTTACAATTGTATCATAATTTACACTACATTTTTTAATTATAATTTATTTTCCAATCTATAATTCGATTTATTCTATCGTACAGTAAATATATGGTTAACTAAAATAAATAAATAAATGATTTCTTATTTTGCATGTAATTAAAACTTTCCAACTATTATATTAACTATATATATATATATATATAACTTTATATAATATTGTCAGAATTATATAAGCCCTATTACATCCATAATATACTCTTAAATATCTTAATAAACATTTGTATTTAGTTTCAAAATTCCAGTGAAAATCATTTTGTTATACAGTATTACCAATTGATTCAATTTTTATAATCATTTTTTATAAGATAGTATAAAAACAATTTTCTATTATATGTTAAATAAAAACAAGCTTTAAAGCAAAATAAATTTCTAAAGCTCTTATAGTAAAGGTATATAAATAATATAAAGTAAATAATTTTAATTAATTAATTTAACTAATGATAAGCAACTAAAAATCCGTATTTATTTGTTATACTTTAATTAGGATTACACGATAACATTATATTTGAATCAGTATTGGAAAGATGAGAGATTGGCGTTTAGTGATAATAACTATGAGTTGACACTATCGGGTGATTTCGCCGAAAAAATCTGGGTTCCGGACACGTTGTATGAGTCAATCATTAGTTTATTATTATTAAAATATATGTAATTAATGTCTTGTTTGTTGTTTTCATATAGTTTTGCAAACGACAAGAATTCATTCCTACACGAAGTGACTGAGAAAAACAAAATGGTTCGCCTCAAGAGTGATGGATATATTGCTTATGGCATGAGGTATGTCATCTCAACATAACTATACATTTCACAAGCGATTCATTTAATTTTTAATTATAATAAATTATTGTTTGTTTAAAATATAAAATAATAATTATATTAATAAATGTATGACACATCTGATAGGTTTACCACAACGTTGGCCTGTATGATGGATCTACACTATTACCCGTTAGACTCCCAGAATTGCACCGTTGAGATCGAGAGCTGTGAGTAGAGATGGGCAAATAGAAAGTTTCTAAAAAGTTTCTCAGGAATAAATTTCCATAGAAATTTAACTTTATTGTTATACTATGGGATCCCCATATCTATAGCTATTGTAATAAGATATAAATAATGAGAGAGATATACTACTATTCATATAACATTACACTATACACTACTATACAAAATGCGATACCTATATGTAAAATAATTATAATTATTTAATAATAATCAGTTTTCTAAAATTTTAATAATCATTTTATTATATATATATATAAGAATTTAAGATAATTAAATAAATTAATTTTTACTTTAATTAATAATTAAGATTTATACTAATATTTAATTATTACTTTTAAAACCAATGTATTGTTACATAATAACATATATCGAGAAAAACAAAATTAACATGCGGATCTCATAGATAGAAATTTCTTTAAGAAATTTTTTAGAAATTTCTCTATTATTTTATAAATTTCTTTTTTTGCCAACACTAGCTGTGAGTCTTATATAAATTGTTTTTTAATTTTCATTTCTTTATTTATTTATATTTCGAAACAAATAATACAAATTAATTATATAAAATGTAGTTTTTTATTTCATTATTATTTCAGTGTTTCTTTATTATCATTATTTAAATTAATATTTGGATAAATGTGTTATTTACAAAATGGTTGCTGAATATCAATTACATGATAATGATAATAATAATTAAATAAAATTATAATTATAATGTTAGAATTCTGAAGATATTAGTCTAATTTAGATAAATAAAGACAACTATTAATTATGTGTTAAATTATTCAAAACATAATTTAGAGTATACATTGGTATAACTAATTAAATATTAATCTAATGAATATTATTGATTATTTTTTATATAATACTTTGATGAATAACTTAATTATAAGCTCACAGTGTTTTACCATTGAATCTTAATTAACATAATTAATGTTTTCTTAGATGGATATACAGTGTCAGATGTGGTAATGTATTGGATGGATCAGCCGGTTACCGGTGTAGAGGACGCAAAATTACCTCAATTTACAATTGTTGGCCACGAAACCACTGATCGTAAAGAAAAATTAGCCACAGGTTTGCTATTACTTGTCATTAAATTGTTTGATGAATCAAATTGTATACTTAAAATAACCAATAATTTGTGTTTAAAAACTTAATTTAATTTATTAGTGACTAATTGATATAACTTTTATTTAAGGCACTTACCAAAGACTATCACTATTATTTTCATTGAAAAGAAATATCGGATATTTTATTTTTCAAACATATTTGCCATCAATTTTAATAGTAATGCTTTCATGGGTTTCGTTTTGGATCAATCATGAGGTCTGACAATAAATATTTTCAATTTTTCATATGAAATAATATATTTTGAATCTTTTTATTCAAATATATTGCTTGTATATATGATATAAAAAATTAATCAATAAATATATTGTAAATATATTTGAAGGCAACGTCAGCGAGAGTAGCGTTGGGTATAACAACTGTGCTAACGATGACAACCATTAGTACTGGTGTCAGGTCTTCTTTGCCGAGAATATCTTACGTAAAAGCCATTGACATCTATTTAGTGATGTGTTTTGTGTTTGTTTTTGCCGCACTTCTTGAGTATGCGGCCGTCAACTATACATATTGGGGCGCCAGAGCTAAGAAGAAAAAGCCTAAACCGGATAAATCTAAAACTGGTGACACAAGAGCTGTATCTCCATGTCCTGCAAAGTCAACTGACAACGCATATGCTGTAAGATTAATAGAAATGATTTATTTTTAAACTCAATATATGTGTTAATTATCATAAATTACAGAACGAGGAGATCATAGAACTGCATGATATCCGTCTGTCGCCGATTCCATGTCTTAGGAATCGTCACAACAAGTCGTGCTCCACAAGCGATAGTGACCTACAATTCCCTCCATCACTGAGGATGACTAATCCCAATCATCGCATGTCATACTCTCCGGCCAGAGCCAGTGTCTATGGACACAATCGGCGCGGTTATGGCCGAAGTGATGCATACAATCGCAGCAAACCACGAATGTTTCAATCTATCAGACGGGGTGCCAGTGCTTTCAAAGTGTCGATGCCTAAGATTAAGGACGTCAACAAAATTGATAAATATTCGCGAATCATATTTCCCGTATCTTTCATGATATTTAATGCACTTTATTGGACAATATATACTTTGTGAACATTACTTTCCATACATAAGACTTTTATTGTTGATTACCTTTGAATACACTGTCAAATGCCAGCACTTGTATAGCATTACTGTTGCAAACAAATCATAATTTACTATACATTATACAAGATATTCATTTGAATTCATGCAATCAATCAATATATTCATTGAACATTCTCATCATTAATCATTTTAGCTTAAAATCAGTTATGATAATTACTAGTAATAAAATTAATAATAATAATAATAATAATAATAATAATTGTTAATTATAAACTATCATATATTATTATAGAAATTTTATACATAATAAAAGTCATTAATAAGTAAAGTGTTTTAATCATCACATCAATTAAAGAGACTCTAAATAAACTCTAGAGATTGGGTACTGACATCGATATAAAATATAAATAAAAAAACACTATAAATAATCGAAAAAATGTCAAATAATTTATCATTATTTGTTAGAATATCTGATATTTACTGTATATACAGTACAATATAATATTGACTGGTTTATTGATTTTATTATATTTATCTAATAATAAACCTGTATTCTAACAATATTTATTTAACACAAACATCATAACATTTTTCACATTTAAATTAAATTGTTATAATATTGATTTTATTTTTTTTGTTAATAATTTATAACATTATTATTGAATAGTTAGTTATTTATTCAGCATATTTATTTTATCATTAAGTTTTACATTATGTATCTAAATTTTAAAATTACAAATTAAAATATTTAATATTTGCGACATTATTTTGCAATAATTGATGCATAACTACATTATTTAAATTAATTAATACTTCAAAATTATGCTCTAAATGTTTTTAACATAAAAATAGTTTCTGAATATAGTGTATAGTTATACACTTTATATAATACTATTATTTAAATCTATATAATTGATATTTATCGTTGTAAGATAATTTAAAAATATAAATGTGTAAATATAAGTAAATTAATTATGATTATACAATGAATAAATTAAAATTTTCTTATAATATTATTTTAATTAAAAATTATTATAAATAAATTATTTGTAATTATTTATAAAAAAAATATCTTAAATTAATTTTAAATTTAACAATTATATAGATGTTATTAAAAATGTTATATAATTGACTAAATATTATTTTATATTATATTTTATATTATTGTTTATTATTAAACAATTTAATCAAATATTCAAGTGTTTATTGATAACATTAAGTAAATAATTAGATACTTTATTTGCAATTATTAGTATTTAGTAATTAGACAAATAAAATTTAAATTTTAAAACATTTATATTTACTATAAATGAATTACTATTAAACTTAAAGTTTAATAAAAAAACATGATATAATATAGATAATATTATTAACTAATGAAATCATTAAAACATGTAATTATAACAATAGCTATATTAAATTATTATAACGGTATTTAAATACTAAATGCATAATCACTTAATTATTTATCTATTTTGATAATACAATTTCTTTGACTTAGATTATTAATAATATCATAATATAATATATAAATTCTATATTTATTTATTTACAGTTATATAGAAAATATATTATTGTATACGATCTAAATGCTGATCCTTGAACTCTATTAAGTTTTAATGATTGTTTATTATCATTATAACTCATATTTAATTAGTTTGTTTCAAACAATATAAACTATTTTCTTAACACATGTTTCACTAATAAGTTATTTGCATTTTATTTGAATCAAAATAGCAATTATGATTTTATACAATCAATACAATTATAATGAATGAGTCAAATATAATACTATTTTTTACTATTTTTACATTTGTCTTAGTATTTTACATTAAAGGTATAGTAAAGTTAAATACTGTTGAATGACATATAATATTATAATAATTTTATTATAACTTGGTTTTAATTTTATTGTTTAATCATTAAAATAAAAAATAAATATTGAATCACTAATTTAATTAATATTACTTTAAAAGCACTATCAAGTGATTTACTACAATTGCCGACAACATGTGATGATTTGTGGAAAATTTATAATATAAGAAAATCGGGGAATTATGTTATAGATGTGGACACAGAAACGGGTCGATTGCAGCCTTTTAGTGTTGAATGTGATATGGGATCCGGAGATGATATTTATGCCGTTAAGACTATAGTACATCACAATTCAGAAACATCAGAATCGGTGCGCGGATATGAAGCGCCCGGTTCTTACATTAGGAATATTACTTATGGAAGAGAGTCACGTATCGATGAAAAACAAATTGAAAAACTCATTGACATATCCTATTCATGTCAACAATACATCCGTTGGGACTGTAAGGGAGCAATGTTTGGATTTTGGTATTCAAGAGACATCGATAACTGGTGGATAGGAAGGGGTTGGAAAAATCAGTTTTATTGGGGCGGCGCTGAAGTCGATTCAAAAAGTTGCGGCTGTTTTCCATACTGCTATCCAACTGTCCGCAACTCAACCTGTAATTGTGATGCAAACTTAAAGCTCAATTGGCTCGAAGACTCGGGTCTATTGCTCGACAAAACCAGATTACCTGTTCTTCAATTGAGATTTGGGGATACGGGCGAGTCATACGAAGCGGGTCAATACATTTTAGGACCACTAGTATGCCGAGCCAGGGCTCATAAAGTTATAGATAAAGGCATATTTATTGCACCGGTCACTATTGAATCTCCCGGTTATCCCTTAAATTACCCACCACCATTTTATCGATATAAATGGCGAGTAATCATTGGTGAACAACAAATCATTGAACTAGTCTTTCCATACTATGATGTCATTCATTATGGGGCCTATAATTCAGTTCCCAACTGTCGGTTCACTTTTGAGATAGACATCAAAAACTCGACCGGATTTACACTGCAAAGCATTTATAGAGAAAAGGCTTCTCCGCCTTATTTCATATCAGATGGAAATCAGACTATAGTTGACATGACTTTTACAACGTGTAACCAATTAAAAGACATCGAAAAAAAAGGTATTCATGTGATTATATAAAATATTAATTATAAAATCGTATTATAAATAAATGATAGGATTTATGGCTAAATTTCGAAAGGCTGAGTGCGTCGGTTGTAATGTTGGTTTCGGTCAAAACGTTACCAATTGTCACATTAAACTCAATCAATGCGCTACCATATCATCACATGGATATCCATTTCCACATTATGTTTACGGAAATTTTGGTGAACATTATATGCATTTGTGGAATATATCAACAATTGAAGGACATGTCATCCAAATTGAATTCAATGATTTCGATATAATCTTCACTCCCGGTGTTCACTACTGTGACTCCGATTTGCTTACTGTATACGACATTTCATTAAATGAAACCATAAAAACTGGTACTTATTGTAATATAAATAGATATAATATCGGAAAATTGTTGTCCGATACAAGTTATATGTTATTACAGTTGAAAACAACACTGAAAAAAGTTGGTAACAGTCGTGGATTTCACGCAACTATCAGATCTGTTCCGAAAACAAATACAGCAAAGAAGTGGATCAATAACATAGCAGAGGGTAAACCAACAGATCAGAGCTCAACAAGAGCTGGTTTAGAGGCATCACTTGCTGTGGACGGCAATATGGATAGAAAACAATTGTCCAAATGTACGGCCACTAACTATGAACACGAGCCGTGGTGGAGGGTTAACCTACAAAAAAGACATCGTATTTATGGCGTTCAAATCAGTTCAGCCGATATTATTTTACAACAGGAAGATCTGTACTGGCCTTATGGTCAATACGGACTACCTATGCCAGTGTCTGGTTGTCCGTCTTATTTTGAAAACAAATGGCAAACGGGTACGCGTTTTCATGACGTACGGCACGAACCTGTTCAGGACGACCGCCTCCGATATTGGTCTCAAGGAATTATGCTTAAGGGAGGCGCCACTGATAATGGCATTGAACAACACTTCTGCATCAGAGATTACAAACCTATTAATGATACTCCAGTGCCAAATGCCAACAATTTCGGATGGATGCCCGGGAAGTACTGCATCTTTCAAGTGGGTGACACTTGTCCCGAGGGGTTTACTTCCGGTTCAATTGTTTGGTTTGATAAAAGCAATACAACTTCATTGTCAGAGAGCAGGAATCAAGTTAAAGGAGTACTTCCTAAAGGTATATAATATTACTAATTATGATGTCATGACTTTATAACACTGTATTACATTATTTTTTAGGATTTTATACAAAATATAATACAACAATATATTTCTGCTGTCGTGAAGATGGAAATCCTGATGTGTCCATTAAATTGCCAAAAGACAGACCTTTCTATTTGTTACAATACGGTGACGAATGTCAGAAAGTCGAAGGAATGTCCGAAATCGAGCATTTCTTTCATTATGAAGAAGAAGTACAGCTTTCGGGTATTAGTTTAGAGTTGATATTTATTCCGGGAACCACTCAACTCAAATTTCAAGACCCACACCCACGCGTTGATATTGCACTCTTCGAAAAAGGATTAACACTTCATTATTGCTATTATGATGTCTCGGATCAACTAAAAGGATTTCAAGTGTTGGTCGACACTACACCTGATACCTATGGTTTTACTCGACATTATGACGACATAACAGGCATTTCCAGAGCTGTTGGCAAACCGTTCTTAAGTGCCGTTGAATGCGCTTCATTTGATGTGACCTCCAGTGACACTGACGTTATTACTTTGAACTGTCAACAACCCATTGAAGGTCAGTATGTCGTCATCTTTATGAAAGACCGTTTCGATTCCTTGAGATTATGTGAAGTCAAAGTGTTTGGTGAAGAATCCTGTGGAAGACCATTAGGTATGGCAACAGAAGAAATACTAGATATGGCTATAAGTGCCTCATCTGTTGACAATCACGGCTTCATTCATCACCAAATAAATGCCCGATTAAATAGTCCTAATGCCTGGTGTGCAACCATTAATGATCCACAAAAATATATTCAAGTATTTATTATAAATATTTGCTTTTACTATATTTAATTGATTTCTATTAAAAGATTGATTTACTTTATGGTAACGACAAAATATTGTCTGAAGAAACAGATGAAAAGATTTTGTTTCCGATTCAAGAGTATGTGACAGTTGTGGGCATTGCTATGCAAGGAATGGTTAACGCATTCAAAAGTTCTTTTGTCACACAGTTTCAGCTGTTCTTTAGTAACGACACTAAGAACTGGACCTTTGAAGAGGAACCCATTGGTAGACAAAAGGTCTATAAATGCGTTCAATGCGACTCTCAAAGTGTTAGCGTTGATGGAAATGATATAGTGATGCATCACCTCTTGAAACCTATATTTGCTCGATATGTCAGAGTCAAGATATTAAGCTTCAAGTTAGCCCCATGTCTTAGACTGGAAGTGATTGGATGTAGAGATTCATCGAGTAAGTCATAGTTATAACCAATTTAGTAAACTTATTGATATAATGTATTGAATAAACAGAATCCTGTGTTATGACATTAACGGAACCGATGGGAGTCATATATTCACCAAACTATCCCTTTTATTACGCCCAAAGCAAGTCGTGCTGGTGGCACATCAATCCCGGTCCCAACAAACACGTTGAACTCGACTTTGTTATTATCGATTTGGCCACTAAAGACAAAAATATGGGAAAGTAAGATATCATTTAAATTATTTCACTAAAATTAACCGATAAATCAATTGTTTAGATGTTACGATTCATTGTCTATATATCATCCAAACGAAACAGTCATAGAATCGCATACCCGTCCAAACTCTGCCCTTTCAATTAAAACAAGACTCTATCCAAAAAAGATTATATCAAACGGAGCCATAAGTTTGCATCTAAAGACTTGCTTTCGGTTTTCAATCAGTAGATTTCAAGGATTTTATGCCAAATATAAGACATCATTGTGTCCGGGATGTGGTATTGGGGATTCAGTTTGCAATAAAATTTATAATTGCTCCGAAAACTGTGGTCGAATACTATCAATTAACTATCCAATGAACTATACAAATAACCACCGGTGCCAATGGCTTATAACAGCACCACAAGAATCTTATATCAATGTCACTATTGATGACTTTGATGTTCCCAACACATCGATAGGGACGTCAACCCGTGATTGTATATTTGATTACATTTCGTTTACTGATGTGTCAACCGGTCAACTAATTGGCAAATTTTGTAACATAAAAAAACCACCGAAACATATACTATCGAATTGGAATAAACTTCTCATTGAATTCAATACCGATTCTACTATATCTGGCCGTGGCTTTAGTATCACTTATTCGGCACAAAAATTTGAGTTAAGTGACAAACTGGCCCAACAAATGATTGGACCATTAGGTGCCTGTCCGACAAACTGGATATACTTTAGAGGCTATTGTTATAATGCATTCTTTGAGAAAGAATCGTTGCAATGGTATGTTTAAAATTTATTCAAATACTAACATAATTTGCTAAAAAATTACTTATATTGTGGAAAAGGTATCAATCAGAAGAAAAATGTGCTCAATTTGAAAAGGGAAGGGACGGACACTTAGTTAGTATAACAGATCAACACGAGATGCAAGTCGTTCACTACCTATTAATTAATAAATGGAAAGTAAGTCCTCATCAAAGTATTTACATCGGTTTGATTGACACAAACAGAGAAGGATTTTATAACTGGAGTGACGGAAATCCCATGAGTTATACTGATTGGTCGTATGGCGCAGAAAATGAAGAAGACTCGCAACCTGATGGCGGAGCCTTCGAAGATTGCACTGTCATTAAGATAGACTCGAGTCACTCGACGGCCAACTGGCACGACATCCCATGTTCTTTAGGCAAACGGACTAATGTTTCACAAAAGGCTAACATCAATAATACAATAAATACAACAAAAATAATGTCAGATGTAATCAGTAGTTATATCTGTAAAATGGATTCCAGTTATTCCAGTCAACAGTTTCGACTTCGGAAACCATTATTCACTAATATTATCAATAAAAATGAAAAAGAGATCTATAAACGAGTTGATGACAATAGATATTTTGTATGTGAAAACTTAGAGGTCATCTCAAATCTCTTCAAATGTGACGGAACTCCAAATTGTAGGTCAGATTAATAATATCATTTCAAAAGAGATTATCTTTTTTTAAAAATTTAAAAAAATTCTTAGAGATGGAAGCGATGAAGCATTTGGTTGTGATATTACTGGCAATTCATGTCTTGAGTCACAATTCCAATGCGCTAATGGAAGATGTATTGCCATTGGAATGGTATACATATGAATACAACTAAAACTTATAGATTATTATTATATTATATCTTAAAGTATTGCGATTTTGTTGACGACTGTGGCGATGGAAGTGATGAGTTGTTTTGCGAGAGACGACAGTGTAAAAAGACAACTGAATTTCGGTGCAATAATCACCAGTGCATACCTCTGTCAAAGAGATGTGATTTACTCACCGATTGCAAAGATTTGAGTGATGAGGGCTTTGCCTGTACTTTGATTGCAACGCCTTGTAATCTAAACACAACCTTCCAATGCTATTATGGTAACTGTATTCCCATATATACTCTCTGTGATCGGCACCGGGATTGTCCCGGAAAGTTTCATGAAGACGAACAATCATCTAAATGTCAAAGGAATAGTACTGCTAAAGTAGTGGAGAAGCGGGGCATACATCAGATATCAACTATTTGGCACACAAAACAAATTCACGACCAAATGGAAAGGGTTTGGTCTCGACAGGAGAGGAGTGTTTGCCTTTCAATTAAAAGGAAAACCTGTCGGGTATGTTATAACCGTATGTTTGTTTGCAATTTATTGGTATTACTAATAAAAAAATAATTTTATACAGGATTTACAAATTTATGATAACATCCAAACAAATGGCACTTACTTTATAGAACCGGAGGACTCGACTACAATTGGGATGTCAGTCCAGTGTTATTTTACACCCAACACAGCAAAGACAGTCATACACCACGACTCTGAGGTTAGGATTTATGTTCGCAGTGATATCGATGGACCGGCCAGTTATTGGAGAGTAATCACTTATCAATACAATATGGACTCAATTGCAGCGCTTATTGCTAACTCAGATACCTGTAGACAATATATCAGTTGGCAGTGTTCGGGAACGGGATTTCGATTTAATTCAACAAAACCCGTTTCATATTGGATTTCAAGACAAGGTATTAAACACTACTATATTGTATAACTTACAGTATTATTGTATATAAATATTATTAATAATTTTACATTTTAGGCGGTTCTCAATACTCATGGGGCGGAGCACTTAGTGGTAGATGCAGTTGTTATCCTAACTGTGTTCAGAAAAATCTTAGTTGTAATTGTGATTCAGAAATTAAGTTTGAATGGCAGGAGGATTCAGGTTATATAACAGACAAAAACAAACTTCCAGTTTCCCGATTAGTTTTTGGAGAGACATACAAATTAGGACAATCCGGTTACTTTTATCTCGGACCTCTTGAATGTGATGGAAATGCTAGAAATAGACACCATTTAGAGTCGTGTGGAGTTAATAGCAAACTAGACTTTAAGTGTCAATCCGGACAAATAATTGATGACAAATTCAGATGTATTTATGAATTTGATCAGTTAGGCTATCAAATTGGTTGCAGAGATGTCTCACATTTACGCGATTGTGAAACTTATGAGTGTCCTCCAGATTATGTCAAATGTACCGACTCTTACTGTATTCCTCCTCGATATATATGCAATGGTAATAAATTACTACTTAATTGTATACTATTTAAAATGCAATATATATATATAATTATTTATTTAAAATATAATATATTTAAAGGTAAATGGGATTGTGTGGGTGGTTCTGATGAAGTGGGTTGCGCCCGATATATATGTCCGGGACAGTACAAGTGTGCCAATGAAAGCTCTTGCGTTTTACTTCACCAATTATGCGATGGTATTAGACATTGTCCACTAGGAGATGATGAGTGGTTCTGTGACCTCACGTGTCCCGACAATTGCACGTGCATTGGATTGTATGTTGACTGCAGAAATGCTAATTTAAGTCGACTTCCCATTGAGTTCATACCAAAAGACACTCGAAAACTAGAGCTCACAAACAATTATTTGGGTCCCAATCTGTCAAACTCTGATTTCAGCTCATATGGAGAGTTAGGAGAACTAATACTTCAGAGAAATGGCATAGAAGTGATTAAATCTCGAAAGTTTCTTCAATTGACAAATCTTTATAAATTAGATCTTCGATATAATAACATACAAGTGCTCGAATCGGCCGCTTTTGCTGGTCTTAAACGTGTGACAACCTTATTGTTAGAAGAAAATTACAATTTAGCGGTTATAGAGCCGCGAGCTTTCGTTGGACTCACTTCTCTAAGACAAATGAATATTTCTAATACTAATATCAAAGTATTGTATGAAAATGTTTTTCTTCAGATGTCTTCTTTACAAACACTTATTTTAATGCAAAACGGACTCCAAGTCATAGAAAAGGGAGCATTCAATGAGTTGTCGTCATTGATCTCACTTGATATCAGAGATAATGATTTTCAAACATTTCCTAAAGACATGTTTAGTGCTTTAAAATCATTGAGATTTTTATCAACTGATAGCTTCAAATTTTGCTGTTTGGCGGCTAATATCGTGCCATTTGAGAGGTTATTGTCATATAAAATATTTAAAGAAAATAAATAAATAAATATTGTTTCACTTAGATGTCTGCCACCTCAGGACGAGATATCTGATTGTGAAGACTTGATGTCTAATATCGTCCAAAGAATAATTCTTTGGTTTTTAGGAGTTGTGGCTCTATTGGCAAACGCATCGGTCATTATATGGCGATTCCAAACACGTCTYTACTCTAATCCCGTCAGTTCTACGCTTATTCTATCTCTTGGTTGCGCCGACTTCTTAATGGGTATATATCTTATGATAATTGCATCCGTCGATGAATTTTACAGGTAATATATATAATGTCATTAATATATAATATAATATTCTTTAATTAATTAAATTAATAATTTAATTTAACTGCTAATAGGGGTCGATATATAGAAAATTCTGATATCTGGAAGAATAGTATTCTTTGCAATATTTGTGGATTTTTGTCTACCGTTTCATCAGAAGTATCGGTCGCAACCCTTGTCTTTATAACAGTCGATCGTTTAATATGTATATCATTTCCATTTTCTTTAAAAAAATATACAATGAGTTTAACTTATAGGTAATCATTGATTTAATTTAAAACTTATTAAAACTAAAATAATTATGATATTATGAATATTAATCTTAATATGTATAGACTTATAACCCTATCGTGGATAATAGTTTTATTTATTGCGGGTTTACCATTATTGCCGATTCCCTATTTCAATGGTAAATTTTACGCCCGATCCGGTACTTGTCTGGCACTACATATAACACCCCATAAACCGGACGGTTGGGAATATTCAGTGGCAATTTTTTTGTGCGTAAACTTAGTGGCTTTCCTTGTAATAGTTGGCTGCTATTGTTATATGTATAAAACCATACGTTTATCACGAAAAAAAATGAATAGACTTAAAGCCAGACAAGTCAGGGAAACACAGGTTTATTATATATTATTTTATTATTAAATATAAACTAAAACATTAAACACTTTTAATCAAATTAATAACATTTTTTAATTACTTYTAATTCAAAGGTTGGCCGACAAATGGCTCTAATAGTGATCACAAACTTCTTGTGTTGGTTTCCCGTAATAGTTATGGGAATGATGTCTTTGACAGGATTTACAATACCCGGTAAACCAAAAACAACCATTAAATTAGTTAAATGTTTAAATTTATATATAATGTATTTTTTTAATTTATAGGAACAGCCTATTCGTGGACAGCAGTGTTTGTCTTCCCATTAAATTCAGCGACAAATCCTATAATCTATAGCTTAGCTCAGTCTCCCATTTCTTTGTTCACATTTAAGTCAAAACGGGATTCACTGACGAGTAGATCKTTGTTGATGTCACTCAAACATAAGGGTAAAACAGTTAACAGAAGTACAAGCAATTCAAATAACAAACTAATCCGCGGACCACCCGGTTATTTGCCACTCATCGACTTCTTGGCTGAAACTGAAGATCTAAAGCCAAGACATTTGCTTGAAATTAGTTATTCAATCAGTCAACTCATCAAAGAAGTTCATGGAAGAGGTCACACATTGGGTGGTATTGACTTCCAGTCTATTTATGTGTCAAACAAAGTATACCATCTAATCATTTAAATAAATATCATTAACTTTTTTGTCCATCCGATTAGTTATCTGGAGGTCGTCTCGAAGCTTACATACCGGACCTCAATATTTATCCGGTGGTCGACACAGAAGTCAATGACGAATATGCCTTTGATATGGAAGAGTTGGGAAATACAGTCAAACGGATGCTTAGGATATATCACAATAAAATCAATTGCGGACCAAATGATGACAACAAATACACCACTCATGACAGCCAACACTTGCCATCAATTGAATCAAATGATTGCAATCATTAAACACTTCATTTGTTTAGTATTACAAAACATATAATAATATTATATTTTTTACAATAATTGTAAATCAATTGATTATATTTTTGACACTTTTTTGTCAATAAAAAGCTAATAAATTAAAAAATACTAAAATATTTTACAAATAGATTTTGTGTGTTATTATAAATATTAATTAATTGATTAAAATTATTGAAATTAATACTTTACTACAAATACTATGTACTGTATATTCAATTGACATTTGAATTGTATTTATTGAATACATTTGCCGCCAATATATTTGAAATTTAAATGACATTAAAACTAATAACACGTGTCCGCCATCTGTCAACACAATAATCAATTCAATCAATTCAATGAAATGCATAAAAAGGGCGTAAAATAATGTAGTATTCAATAGAATACAGTATATTATTATTAATGTTAATCATATATAACATACTTTATAACAACAGTGTAATGTGTTATGTAATGTGAGTACTGATTGTGTATTATTTTATTGCTAATACAGTATTACATTACAAACTATGTGTATAAATGTATAACATTTCAAGTAATAGTATTAATGAATGACTCATTTGAGTGATGTTTTGTAATACATGTATTGAATGTATTGAATGTATTAATCAATTGAATGTTCAGTGAACTCATTGATTGATAAATATAGCGATTGTTTGCATTAATTGTGATATTAAGTAATGTATTGCAAGTCAATGATGGATACAATAGTAATCATAATATGATTAATGACTTAATTTTGAAGACAAAGTCATACCATAAGTGATAGACAAGTGTTTGATTGCAAATCAAGATGTCATTATCATCTCCGCCATCGGATCCGTATGTGATAACTGCAGACCAAAAGGCCAAATATGAGTCACAGTTTGTGGCCATTTGTCAGTCTCGGTCGGACTTCATTAGCGGAGGACAGGCCAGGAATTTRATGTTAGCCTCGGGTTTGCCACCGCCAGTGTTGGCCCATATCTGGTCATTAGCCGACGTGGACTCCGACGGCAAAATGGATATCAATGAGTTCTCCATTGCTCTTCATTTGATATTTTTAAAACTTAAAGGCATTGAATTACCGGCTGTTTTGCCACAAAGTCTTAAGGTTTGTTAAAATAATTTTTGTTTGCAATCAATAATATTTATGTTATTATTGTTATTAGGTTTTGGTCGAAACGCCTACTTTTGGTGCATTTAATACAGATTTCGGAGCTTTTGGTGCACCGACTCAACCAGCAATACCCACATCTGCCATCTCTTACGTTCCAACTATGGTCTCGTCAGTACCGCCTCCACGACCAATGCCTCCGACATCATCTGAACCTAAAATACAGAGATCTGGATCTATAACATCAGGAGATTATACCAATTCAATGCTTTTGACAGAATGGGCGATACCTCAGCCGTCAAAATTGAAATATACTCAACAGTTTAATTCACACGACAGGACTCGGACAGGTTTTTTGACGGGACCTCAGGCCAGGAATATTTTAGTTGACTCAAAGTTACCGCATCCTCTGTTGGCACAGATATGGAATCTATCAGATATTGACGCCGACGGCCGACTCACATGCGATGAATTTGTTGTGGCCATGCATTTGATTGATTGCGTCAAATCCGGCGATTCTTTACCCACTGTATTACCTCCCGATTTAGTGCCACCATCTTATAGACGCAAGAGATCTTTATCCGGTGTAACTGCTGTCTCAAACATATCTCAAGGAGTGGCGCCAACCGTTGATGATATACTGGAAGAATCGAAATTTGTAACAAGTTTTGAAGACAAAAGACGAGAAAATTTTGAGAAAGGACAGCAAGAATTGGATAGAAGAAGACAAGCACTTATGGAACAACAAAAGAGGGAACAGGAAGATAGAGAACGCAAAGAAAGAGAAGAACAACAAAAAATAGAAAAACAGAGGTTTTGACTTTAAATCAAATATAAGAATTTGTTAAAAATTAATTGTATTTAAATTTAATTTGAATTATTAATAGACTTGAAATGGAAAGAAAACGTTTAGAAGAACTTGAGAGACAACAACTGAGACAACGAGAGATTGAAAATGAAAAAGAAGAACAAAGACGCAAACAATTGGAACAAAGAGAAGCGGCCAGACGTGAGATGGAAAGACAGAGAATGGTTGAGTGGGAAAACAGTCGGAAACAAGAATTCATTAATCAAAAGATTAAAACTCAAGAAGAAGTATTAAAACTTAAATCTAAGAAAAAGACATTAGCTTTGGATATGGAAAAAGTGAATAACATTTTGAATGATTTGAATGTAACGGCTGCTGAAACTCGAAAGAAAGTGGTGGACATCAAGGCTGACATCGATTCAATGCGTTTGGAAAGAGACCAGAAATTAGGTCTTCTCAGTTCAATTAAGGCACAAATGAAGTCATTGAATGACAGACAGCTATATATTGAACAGCAAAAGCTTAATCTAACTCAACAGCTAAAGAATACTACTCTCAATTCAGGTTTGTTTACTTAACATTTGCCACTAAACTTATCGCTAATTTATAACCATATTTGTAATGATATGGATTTTAGGTGCAGACAATGTTGGTACGGATCAATTTGCAATTCAAAATAAACAAATAATTATAAATCAATTAAAGTCTCAAATTACTGAATGTGAAGAGGAAAGGGCTGCTCGACTCTCAGATGTGGCCAATAATAACATACAGTTGAATGAATTGAAAGACAAATTGCATGAAATGATTGAAAAGACAACACAATTGCATAAATCATATGAAGACAAACGCATTGAGGCGCAAGAGTTTCGAGATAATCAACTACAACAACAACAGCAACAACTGACCGAAAATGTTAATTCTGGATGGGATGAGGACAACACTAATGCCAACTGGACTGTTGAGGAAATTACTGAAACTATTGATGAAACCAAGACTAATACAGTCTCTTCTAAAGTGAAATACAGATGTCTCTATAATTTTATGGCCAGAAATAAGGATGAATTAACTATAGAACCGGGAGATATAATTATGGTAACATTTTATTATTGTTTTATTATATCTAATAGATTGTAGTTATAGCGATATTTTCTAATTGAAAGGTTGATACGAGCGCTTGTTCTGAACCCGGTTGGCTGTCCGGAGAAGTCAGGGGTGCTGTCGGTTGGTTTCCAGAAGCTTATGTTGAGGTCTTAGGAAATGAAAGCATTAACATTGCACCTGATATTGAAAATAATTATGAAATAGAGAGAAGAACACCTCTCGAGTAATTATTTATTTTTATTTGTAATATTATGATAAACTGATAGTTTTGTTTGTTTTTAGACCAATTACCGAAACAGTTGAACCCGAACCGGGTGTGACCAAAGCCGTTGCTCAATATCCATGGAAAGCCAAAGAAGATAATCATTTGTCTTTTGCAAAGGGAGATATTATTGTAATTAAAGAGCAACAAGACATGTGGTGGATGGGACAGTTGGGTAGCTCTAATGGTTGGTTTCCAAAGACATACGTTAAGTTATTGGATGAAAAGGGAAATGTTGCCGAAGATGAATATTATTTGTCATTATATCCATTCGAAACACAAGAACCGGGAGATTTGTCATTTGATGGCAATGAACTGATTAAAGTTATCAAAAAAGATGGTGATTGGTGGACAGGCACTATTGGAGAACTGAGAAATGGTGTATTTCCATCAAATTATGTTCGAGTGGCTCAAATCGATGAAATTGTAAGTTATTGATTATATTGCAATAATTGCCTATTTTTTGTTGTCCTGCAAYCCCTTCCCATATTTGTATTATTATAATTAAGTTTTAGTATAAGTAACAGCTATATCCGTCGTATTGAAAATTGCTTAATGTATTGTTTGTTAAATAAATGTGATTTGTATGCTTCAGCCCATACCAGCCCTAACAGACCAGCCCCAGGGCACACCAGCGCCCAAAACTACCGCTAATGAAACACTACAGAATCAAATATCAGCCCCAACTCCCCCTCCAACCAGTGATGGGGAAGTAAGTTATTGATATATTTTAATAACTAAGATAAACATATCATAAATTTATTTCTACTTCATTTTTGCTGCCATTTCTTTATACTAATTTAAAGAGACGGAGCTCTGAGAGCTGTGACTCTCCTAAACCATCAAAGGTTTTGCTTTTTAAATTGCTATTCAATTAACTTACTTTATAAATACAGTATTGACTTATTTTAAAATTATTATTAAATAAATTAATTCAGAAATCGAAACTTAAGAAACTAGAGATTGTAACAGTAATAGCTCCATATAAGGCTACCGGACCGGAACAGTTGAGTTTAGAGAAGAACCAATTGATTCAAGTKCGCAAAAAAACCTCATCGGGTTGGTGGGAAGGGGAGATGCAGGTTAAGGGCAAAAAGAAACAGGTCGGTTGGTTTCCAGCTTCTTATGTCAAACAATTGAATGCATCGACCGGTTCTGGAGGATCGTCAGCCCGTTCTACACCTGATCTACAAAAACAAAAGGTAGCGGAAGATAGGGAATCGGGTAAGTGTTGACAATTGAATTGAACTTTTCTTTACTCTATTTAATGACTATATTATATAATATTATTTACATTTGTTAGCAGAGAGAATGATAGCATTGTATGCATTCCGTGCCCAACACGACGATGAACTATCATTTGAAGCAAATGACTTAATTAAAGTGTTAGCCAAAGATGACACAACCTGGTGGAAGGGACAACTCATTAGCACTGGACAAATAGGACTGTTCCCATCAAATCATGTTCAAGTGTTTCCTGATCAATGTATGTCATTTAATTAATCATTTTATAAAGTTGTTTTATCAACTAAACCATATTATTTCATATTAAATACTGAAAATTAACTCATTTTAGTATATAATTGCAAGCAATTTGATTATTGCAATTAATTTATTATTAAATTAATTAATTRTATTATGAAAACAATTGAATGAAATAATATGGTTTTATATTTTTAAATGTAGGCCTTTAAATGTTTAGTTAAAATAATTGATGCAATTGTTGACACTCTCTTTACTTTCTTTTATTGGTTTTATAGGAGAAAAACAAGAATTGCATAATTAATAAGTGTTGGAAAGACCCACTACTAGTGACACTACCAATACTTTCCGCACACACTTATGTTGACTTTAACTTAGAGGCAAACTTTGTTGACAATTAAAATACACTTAGATTTAATCGACTGTACATTTATGAAGCACACCTATTGTGGCAATATTGCAATTATCAACTAAATATTATATATATATATATCACAATTTATTATACAGTTATATCAATCTTTTAATATTGATAATTAGTAACATTTTTTGTAAAATTGATTATAAGTTTAATACAATAGTTTATATTTATTTTTATTTTATTTATTTGTTTGTTATTTATGCAATATTCAGTTTATTAATATTTACCGGTAATTATTTATTTGTTTCAATTATAGTCAAATTGCCATATGTTTAGTAGTGGGTCTTCTACTGTATTGTTATGTTTTAAAATTTTATTTTATTATTTTAAAATTTATATTATTTTTTTTAATTAAGTATTTTGTTCAATAATATATTATTTATACCTTAAGATATCCCTAAGAATCTCATTAATGAATAAATTAAGTTTTTAACGAATCTCTTAAGAGTGTAATTACGTATAGTTAAAAAAATTAATAAATTAAAATGTTGATATTAATTATCATAAATTATTGTTTATTTATTTATTATTATTATATTTTTTGTTTTGTTTAAAATTTTGTGTTTAATTAATTTTGCTTCAGACCAACAAAACGAAGAGATAAATATTTATGAGACAATTGAAGGCGATATTGATTATGACTTCGACAGTGATTTTGATGATGAAGACGAAGATGAAACCAATCACACAAAGTCTTATAGTATTACTGATGACGAGAGAAAACGTCAAAACCATTTAAATGAATTTATATCGACTGAAAATGCATATGTTATTGATATGGGAATTGTCATTGACGTGAGTTTTGTCGGTCAATAAAACAAAATTAATATTAATATTGCAATCGGACAGGTATTTCAAAAGCCATTGCGTGCTAACAATTGTATAACTGATGCCGAATCGGACGCTATATTTGTTAATTGGCCAAAACTGGTTAAATGCAATAAACGATTCCTTAAGTAATACCATTAATTGGTATAATAAACATTTAAGATCTAAATTTTAATTATTTTTATAAATATATAGAGATTTAAAAACTCGTCGCCGCAATGCTATAGTCAGTCATAATATGACAATAATTAACGAAATTAGTGATATTTTTTGTCAACATTTAAATCAAATGTCAGATTATTATATAAAATACTGTTCGCGACAGTTATCTGCCGCCCGAATGATTCAACAAAAGACTGAAAACGACCAGAATTTCAATGAAACGGCAAAAATGTGTTCACAAGACTCGCGCGCTAACCGTTTGCCACTCAGTAGTTATCTCCTGAAACCTATGCAGAGAATTACAAAATATCCGTTACTTATCGGCAAAATATTAGAGCACACGCCTACAAATCATATCGATTTTATTAACTGCGAAAAAGCACTGACACTATCACAAGATCTTTGTAAAAGAGTGAACGAGGGATGTCGTAATACTGAAGACTCACAACGTTTAGATTGGATTCAAAAACAAATCAAAATCGATGGATTAGATCAACAAATTGAATTCAACTCAGAAACCAATTGTTTAGGTATATACAGTATAATTGAATTAATTTAATGTTTTTATCTAAACATTAGTATATTATTTGCTGATAATATTTGATAAAATTAAACTATAGGTCGCCGACAGTTATTACACGCGGGAACTCTTGTAAAGGCCAACTCTGGTCGTGAATTAATAGCCTTTCTATTCAATGATTTTTTATTATTAACGATTTCATTGAAAGAATTGCCTAAAGTTACTAATGTTTTTGCATCAGACAAAGCCCTGTCATCTACTTATCGCATCTATAAAGAGCCCATTTTGTTAAATAACTTAACTATTACTGAATTATCACAATTTGAAACCAATTTAGATCCGACTCTTTTTCAAATTTATTTAAACTCTCAACAAAAATATTATACATTTAAAGCCATTTCAGTGAACGAACGCTCACTTTGGGTAAAATCTCTCGATGTCTCGTCCCGTCATTTCCGAGATATTGAAAGAATCAATTTATCCAATAAAGACATAAGTATTTCATTGTATTTATAAATTTTGATAAATAATTTGATTGATTTATTGTTTATTTTTGTAATTATGAAGATGTAAGCAAACATCGAAAAATTGGTCGACTTTTGGTGACAGTTATGGATGGCCTTCAACTATATACCAATAATAGTGAGACACAATTATGTCATTAAAAATAAATCGTTTAATTAATCCATTCGTTTGTTTGTTTATTTAAAGACGTTTTGAATGCTTTTTGTAAGATTAGTATCGGTAAGAGTGAGCAACACATACATCAAAGTCATACCACAAAAATAGTTCGCTCTGTGGCTCTCAGCCCTAATGGTGAGCGAACAGTTACTTCAAGGTCTTCGCCATCAAATGTCACCAAAAATCAGGTCAACTCTAACAACTGTCGGACCAATGTTTACAAAGTTAAGTGGAATGACTCGACACAACTCAACATTTATGAAGAGATTCATAACATTTTGCAAATCGATTGCTATGACCGCAACCCATATGCACCCAATTATTTGATCGGAACATCCATTGTATTAGTTAATGAATTGGCCGAAGAAATTAGTCAAATACAGGGCCCCATCACTAAAGAGATACGCCTCACAACTCGTGATAAGACTATGAATGCAAATCCCATAGTTTACTTAAAACTTGATTTACAATATTTTGATAAATAATTGCGATATAATGTGATCTTCAAAACTCATTATAATTTATTTTCATTAATTATTATTTATAAATAATCACTATTTTAAATTACCTGTTAAATGTTGTTTAATTCCACGTATGGAGATATGAAAGTCATGATAAATAATACCAGTTTTTTAACCATATGACAAATATTTTTTGTGACTAAATTTTAATTTGCCACCCCCACCCCCACCCAACCCATGTTTTTATACATTTTCAAATTTTACACCCTTTGTATTTGGACGTCTCTAATCGTTCCAAACCCTTTTGAATATGCTATTTATTACTAAATACTGTAAACGTATACAAATATGTCATTCATTGTTAAACACTGTTATAATTTAACTAATTAATTACCGGTAATAGTTATCTAAATTTACCGTTTTTAATAGATTTCTGTTAAATATACATAATTTATAAGCACAAAATCATTTACAAACAAACAAAAAATTAATACATTTTATTATACGATTGTTTCATCATATAATAAATAGTATAAATTCTTTAGTATAAATAATAAAATGTATTAATTTTTTGTTTGTTTGTAAATGATTTTGTGCTTATATTACATACATTAGAGTACCTCATTCCCCCTATTTTTGCTTTTTCCCACACCCTCGTTTAATTTACTAGGGGTGGTAAAAAATGCGAGTTTTTTACCCTATGAAAATGTCAATTTTCAAATTTTTATGATTTTCATACGGGGTATTAAGCAAGGAAATACGGTACGATTAATCTTATTTATTTTGAGTCAAAATTAATTTTTAGCCAATTCTTTAAAAAAGAATTGCTTGGATTTATAAACAGGTATTTGACTGAAATTTTCTCTATTTTACTACAAGAATAGAGTTTTTACTAAAAAAATTAAAGTTATTTTTTGAATCAGTATTTAAATTATAAAATCTTATCTAAATATGACTTTAATAGTCAATTAATGATCATATAATATAACTTACATTTTATGAACATTGATTATTTTTGGTACAAAAAAACTTATATTATTAACGCAAGTGTCTTATTGATTGGCAAAAGTGTTGTAATTGTAATTAATTATTCAAATTCTATATTTTGTATTTGAAATATCTTAATTATTTTAATATAATTTTTAAATAAAACAATTTTTTATTAGTAAATTAAACTTTTTATTAATTTATAATTTAATACAGTAATGCCTTAAAATTATATAAATTAATAAATGATAAAATATATGGTTAGTTAATAACGAAAGATAAAATATATGACTATATATATTGTCAATAATTAACAACATTTACGAAAAACATTTGTAACACTTATTTAAATATTATTATTATTATTTAACTATTGAATCATAAACACTGTGTGATATAGTAATAAAATTTTAATATAATCTGAAATTAAAGTTTTAATAAATGTATTATTATATTAATTAAAAGTTAAATATAGACTATTTTTAATTAGTATTTTAGACATTAAGCTCCCAAACGAATCAAACCATTTGACTCCTGATTTTGACCGAAATATTTGTTTTGAGCTCTTCTTAGTTTAACACAATCCGGACACATCTTACACCTGAAGTGTTCCTCACAGTAGGGCTCGCCTTCAAACTCAAAGTAGTTACCAGTCTTTAGTGGACAGTGACAGTCCTATTAACACACAGTTGTATAGATTTTATTAATAATATATAATTTGATTTAATATACAATACAATACAATATTAATTGAAATGACATACTCTGCACACGAAACAGTCGGGATGCCATTTGGCGTCCAATGCGGTCACACATATCTTATCGACAATTGGTTTATTACACGCCCGACAATAAGGTGCAAACAATTCAATATAACACGGCCTACAATAGGACTTGTCATTGTGTTCGTGATATCCTTCGGGATCATCACTTAATTGTTTGTTACAATGTTGGCATAGGAAGTGCTCCGGGTGCCAAGTCTTAGCCATAGCAGTCAAACATTTCTAAATTAAATAGTATWTATAATTATGTAAGTTTACCGATGTATATATATATATATATATATTTAATTGTTGTAATACCTCTCTGATGGGTGCGTGACACGCGGCACATTTGGGTGAGAAGAGCGCGTGATAGTCAAAGTCACAATAGGGAAGTCCATCTTTTTCTCGATAACCGTCTTCAGCCAATGGTTTGTGACACTGAACACAAGCAAAGCACTCGGGATGCCATTGCTTTCCCAACGCATTAATAATTTTCTAATGATTTAATATAATAATTATTAGTATTTAATATTCAATTATTAATGTATTGTATGTATACATCAGTGATGGGTCGTTTACATCCATAACATTTAGGTAAATACAACTCTTGAAAATGTTTCAGACAATAGGGCTTTCCATCCTTTTCTTTGAAATTATTGGGACTCAATGGTACTGCACATTGACAGCACTTGAAACAGTTTGGATGCCATTGACGTCCCAATGCAATCAAAGGCTGATTTAATTTTGTTAATTTAAATTTAATTTAAATAATAATTTTTAAATTTTTTTTTGCTTAACTTAATACATACTTTTCCTTCAATAGGAAGATTACATTCCGAGCATTTCGGAGAAAATAAGTTGTGATAATCTTCAACACAATAAGGTTTACCACTTTTTTCCATATAATTGTTTGGCGACAATACTTTGTGACATTTATGACATCTGAAGCACTCCGGGTGCCAATTCTTACCCAATTCTTTGACCATAGATTTCTGATATTTTTAAAAAACAATTTATATATTAATATTAGTGATTGTAATAGTGATTTTACCTGATCTTTGATAGGATAGCCACATCCATCACAGGGCGGTGAAAATAATTTGTGATAATCCTTTTCACAATACGGTTTTCCTGCTTTTTCCAAAAAGTTGTTTGGATCTAACGGTACCTCACAAGTGGTACATTTGAAGCACTGTGGGTGCCAATCCTTACCCTGTGCTTTAATATAATTGCCCTAAAATATAAAATATTGTTATAAATACTGTACATATATTAATTAGAGTAAATGGTATAGTATTCATACATCGACAATGGGTTGGTGGCATCCAAAACATTTAGGTGAGAACAGCTTATGGTAGTCATCCTTACAATAGGGTTTACCATTTTTTTCATAGAAATTTTTGGGACTCAAAGGTATTGCACATTCAGTACATTGAAAACACTGTGGGTGCCAAGTTTTACCAAGGGCGTTTATATAATTACCCTATTTATTTGGATAATAATAAACATATATTGTTTATATACTCTCAAAAGTTAGTATTATTGGTCTAAATTAAGTTTTAAAATTAGATATGTTTGATGATTACTTAAATAAATAAAACTCATACATCTTTAATAGGAAGTGCACATCCGTCACACTTGGGTGAGAATAACTTGTGGTAATCGTCCTCACAATAAGGTTTGCCATTCATCTCATAGAAATTGTTAGGACTCAAAGGTTTCGCACATTTATCGCATTGGAAACATTGGGGATGCCATGGCTTACCCATAGCATTGGTTTGATTGCCCTATTAGTTTGAGTTAAAATACTTTAAAGTCAAAACATTTTATCAAAATTTAGGATCAATTACATCATTAATAGGTGTGTGACAACCGGAACATTTGGGTGAAAACAACTTATGAAAATCATTTTCACAGTAAGGTTTGCCATTTTTCTCGAAGAAGTTATTAGGACTCAAAGGTTTGGCACATTGGGTGCATTGAAAGCACTGGGGGTGCCATGGCTTGCCCATTGCATTGATAAAATTACCCTGGTCATTAGATTATTGTTTTAATTATATTATCATAAATATATATAATAATAGACATACATCTTTAATAGGTAGTTGACAACCGGCACATTTGGGTGAAAATAATTTATGAAAGTCGTCCTCACAGTAAGGACTGCCATTTTTTTCGTAATAGTTATTAGGACTCAAAGGTTTGGCACATTGGGTGCATTGAAAGCACTGGGGGTGCCAGGGGGCGCCCATTGCTTTTATTTGGTTTTCCTTATAATTGAATGCATAATCATTAAATTATCATATTTTTATTATATTAAAATCAGTTTTTCATAAATTTTAAATATCAAAGAATAATTGCATCCAAAATAAAATGCATCAATTAATAAAAACTTATTAATCATAAATACAATAATAGCGTACAGTAGAAACAAACACCAAACATGTTATTGAAAATAATTATATAATTTAATATTAATTTGTTTTGTTTGAATACAACCATTGGTTAACTTTGTAAATGTGAGTTTATTTCCAAACAAATTTATTAACTTGAATTACACTTTGTTAAAAACTTACCAATTTTAATAATTAATTTTTTGTTGATATTAATTACAAAGAAATAATCGATTAATTAAAAAATATAGTAATAGTTATTTAAAAAATAATTAGTGACATTTAGATATGACACTTACAGGCATTGATAGATGCATATATATTAGTGTTGTTAAATGAGTTTTGCGGTTAATTACACGATATGCTGGAAATGCAAGCCTTACATCTTTAATGGGTTGTAGACATCCCTGACATTTAGGTGAAAATAGTTTATGATAATCGTCCTCACAATAGGGTTTACCATTTTTCTCATAATAGTTGTTAGGATCAAGAGGTCGGACACATTTGTCGCAAGTGAAGCACTGGGGGTGCCAAGGCTTACCCATTGCTGTAATCTTATTATTCTATAGTTTTTATTAAAAATAATATTAAATATTTAATAATTTCATATAAGTTAACTTTTTAGTGACCTTTGACATTGAAATAAATATTATTTGCGAAATGATAGCAATGGACAGACACTAATCAATTAGTAGTGTTTGATATATCTAAAAGACAGTTAGACTTACATCAGTGACGGGTGTTTTGCAACCATTACAATCTGGTTGTGATTCTTTGATTAGGTCTTCAACTAATGGAAGCATAGTTTTGTCTAAATCATCGACAGTAGGATATCTGCGACCGAAATCCGTCTCCATCTTAGGTCTGTTAGCTTTTTGTAAGAGCGGTTCTACTGTTGGCGTTACGACTAATTTAGGTGTATTGATGGCAGAGTTACATATCGGGTGCCAGGGTTTACCCCTCACCATTACTACATCATCTTTCTAAATATTAGTTTTGTTTATAGCAATACTACAGTTAATACACTACTGGATATATTAATATTATTGTTAATTATTATCCAAATATATTGATTAATCACCCGTTCCTATAATGGGTATGAATTAATCAAATAAATGGATAGACCTATACGTACATCTTTAATAGGCTGYTGACATCCGCCACATTTCGGTGAAAATAGTTTGTGAAAGTCTTCCTCGCAATAAGGCTTTCCTCCCTGTTCTTTGAATGTCTCGGCTGTCAATGGTTTCACACAAATAGTACAGACAAAGCACTCCGGATGCCACGGCTTTCCCATTGCTGTTATTTGACGGCCCTATTGTATGAAAATTTTCATTAATTATATTATACTCAACACAGACTCGATGTATGGTAATTGATACCTCAGCTATAGGTAGACTACAACCGGTACACTTTGGATGAAATAGATTCATATAATCTTTCTCACAATAAGGCTTTCCATTTTTCTCATAAAAGTTTCTCTCTTCCAGAGGTATACCACAAGCCGTACATTTGAAACAGTATGTGTGCCACATCTTACCCAATGCATTGATGGCTTTCTATGGATTCAATCCATAAGAAATCAATATGAAATCAATTGATAATGTTTTTTAAGCAAAGTTAGAGTACAAACATCTTTGATGGGTTCAGTGCAGACACAACACTTGGGAGAGAAGAGTCTGTGATAGTCTTCTTTACAATACGGAGAACCCAAGCGTTCAATGAAGTTATCGGTTGTCAGGATTTTACCGCATTCTACACAACAGAAACAGTTTGGATGCCATATCCGGTTCAATACAATCAGCCGATTCTGTTTTAATGATATACTCTATGTTTAATATAATTGTCTTAAATCTATAAATGATTTAAAACTAACCCCTTTAGTGGGCTTATGACAGGCAGAACAGGGCGGACCAAACAGTTTTTCGTGACACGGCTTACAATATTGCTTATTGTCCTGAACCTGATAGTTGTATGCCTTGAGAATAGTGTCACAGTTGACACAAGTGAAGCACTCCGGGTGCCACATCTCATCACATGCCGTCACCAACTGAAACATACAATATATACAATTGTTTTTAATTATACTACTATTTCATTAATTATTATCATTATAATTATTCTTATAATAGAATAACTATTTGTTTATATTTATTATATTGATTTAAATTTATAATTAAATTATGATAAATATATTGTAAGTTTTATATATATTATTTAATTTTATATGTTTCATAATTTATTTTTAACTAATTATAGTATTTAGATTAATGTAAAAAATTYTAATCAAAATAGTTAAGATTTAAATAATAATTATTAATGTATTATAATTAACTATAATTAGCGATTTAAAATTTCAGTAAACAATGACTAAATGATGAAAATACTTGTTTTAAATAAAAAATTATATTTGTAAATTATATTTATAAAACTATAAAATTTATAAAAATAGTGTAACCTTTTTAATTATAAATAGATATCATGTCATATTTTAATGTCAAAAATATTATTTTATAAAAATAGATAATTTTATAAATTTAAATCTTAACTCTTTAATGAGCTTTTTGTTTAATTTATAATTAATCTATATTTCATTTTTTTTGCTGAATCAAAGCTGAGTATTTATAGAATATTAAATATTTTAAGAATTTATATTTTTTTTATAAATATAAATAGAAAAATAAAAACTTAAAAAAACTAACCGATCCCACGATATACATTCCACAGGCAACACAGGGACCTTTGACCGGCGGTGGTGTGTATTTGTAGTCCAAGTGATGGCTGTGATACTTCATATCTGACGGCTCTTCAATCTTATCCTTAGGCGATGGTGTCCTCAGAAGTTCCACTTTGGGCGGTAGTGTCAAATGACTTGATCCATGGCCGCTGTGTTCAGAAAGCATTGGTGAACCGGTAGAGCTTCGGTCATATGAAGTTGCCGTTCGTCGAGTGGTCGTTCGGGTCGTATATGTTGTGGCCATTATTGCCGAAATAAGTCACACAAACAACAACACAATAAATAATAGATAAATAAGATTAATAAATATATATATATAAGTTTAGTTAGCAATAGACTGCATCCTTAATGAATGCAGAGTTAGGACAGATATGTTAGGATGCGTTCAGATGTACTCCTATTTGTCGATACAAACGATGGCAAAGAGTGAGTGCGCTATGACTTTCGCTAACCATTTCTTATATATTCTAATATATGTTTTTCTAATATATATATATTTTGGCCAAAAATATGACTGTTTTTAGAGCACTGGAACTAAATGTGAATCTGTTGTCAAAATTTGTAACACACGACGACCTTGTGTTGAAAATATGATATAATCATAATAATAATTATTATTATTTATTTTACTCTCATTTTTTACACCAGATCTTTAAAATTGAAAACACTATATAATTATTTTAATTATAGCTGACTATCATCTAACTAAGTAATAGATTAAACTACAATAATAATAATTAGTATATATTATAAATAATTAAATTGTAATTTATTATTTTGGAATTATTTATATAACAATTATAATTAGTTTAATATTTTTATCAAAAAATTAGAATTRTTATTTAATTTKATATTTTGATTRATATAAATTGATAATCTTAATATTAAATTTTTAATTAAATAGTAATGAAATTAARAATCTTCAAAAAAATTGTGTATCATATTTTTTATTTGATTTTTTTAATAATTTTATTTAAATATAATATAATAATTTTAAAAATCTTTAATTCTGTTAATATTTTATTTAAAAATATTTGTTTATTTAACATCATTATTAATTATATYATATGATGACATTTTAATATAAAATAAATATCGTAAAAATAAATGTAATATAAATTGAAAAATAAAATTTTACTAAATATAAAAATGAATAATAAAAAACTCAATTTGTTGTTCTCGCTTATGAATAAAAATATATTTTTTAAAATAAACACTTTAATGATGTAAATATATATTTTTTATCATTAGATTAAATCATTTTTATTTGTCTAATAATACACTGGATTTGTGCCCAAAACGCCTCTTATCGAAGTCAATGGGATTACAGTTTTGTGCAGTCATTTGTTGCATAGAAAAGTAGCTAAAAATAAATTTCATGTTTTTGTATATTTTGACATTTTTACAGCAAAGAGCCCACAATTTTTATACGAAAGAGTGTAAAGAAAGTAAAGTTAAAAACAGGACAAACCATTGAGTCTACACTATTGACTGTATTTTGATATAACCCTTAACTCATGGTTTACATATGAAAACCTCCACAACTAGTGAAATGCGAGTTTAGATCTATAGGTTTGATGTGTTTTCAAAAAAATCTAATTATAATCTCTTAACACAATTCAGTTTGAAGGGCACACTCCTGCTCTCAAAACAGTGAATCAGGAATTTCTTAATCTTATTATTTAAATGTCGGATATTTTACAATACTTTGTTTTATACATYAAAAAATTTTATTTAAAAAACATTGTTTTATATCATCACATCATAAAACAACGATGTTTTTGTTGTTAAAATAATCTTTAAAATAGTATAAAACATATATTTTTACAATATATAGTAATTTATATTTATAAAAAAAACATTTTTCATTAATGACACGAATATTAATATAAATAAATATTAGAATTTTCATCCAAAGTAATTGACTTTARTRTTTAAGTCAAATCTTAACATAAACTAAATTTAGTTGATTTGTTTATTACTAAGTCTAGAAATTGCAAAATTTTGTGTAAATAAATAAATATTCATAAAATTACATTATTTTTGTAATAATAAGTATTGATAATACTGTTTAACTTATGACATCAATAATAAGTGCCTTTTATCTTTAAAATGTAATTGACTTCAATTGAAATAAATTGAACATAACTTAATTCATTATATAATTTTTAATCAAACTTTATTTTGTTTTTCTATTTATAATATTAAATATTAATTAGTTTTAATTAATTATTTATTTATCAATTATACAATTTTTACTTATATGTAGTATAAACAAATACAATAAAGATAGTTTAATATAATAGTAATAATGTATTTGACTATAAAATTGATAAACTGAAATTAATTTAATTAACACATGAATAGTACAAATTCTAACACTTAATAATTACATTTCAATTACATTCAAATATTCTAAATATTTCATTAATTTTTACAATTTTATGAAATTACATATTAAATATACAGTATATTTCTATATCTATATTTACTGTCTATATAAATATATGTTGTTTAAAAAWTWATTAATATAATTAAATATATATATATTATTTGTGATTATTATTTGTGATTATTATCTGTAATTTAAAGTATTATATTTATAATTTCAACTATTTCTTATAAATAATGTCATACATACTTTATAATTTTAATATAATGCTAATGTCATGAAATTTTATAATAATATACATAAATATTTATTCTGTTAATATTTATTAAGAATTTTTTGTTTAAATTATAAAATAAAGCTTTATAATGTAATGTATTTATATTTGTTTATAAACAATAAAATATAAACTTTTTATATTTATTTTTTGTTATAATTATTTTGAAGATAAAAAATATTAATATTTTAAATATATATATATATATATATATATGATTAATATATTTCGTTTCAACATTTTTGCAAAGTATTTGAAAATTCTAAAAAAAGACAAACAAAGAATAACATTGAAAAAGTAATTTAATGTCTGTTTCCATACTATCCAAGCATTAAATTACTAATAATATAGTTTAAAATATTTGTAAAAAGAGAAATACATAGTGTATGTACTGTATGTATGTGTGTGTGTGTGTGTGTGTGTGTGTGTGTGTGTGTGTGTGTGTGTGTGTGTGTGTGTGTGTGTGTGTGTGTGTGTGTGTGTGTGTGTGTGTGTGTGTRTACTGTGTTTTCAAACATAAGTTTGTGATCCACTAATTGTGATGTTTGTAAGCCTTGAAATGTTTGTGTAAACCGAGTGAAATACCTTTGACTCCCACATCAATTGATTTCATCATTGGCTATAAAATATTATAATATTTATACCATACATAAAAATATGTTGTTGTCTTCAAATATAACATTTATTAAAGCGTTAAATATTTTGTATATTTCTTTATTATTTATTTTAATAGTAAATCGCTTAAAGCATTATATGTATACCATATTTGGTGAACACCTTAACAATCCATTTATGTATCCTCTCTCTCTCTCTCTCTCTCTCTCTCTCTCTCTCTCTCTCTCTCTCTCTCTCTCTCTCTCTCTCTCTCCTCTCACACAACAAATCAAATTGATTTCAGTGATTCTGTAATTATAGTATGGATAACAAGAAATTCATTGATGAAAAAATTGTCGCATTAATAAAAAACCAGAAAAACTACTATTTTTCAATATCAATGTTTATCGCCGCCAAACAAACAACGATTCCCATTATTCCTAAGAGACGCCTACTATTAATATTTTATGTTTTAGGTTAAGGGCACAGATAATGTACCAGTAGTATAGGCACCCATACTATAGATACATACAAACATACCTTTAATTTTAAACTAATTTTGGTTAGTTTGACAATTCTATCATTTATTTATACAAAATCCCAATACTCTTGCTTTCTCTCCAATCAAACCACGAATTATTTTCTAACAACAATATATTACATCCATATATAGAATATTCATTAATAATTAATTACAATTTATACGAATAAACCAAAAGGCAATCAAATACTTAAAAATAGTCTTAATGTTAGTCTCAGTTGAGACGGTCAGCAATATATGATATACTTTTTAATTAGTTTWAAAAAATATTGCTTTAAAACATTAATTTGTTAAAAATTTATTACAATATTAATGAAATAGTAAACTATTTGAGTGATAAGTGAATAATTATTAGCAGTGTATTAGGTTTTGGCTAACAATGGATGTAAATACTGTTGAATTTGAAAGTGAATTACAGTCTGGATTTAAGTCGACTTCAGGTCTGAGTGCAGTCAAACTAATATCAGGCRCCCGACAGACGGAATATCACTCACATTATCGCGAATATAATACAAAAACTAGTGATCAAACAACTGGACGGATATCACCGGTTCTCTCAGAATTAGATGAAAATGAGACACAACTTCTAAACTCAGCCGATATTTCGTCTAAATTTGATTTATCGTCAAAAGAGAAACTATTGGAAAGATATGGAGAAAAGCATTCAAAGGAAAGAAGTTCATCGCGTACTTCACGTCGGGTGAAGTTATACGACGAAAATGAAAAGTTTGATTACAATCACTTTGCGAAGATTCCCGCGTCGGCCGCCCGATCGAGATCTGTCAATAAACAGACCACTTATGACAGGCGATCTCCGTCGCCGTCACCTTTCGATCCGCGGACTCCATCACCCATTCACGTCCATTCAGTGCCCCCAAAGAAACTTGAAATATCTCCGGCGCCTAAAATTGTTATCGAAGAAGAAGGCAAACATGTCTGCAAATATCATAGCCATCACTTGGATCATGAATACTGTCCATCACCCACTCGGGGCAACTGTTTTGCATGCAAACAAAACATCATTGGCACGGTTAGTTAGTGTAGTTATAGTCATAAAAATTATAATTAATACAGTAATAATATAATAGTAATTTTTACTATATATATATATATATATATATATATATATATATATATCAAATTTAATAAAAGTATATATAATATAAAAAATTTATTGAAAACTAAATTTAGTTACTTCGGGCAATGGGTGAGATATATCACCCGGAATGCTTCCGGTGCTCTAATTGTGAGACTCAACTAAATGATGCCAATTTTAAACCATATGGTGATAAACCCTATTGCATGCCATGTTATGAAAATTTATTTGGTCCGCCCTGTACTTCATGCAAAAAACCAACACAAGATGTAAGTATTAAATATTATATTTTTAATTAATCTAAAAAATTTATTTTAATTTTTAAAATTCTGTAGAATCGGTATCACGTAATGAACCGCATTTGGCATCCGGAGTGCTTCTCATGTGTCGAGTGCACCAAACGACTCACACCCGACAACTTTGTTGAAAGGATGGGATCTCCGTATTGCAAGGATTGCTATCATAAACTATTTTCACCAAAATGTTGTGCTTGTAATCTGCCGATCAAAGATGTTTGTCGTATTCAATATTTTAATTAATTGTGATTTTAGTTAAACTAATTTAGATTTGTTATCAAATATACAGAAAGCCATCAATGCTTTGGGTAAGATGTGGCACACATTCTGCTTCAAGTGTACGGCTTGTAGTATACCTCTGGAAGAGATGAACTTCTATGAGAAGAATGGATTACCTTATTGTGAGAAAGACTATATGAATCTATTTAACCCAAAATGTGTGAAATGTAAACTACCGATACCTGATGTATGTCTATATTACTGTATATTATATATATATATATATATATTTAATGTTTAATATATTTGTTTTTTAACAATTAAAGGGTCGCCAAATTACAGTGAACGGCAAGCCCTGGCATCCGGAGTGCTTTGTTTGCACTGTTTGTGTGAAACCATTAACACCTGATAATTATCGGGAAGTACARGGAAAGCCTTACTGTGAGGATGACTACCATAAGTTGTTTTCTTCCAAATGTAATGCCTGTACAAAACCAATTACTGACGTAAGTTCCCACACATTTTCACATCAATTTTATAATTAAATTTATTTATTTTATATAAATACTTAAATTATAAAAATAATTGCTTTTACACATTTAATACATTATATTATTTGTCTTTTAATAACATTTTTAAATATTAATTTATAAATACTGTAATTAATTTTTACTACTATAAAGACACTATAAATTATACAATATTTAAATAATGTATAAAATTATTTTTAAAATAGATATTTTTATTAAGTTATGAAATTTTCAGAACTAAATAATTTTAAATTAATTATTTCTATTAAACGTTAGTTATTTTATTTAGTCTAAAAAATATTAAATAAATAATAAAATATTAAATTTAAATTAGGGAAAACAAGTAAATGCCCTTGGTAAAATATGGCATCCGAGGTGTTTTACGTGCACTAACTGTGCTAAACAGCTCAGCCCTAATAATTTTTACGAAAAGAAAGGCARACCTTATTGTGAGGATTGTAATCATAAACTATTTTCCCCGAAATGCAATGCATGTCAGCTACCAATTACCGATGTATGTGTTGTTAATATAATATTAAATGCATCGATGTTTTTAAAAAATTGTTAAAATATGTTTTTAATTATTTTTATTATATTTATTTAAAATTGACAAAATAGACTAATCAGGTGAAGGCATTGGGAAAAGTATGGCACCCGAGATGTTTCACGTGTACTAATTGTGTCAAACAGTTGAGTCCAAACAATTTCTTTGAAAACAATGGCAAACCATACTGTGAGGAATGTCTTCATAAACTCTTTTCACCCAAATGTCACGGCTGTCAGCTTCCCATCACTGATGTAAACTWACAATAAAAATCAAATATTATTTACTATTATTTTTATTTTTATTGGATATTAGTCTTTAGTGAAAGCAATGGGCAAGAATTGGCACCCGAAGTGCTTCCAATGCACCCAATGTGCCAAACCTTTGAGTCCTAATAACTTCTTCGAGAAAAATGGCAAACCTTACTGTGAGGATGACTTTCATAAGTTATTTTCACCCAAATGTTTTGGTTGTAAATTACCCATTAAAGATGTATGTATTTTGTTGTTGTTGTTAAAGTTAATTAATTTATTTTTATAAATAACTGTTTGGCCAATGCTTAGGGAAATTCAATCAATGCAATGGGCAAACTATGGCATCCACTTTGCTTTAATTGTACTGAATGTGCTAAACCTTTGGGACCAAACAATTTCTATGAAAGAAATGGTAAACCTTATTGTGAGGACGATTATCATCGATTGTTTTCACCCAAATGTTTTGGTTGTAAACTTCCCATTAAAGATGTAATATAGTTATTATTTCAATTCAATTTTATAATTAGAAAAATAAAATAAATTAATATTATTTGTTAATAAGGGTAATATAATCCGAGCTCTTGGTAAGGACTGGCACCCACATTGTTTTAAGTGTACCCAATGTGCAATACCGTTATCACCCGATAATTTCTATGAGAAAAATGGCAAACCTTATTGTGAACACGATTTTCACAAATTATTTTCACCAAAATGTTTTGGCTGTCTGTTACCCATCACTGATGTATTTAGTAATAAAAATCAATTAATTGATATAAACTAATGGGTTCTTAAACTTATAGGGAAATATTATTAGAGCAATGGGCAAGGATTGGCATCCCGGGTGTTTCAAGTGTACAGCTTGTGCTATACCACTAAAACCTCCACATTTCATGGAGAAAGATGGCAAACCTTATTGTGAAAGAGATTATAATAGATTGTTTTCTCCTCCATGTGCTGGATGTACACTTCCCATTAGTGATCAGGTTATATATCATATCATATTTATAATATTTAAATATAAATATTGATTTAACATAACAAATAATTTGTATGTAATTATAGTCAACAATGGTTAAGGCATTGGGCAAGAACTGGCACCCACAGTGCTTTCATTGCAATCAATGTCACCGACAATTGAGTCCAAATAATTTTTTCGAGAAAAATGGAAAGCCTTATTGCGAGGAATGTCTACATAAGCTATTTTCTCCTAAATGCTCTGAATGTAGTCTTCCCATTAAAGGATCGGTATGTTATTATATAAATTATATAATACAATATAATTTATTTGTTATCTAAAATTATATATTTTATTAGCCATTAGTTGTAATGGGCCGTCAATGGCATCCAGAATGCTTTAAGTGTTATGAATGCGGAATACAATTAAGTCCAAAGAATTTCAAGGAAAAGGATGGAAAACCTTATTGTTTGAAACACTTCAATGAGATGTTTCTACCAAAATGTTATGGATGTAAACTTCCCATCACTGATGTATGAATTCAAACAAACTTTTTATTAAATAAAATAATTATTTAAATAAAATATTTTGTGGTTTACAGAAAATGTTGTCAGCAATGGGACATAACTGGCATCCGGACTGCTTTTGTTGTGCAGTTTGTCGCAAACCATTAGCTGCCGATGGATACCGTGAAAAGGATGGTTTACCGTATTGTGATTACGATTATCACGCRCTCTTCTCTCCCAAATGTGGCGCGTGTCACGCACCCATCAGAGAAGTATTTATTACCAATTAGTTTTTAGTATATCATATATTAAATAAAAAATATTTTTAATAGAAATGTTTGACTGCAATGGGACGAACCTGGCACCCGGAGCACTTCCTATGCCAACATTGTAACAAACAATTAAGTGATGATCCCGAAGGATATCACGAACACAATGACAAGTCCTATTGTAGGCCGTGTTATATTGAATTGTTTGCACCTTATTGTCGGGCGTGTAATAAACCAATTGTCGATAAGATATGTGTGACCGCATTGGACGCCAAATGGCATCCCGACTGTTTCGTGTGCAGAGTATGTCATTTCAATTAATATTGTATTGTATTGTATATTAAATCAAATTATATATTATTAATAAAATCTATGCAATTGTGTGTTAATAGGACTGTCACTGTCCACTAAAGACTGGTAACTACTTTGAGTTTGAAGGCGAGCCCTACTGTGAGGAACACTTCAGGTGTAAGATGTGTCCGGATTGTGTTAAACTAAGAAGAGCTCAAAACAAATATTTCGGTCAATCGTCTCAAATAAAATTAGGCGCTTAACTAATAATTTTTTATGAATTTCAATAATTATTAATAAGTGATACTTTAAGGAGTATATATAACAAAAATTCAAGTACTAGACTATTGTCAATCAATTGGTGGTATTGCATAAAAAATTAAATCATTTTAACGACTTTTTATGTCAACTTTTATCACTAAATTTTTTAATGATATATTTTTGAATTTATTTTTACAATATTATTATAGATTTAAAAAAAACTTAACAATTTTAATTTAAAAAGTGGTGGGTTATTTAATAATTTTTTTATACGTACTTAATTAAAATAAATAATAAAATTTAATAATAAATTGTTTGTTAATTTGATTTTATAAAAATTMTTGTTAAAATTAATTTCTGTGAAAATTATTCTGTAAGTTTTATAGTTTTTAAAATTAAAATACTATAGCATTATCAACTTAGAGATCATAAGTTATGATTCATAACACATATACAGACATATACTTAAATAATAATAAAAATACCGTAAGATATAATAAAGCAATTAATTAGTAATTTTGGTCACATTTTGGTTAATTTGTCACATAATTAACAATAAATTAATACTGTATTTACTTTTTTAAGCAAATAATTAATTCATGTGACGTTATGTATGAATCCATCAATTATTATAAATGTTATGATATTTACAGTATTCATAACATTATATAATAAAAAAAACTTTAAAAAGTGTTTTAAAATTTAATTATCAAATCATTATATAAATTGATAAATATTTGAAAATAAATATAAATCAATAATATTATGTTTTAATAGCACTCATTATAATCACATAATWATAAGCAAATATGTGACAACAAGTGATTGATTTGATTGACACAACAAACACATGTTTTACAGATAATAAAGCGATGATGAGTGTTGAAGATGTGGATCAATTGACGACACAATTGAAAACATTACGTTCAGACAATGAACTCTTGCGTAAACTGTTGTCGACCATCGAGAAGACGAAAGATTTAATGACCAATCAATTAAACAGATGTCTTTGTGGACAATCACATGACACCAAATTCAAGACCAAATTGAATGTTTTGAACGACAAATATGACAGTTTGAAGATATTATTGACCACCGATTCATTTAATCTATTGACAGATGACATGATTGTCATCAAAGATCAACAAACAATCGAGTCTTCGTCAGATCAACAGTTGGATCTCTTGGACACCAATAATAGCGAGGATGAGGTGATTGGTGGCAATGAAGAAATTACTGATAATACTAATGTTATCGTCAAACCATTTACCAAAAGAACTGAAAAACCAAATATTGTTTACATAAGTATTGAAAATACTGAGTCTATTAATACACATGAAGTGGATGAAGAAGAACTAACTCAAGATATGTTTAATATTAAAGATAACCTCAAAGTACAAAAAACTAACGACGAATTTTGTTGTGATTTCGGTGACTCTAAGACTGGTATTTTGTGTGGACAACGATTTATATCTAAAGAATTACTATTAAATCATAAGAAAAGACATACGACTGAAAGGCCGTGGTTTTGTCAAGAATGTCATTATACTGGTGTCCATAGATCTCATTTAATCGGACACTTAAGGAAAAGTCATACCGGAAGATATCAGTTTTCATGTGATTGGCCCGGATGTTCATTCATGGGTTCATTCATTTAAACACATATTTAACTAATTATATACTTTTTTATTATTATATCAATATAAATATATTGTATTTATCATAATAATAGGTCCGTCACGTTATAACATTAAACGCCATAAAATAATACACACCGGAGAGAAACCATATAAGTATACAATTTTAATTCAATTGGCGATAATAACTATTTTAATTAATAATTAAATAATTTGATAGATGTAATTGGCCAGGGTGTGAATGGTCCAGTGCTAATAATAAATTAGCTGAACATAGAAAAATTCATACAGGTGCAATATTATTTATGATATATTTATTCAATGTTTACTGAACAGGTAATTATTTTTAGGTGAGCGCCCATACACTTGTTCATGGGTTGGATGTGAGGCTAGATTTAGCCGACCATTTACTCTACGCAATCACATGAGGACACACACCGGTGAGAAACCATTTATATGTGATTATCCTAATTGTAACTACAGGTCGGCCCAACAAACACCGTAAGCTATTTACTCGTTTATGTAATTATCGGTAATTGTTAACTAATTTGATATTAAACTGTTTAAATAGTCTAACGACACATAAACGAAAACATCACAATGTTTTACACGTGATCTCAGAAGAGATTATTATCTCTGATCCCAATATATTTGACGAATAAATTGTAATCAAATTTGTATTCTTGTTATTTATAATACAGTCGTAATAATTGTTATTTTTATATAATATTAATATATAGTAAATCGTCTATTCGTTGATTTTATTTAATACATATATTATTTGTTAAAATGTACAAAACTTGTGAAAAATAAATTTAATAATTATATGATATAATATATTTGCTATATATTTATATTAAATACAAATTGCAGTCAAACTTAACTGTAATTATGAAACAAATCGCAAAAATATAAGAAACACGTCTAATATATGAAGTGATAATTGACAACAAATAGTCTGAATTGATATAAGAAGTGACAGTTATTTCTTCTTTTTATTTTTCTTATTGGTTTGGCTTTGACTTTGTTGGCTCTGTTGAGAACCACTTTGTTGTGTATTAACTTTAGTTCTAGTCTTCAGTTTTGGTATCATTTTCGCCACGTATTCCAAGACCTTCTTCTTGTCGTCAAATTTGTTGCCAACAATCACTTCTTCAGTCTGTTTATTACGAATCAACGCATACTTAACATAACCTCTATTTTGTATCAACTCTTTGTCCACTTCTCTCGAATAGACTTTATTGAGATCACAGACCACTTGAAAACAGTTGAGTGATTCCAAGACATCCTTGATTTCGGTGGACTTCGGGTCAGTGACGCACTCGGTCTTAGCCAGTCTTCGGCCTTTATATAGACTTAGATTTGTGTTAATATATTGCGGATATATTATATACCACTTGTTAGCGACACCATCATCACTGGCCACCACTTCTTTATTGGTCATATTATTGTCTATTTGAATCAATTTGAGGATCAATTAAGTGATAAACACAGTGTTTGTTGAAGTGATGTGTTTTGCGATATATTGAAAGTATAATCAATTGACTCTTCAATGCAATGACACGTGTGTTGTGTTGTGTCGACACTTAAACACTTAAAACTTAGTTTAAGCGCCAGTTTTGACTCTAAAATCCTATAAATATATTGATTGTTATAAATTAATTAAATAATTAGTCAATTAATGTTATTATATCTAAAATAATATTTAACAATAAGTGCTTTAATTTATTAATTTTATATTTATTTGATACTTAAAATTGATTTCTTATAAATTTTCTATAAATTCATAATTATATTGTTAGTTAACAATTATAATAAAAATAAATTATTTTATTTATTTATTAAATTACAATATAACTAATTATTTATTAATTATTTTTAAAAATTTTAAGATGTATTATATGCATATTATTTATTAAATATTTAATAGATAATTTTACTATACATATACAATATAATTATTTATGTTAATTATATAAAATTAAGCTATAATTATAATTAAAAACTAATTTTTAAATAGAGTTATACCAGAATACTATTCTATAGTATATAAAGTTATTGTAAATACACTTAATTGTTGATTTTGTTGAAATTGTTTTCATAGAGACTCAAATGTTTCTAAAAATAATTTTATAGAAAAATCAATAAAAAATTGATTTAAAGACAGTGTAATAAATAATAAATTATATCATTTTCAAAATAGTTGACATTGGATTTTTATTGAAAATGCTATAATCAAATTAAGTTATATAAAAAATGCAAATATGACAACACATTTTTTGATATAATGAAGTTATAAATCTATTTTATATAGCAATGTAATGGTAGGTATTGTATATACTGTAGAATAACTTAAATGATCATTAGATCAGATATAAGTTAAATGTTGTATAAAAATTATTATATAAGATAAGACTAATAGATAAGATATTAGTTTTATAGATATAGCACATTAATACTACCTGTGCTGTCCATAATGAAAACTAATATAGTTTTCTCAGAAAAGTATAGTTGTATTGATTTTTTTGTTTAGTTTAATACTTTGGTAAAATTATTGATAAAAAATCTAGTGTCAGCTATTTTGAAAATAATTTTGTATTATTAAAATAACAAAAAGTTTTGTATCAAATGCATTAACAAATCATTATATCCCTGACAACCAAAATGAAGAGTTGGATAAATAATTTAAAGTTAAATAAATTTTTTACAAAAAACTCTGTTAATGAAGACATTAACGGACCAAAAGTCGGAAGCGATAGTAAAGACAATTCGGAGAGTGTTTGCTGCAGAATATGTAACTCTAAAGAGGATAACAATCAACTCTTATATAATCCGTGTTCATGTGTGGGTCAGTCGTCTTTTATTCACCGCAAATGTCTGGACGTATGGTTTCAAAAGGCTCGCTATGATGTCCTGTGCTGTGGATGTAAAGCTAGATATATACGCATTAAATACAGACACGACTCCAGCTTCAGATGTTGGCTAAGAGAAGAACCTAAAATCAGAAGACATGTTATGATTAGTGCCGTTGTATTTCCATCACTCTTTTTGCTGGTCATCTTCGGGTTCGTAAAAGCCATTCTTTCAGAAAGCGGACAGATATTCAAAGTACTATTTGTGCCGACAATGATCTTCGGTATCCTAACTCTATGGAAGTTTGTCGGCTCTTTGGCTCTCATTCTTCGAGATTATATTAATTGGAAAAATTCAAGACTTAACACAAAGTGTGATAAAAATCCTCAAAAAGAAAGTAATAAAAAGGACTGATATTATTAGGTATTATTTATTATTTAATTAATTGAAACAAAAATTGACAAAATTATCGCACATTTTATTGATTTGTTAATTGACTTAAATTATACAATATTATGATATGTTAATTGATTGTTAACACATTGACTCAAATGTTTTTTAAAAGCTCGAGTATTTAAATACAATTATTGTATTAATATATTAATATAATAATAATTATTATTATTATATAATTCATGTATAGAAAGCAACAATATTTGGTTAAACACATTATTTTTTCATTAAACTTTCATTTAAATAAAATATAAATCAAAACAATGATATAAAATATAATAAAATTAAAAAAACATTTAAACTTATTATAATAAAATTATTATATTCATACCGTATGAATTAAAATGCTTACTAAATGTAAAAATTTCATTGATGTAAACATAAGGATAAAAAATGTTGTCTTTATTGAAGCTGAGCCTTGAAGAAGTTGAGATCATGTGAAGACATTATTTTAAACTTTTCGCAGACATCGATGATTTGTTTCTTAACATTTCCAGAAAATTTTTGTCTCAAAAAATTCTTTGCAAATCGTCTTAAATAATATGAATCTCTATTATATGAACAGCCAATTGGTATGCGAAACAAACCCAACGACTCGTGAGGGAAATCTCTGGCTTTCATATGACATTCTTCTATACTTTCGGCATCTTTTAGTGTTATTTGTTTAGCAAAAAAATGTGATACAATACGTAAATTTTTGTTATAAAATGAATAGATATAGTCGTCAACAGAAATAGTGGTTTCAAAATTAATTTCTTCGTGTATTTCACGCTGAAGGGCATCAATAATGGATTCAATACTAGTTATGTCTTCATCGACAACACCTCCGGGAAAGCCTAAAAGTCCATCAAATCTTAGCTGAAGAAATGAGAAAGCATTGTGTGATTGTGTTGTGCGAAACCATAGCATACAGTGTGCAACTTGTGTCTCATCTCGCAATTTGGACAACGCCTTAGGCAGTGGTATCTGTTCCCAATCACTTGCATTACTCTCATCTAACTCATGACCACTCATTGAATCCATTAATCTTCATTAAACACTTGTCTTAACATAAAACTTAGTAACTAATAATCTGCTGAAATGGCATACAATTAAATTACTTATATGTTAAATGAAATATTCTATCAAATATATTAAATATATTCAAATAATTAGCAAACAATAAGACAAATATTTTCACCAATAAATCTATAAAATGCAATGCAATCACTTATACAATACTGTAATTTATAAGGTATATTACTGTATAATAACTTATAATTTAGTGATATATTATAATATATGCGTTATATTGATTAATAAACATAATAAATGAAATATTTTTATTGCAACAAAAATCTACATAAAAAATACCGATAATATATTTCTCTAATAAATTGTGATTAAAAAATAATAGAAATAAATACTTATATTTAATTGCTAAAAAATTCATTGTTTTCGTTAGTTTAATAATTTTATATTGTTATAAATGCTTAAACTAAAAATGAATTATTTATAAAAGTTTTGAAAATATACAAAAAATTAATTTTCTAACACTTAAATAATATTTAATACATTATAATTGGAAATTATTTAATAAAGAAAAAATTGACAAAATATATAATTTACTTTATATACTGTAATTTTGTTAATTAATTTTAAACTTATCTTTAATCATATAATAAATAAATAAATAAAAATATTAATAAATATTATATGATTATAATATGAGTGAAATAAGATATAATAAATTAAGTGAATGTTGTCTAAGTATGATATTTTGATTTACATTAAATTACATATTTATTTCTAAAACTGTGTATATTATATATATACTACAGTATATACTGTAGTATATACAGTATAAATTATACTACAGTATTATATTAATATAAAAATATTCATTTATTAATTATCAAAAATTAGATAACAATTAAATATTATATGTYATATGACACATAAAACCTATTTATAAATTTTAGTAAATTAGTTTTTTTTATACGTTTGGTTGAAAAATTTTGTAGAAATAATGTAAAATATTGATAAAATTATAATTTTAAAAATGAAAATGCGTAAATTAGCACAAAATATAATTTTTACAGTTAAATATGTAAACTATTTTTACAATTATTTGTACAGTATATAGTAAATTATAATATGAACTATAAATATGATATTACATACTGTATGTACTGTATAATACATTATTTATCAATATTTAAAACAACCTTGCATAATTTAACATACTCACATCAATCGTAAGATATTAAAAAATTATTATCATTTAATATAATATATAGAAATTATATCAAATATATATATATTATATTAAATTAATAGATTTGTTTTCTCATGTCATTAACCATTGAAGCAATTGATCCCACATTTTGTTTGCTATTAAACTGAAATACAATTTGTTATTACTTTTAACGTCAATAACAATATTATTTCTCTTAAATGTTTACAAAGGCTGATAAATACAGAGCAATAAAATCATACATAAACAACATATATATTGATTTGAAACATTGAAAATACAAGTTAAGAGTGATATAATAATTTATAATTATTCAATTAACTTATATCATATATTATTACTATAAACTATAACTGTATTATAAATAGTTACAAACTAATTACAAAATAGATTGAAAATAATAATAATTATCAGATTATCACAAAATATAGGGAAATATTGTTTTGCGATGTTTTGGATACTTATGTTGAAATGTCTTGAGATACCACTTATGAGATAACAGAGCTGCCAATGTTTGATTGACAATAACCCAAACCAACAAATATGACCACAAAATGTTAAATCCTGTGATCAAACAAATGCAGAAATAAATGATAATTTCTGCAAAATAATGAGGACATGATATCAAATCAAAGAGACCACCCATTGGTATAAAATGATCATAAGTGACAACTTTGTTGTCATCTTTTATTTTTTTAATTCTTAAATTTGCTAATATTTGGTAACTTTTAAACTGTAGATAAGATGCCACAAGAAATGCTACAAATGATAGACAACTGAAGATAATTCGGTAATTATTTTCGGTGGTATTGTTGTCATTAATTGCATGAATCAGAGCTAATCCACAGCTCAAATAAAATGCAAATCCTATGGTATATTGAATAATATTTATCTTCGTATTACTGAAGACACAAATATTCATGTTTTCATATAATCGACGACTCATTTGAACAATGATTGAAGTAATCAACAGAAGACTATTTACATTAAGTATTTGTTTGAATGAAATGTCAATTGTTGTCCCAATCAATGGAAGTAATACTTGATCCACATAATGATGACACCAATTGTTGGCATCACTTGAAAAGTGGTTAGTATTTGTAAAACAATTAGTGGTCAACAATAATGTGATAATTATTAAGTGATAGATAAGTGAAAAAATATAAAAATGTGTGAAATATTTCTTCGGTAGTGAAAGATATTTGGCCACAAATGAGTCAAAAATCTTATCGTAGGTCACATCGGTATTGTCGGCGAATCGGTCAATGAGTTTGCCGTATGTGACCAAATTGGACATCGATTTAGGTAACAGTCGGTCCAAATAAATGGTGGCCAAAGTAGTGACCAAAACACCGATTGTCACTAAAAGCCAAAACAATGTTAACAAACAAATCATTGATTCATTGAAATCAATATAACTGTAAATCTTATTAACAAATGATATGATCGATGACTGCAATGCATTGACTAATAATTAAAATGATTGCATAATTTTAAAGTATTATTCATAAACATTGTTAGAAAATATGTGTTATTGTTGTCCCCCTAACACAGTGTAATATATTTGTATATATTTCTAATAACAACCCTTAAGTATTGATGACATATGCCATCTATGATTAAACAGTCAAATGTTTGTATAATATATTGAAAGATGGCTTACAATAGTTGATTGAATGTTAATAGCGATCATTGATTGTCTTTGAATGTCTCGAAACGTTTGTTGTATGCAATCGTGTCGTAACACTAAACATGAGTTTCCAAACTTGTCTTTTCATAACTTTCCCACAAAAGAGACCCAAAGGTAGACATAAACTCACATTTAATAACTATTTTCATAAACAATACAAAAGCAGATATAGTGGCGCTAAAATTGAAGACATGGATCAACTAATTGATTATATCATATATTGTATTAATTGAATCAATTGTCATTTAAAACAGATGTCAAAAATGGGTCCAATTTTGCGACAATCAATCGATTTGGAGACTCTTTGAGACAAACGATCCAAAGTTAGAGCACAAGAGTATCTGTTCCCAACATTTTCATGACAACTCTTATAACAATCCAATGAAGAAAATMAGACTAATGTGTAATGCATTGCCAACTATTAAGGCAAACACGAAGAAGAAGAGTACAGTTACAGACACCACAGCTATAAGTATAACAGACATTGGTTTCCGTTTTTTTTATTTGATAACCGATTTTATTGACTTACAGAACCTCCGGAACCGATCGTTGTTTCGGCACAACTCTTGTTACGGACTAATTTGTCGCGTAATTGCCGAACAAATCGACCACAAAATTCAAGTTCTTTGTCAACGACTACTGACAATCGGGAAAATACATCAAATGTGACCAAAAGTAACGATGAAAATGTAATGTCTTTAGACAATCAAATAGTGTCYACACGTAAAACAAATCCCATTACTAATCATTTTTCAACACAACATACGAAATATGAAACAGAAATTAAGAGTCTTAAGGATAAACTCAAAAAATGCAAGAAACAGGTCATGAATTTAAGATATCGGTCAGTCATATCAAATGTCATCAAATGTTTTGTTTAATGAAATAAAATTTATTGCAATTAACTTATACTGTATATCATAGACTGAAGCGAACAGAAGCCATAGGAAACTCRCAGAAATCAAAATTAAATTATATTTTGAAGAATATTAAAAGTCTGAATGAAGAAGAATTGAATCCAGTGTTGTCTGAGATAATTCAATCTAATTTAAGTAATGCTTTTATTGCAAAAAGTCGCTCTCAGAAGTGGTCCAATTCAATGAAGAAGTTTTGTTCAGATATTTACCATAAGAGTCCATCCGCTTATAGTTTGTTGCAAAAGACAATGACTTTGCCGACAAAGAAAACAATTAACAAATTTTCTGAAGATAACAAACAAATGAAAAATAAATGTGAAACAATCACTCAAATAGCTTACAACACAAATGTGGATCAAATAATTGACAAATTTTCTGAACAACAGGACATAAATTCCGAACCAATTAATACAATATCATCTGATAATACAATAACCATTGATTATACAGTATATTGATATTATACTGTATATATATATATGATTTATTTTGTTTATATAATGTAGAAATATAAGGATGTTTGATATTTATGATTTACAAATATGAATATGCGATTTAAATCAATGAAAATCTAATTGACTATCAATTAAATACCATATCTTGACTTAAATTAAACAAATGTAAGATTTTTGTTTTGTTTATTATTTTAAAACTTTATTGTATTAACAAATGTCTGTACAATATGTATTATATATCTAAAAATAAACATTTTTCATTTCAAATTATATTAGTTGAAGTGTTATATAAATTTCTTATATTCAATATATTAATAATCATTAAATTGAAAACAATATTACACAGTAGAAATTTTTTGAAGTGCAGTTAAATATATATATATATATATATATATAAATTTATTTTATTGTAAAATTTATACAAAATGAATAACATTTCTACGCTTAATATTTCGGAAAATGAAATTGTTTTCAACAATTCATATAATAATACCATTTATGGCGAAAATATTCGTGATATTGAGGCTCCTATTCATAGGTTTCAAATGATTAAAGTGATTGTTTTGGCAACTGTTATGACACTTATTTTAATAACATCGTGTAAATCAATGATTAGTGTTTTAAGTAGATATGTCACCAAACGATACTAAATGGAGATAATAAATGAGCAATAATTAGAAAAATGTATTAATTTATAAACAAATATATGACTTTTCAAAAATGTAAGTAAAAAATTATTATAATAAAAATATATAATACAATTTTAATTTATCATGTTAAAATAATTCATGTTACAAATGTTAGTTTTTATATAGATATTTGATAATTTTTATAATATAGAAAACAATAGTTTAAGATAATTTACACAAACAAATTTTACTCAAAAATATACTAATATTTTAAATTAATTTATTACAATATTTTTTATTATACATTTGAAGGCACTCTTTGGCGAATTGTTGAAAATATATTGGATATTAAAATTATTTGAATAAATCATATTGTTACATTTTGTATTAATATATATATATATATTGGTATATAATTATTCATTATATTAAATTTTTAAATATAAAATAATGTTTATTATGCTGACTAGCTAATGAGTATACAATGTACTGAATAATATGTATTTTTTAAATTGATTAATTTAAATTTCATATTATAATAAATAATTAAAATTAAAACAATATATTACACAAATTTTTAATAAAATACAATTTTATGCAATTTTTAAGTAAAAAAATCAAGAGATGCTAAGTTATTATTATTAGTGTGATTATTATTATTATTATTATTATTATTACTATTATTATTATTATTATTATTATTATTAGGTTTTTCTCTATTAATTTGAGAGTCAGTTTGAGAGCCGGACGACGACTCGACATCAATGGTTGGCTCTTCTCTGTTGTCTATTTCGGTTGACTTTCTTTGTGGTTGAATAGGAGTGTCCTCACCATAATTGGTTGCACTCAAGAATCTTATATTAACAGCATTTGGCATTGAATTGTCTATTGATTGACTGTAAAGTTGACAGCAACTGATTAAATCAAATTAATTGAATAAAATATTATTATTGTTAACACTTACCCCGTATTATAAAAACCACAAGAATTAAGTGGAGATGTATTTGACGGAAATGTATTGAAATCATAATTAGGAAATGACGTCCAGTTGTTGTCAAATGTGTTGGAAAGCATTGGATTTTGCATTGAATTCATAGTATTAGAGTTATGGGTAATTGAGTTGAGATTAGGTGCCAGCGATTTAGTCAAAGTGGCCAAATTGGATGCGGCACCGGGTGTTGGATGAAGGAATGACTTACGGGGCGGCTCTCGCTTACGCCACTTAGCCCTTCGGTTCTATCAATGCATTAATTTTTATTAATTTGATATTTTTTGATTAATCTCAAAATATAATTACCTGAAACCAAACCTGAACTCTGGATTCACTTAAATTAAGCCGAAGTGCCAGTTCTTCGCGTGCAAACACATCAGGATATGGAGCTCTTTGGAAGGCGCGCTCCAATTCCTCCAATTGATAGGATGTAAAGGTTGTCCTAATTTATATAAATAAATACCGAGTGATCCAAGTGTTCACAACATAAAAAATAGTGACTTTTTAATTAGTCATCATTTTATGTGGCAAAACATCTCGGATCACTCGGTATTTATATACTGAACAATGATTTTTAATAAATTATAAAATTATATATCAAAATGAAACAAACAATTAAAACAAATCTTAACAAAATTATCTTATATTAATTAAATTATATCAAATCATGAAATAATAATTAAACAAATGTTAATAAACCAATTAAATAATAAATAAACCAATAAAAATCATATCCCATGTCATATCATTTTAAATATAAATAATATAAAATAAATTAACTGAATTGTAAATTTTATAATATAAACAATTAAATAAATAAATAATAATTATTTTAAATTAAATATAATAAAAATTAATCGATGCAGATAATATTAATAAAATGAGTAAATTATGTAAAATCATAAATTATTAAAGTTAATAAATTAAAAAAATAAAAATATTATTAAAAAAAATAATCAAAATATTATTTAAAAAAAACAATCAAAATATTCTTAAAAAATAATCAAAATATTATTTAAAAAAACAATCAAAATATTATTAAAAAAATAATCAAAATAATTTATAAACAATATAAAAATAACTGAATATAAAAAATAATAAAAACAAACCTGGTCTTTTTCTTTTTATTAGAGCCATTGGTATTTACATTATTTGTATGGCTATTACTAGTTGTGATATTATTTTTGTTACTATTATTAGCATTATTTGCATTATTAATATTATCGTTAATAATATTATTTGTGGACAACTGTTGCAATTTGCCGGAGCTGTCCATTGAGTTGATATTTGTACGTTTTTGAAGCTTACTATTGGCATCTGTATATAAATTAGGTTTATAAGTAAGTATAATGAAGAAATATTTATGTTAATTTAATGAATTGGTTATTAACTAAATAATAGTAATACTGTATGTATTCAATAGTGAAATTAATTATTTTAAACAATAGTAAAGAGGAGTATAACAGATATTATATTCATTTAATTTTTATATAGAGTACATATGGCTTACCGTATATAAAATCTCGTGAATAAAATGTTGAAACATTAGGTAATGTGGGAGGACTGGGCTCTAAACGATGCAATAATGTTGAGGTACCAAAAGTGTTTGTCGTATTAAAAAATGAGGAATTTGTGGTCGATTGTATGGGTAGTATAGATGGTTGCTGGTAAAAGGAGGACAGGGATATTGAATTGGTTGTGTTAGTACCACCGGTAATGGTTGGCATGGGTTCCAACTGGTGATGAAGTGTTGGCTCCGACACTATCTCTGAGTGATCGGTCTTGTATTGAAGTGATGCTATATTTAATTTTGTATAAAAATGATAACAACAAATATTATTAACTTAAAACAATAGTTATACTTAAAAAATAAATACTATTTAAATTATTTCTATTGTATTTAACAATGATAATAATTTTAAGAATTAACTTTCATGTAAATGTTTTAGTTTATTGTAAATGTTTAGTATAACTTATTATAATTGGCTTAAACTTATAAACTAAGAATAAAGTTAATTTATTTAAATTAATGTATATATATATTATATTAAATAAAATTAATTATAACAATTGTATTTATATATAAATTCATATATATATAAATATTATTTAATTATTTATTATATTATTGATTTTGATGAAATTAATATTATTAATTAAATAAAATATTATTATAAGAGATATTAACTTTATTTCAATTATAATATTCCTTATTATCTCTTATTAACACAATTGTAATCAGCGATAAATAGAGGAAATCTAATTGATTATGTGTTAACTAAATCGAGTCTTATTTAATTTAATTTAATTTAATACAAACTCATATATTTATTAATAAGAGTTGATTATATAATTTTCTCAATTAAAACTAATTAATTGCAATCAATGAAAAAATAAATCAATTTTTGTTACTTACCCATTATATATAGCAAAAATTTGTAATTTTTACCCAAAAAAAGATATGACTTTTTAATTTTCGATAATGTGTTTAGAAATGACGGAAAATATTTAAATCTATTGCTATATATGCGACCAATTGTTGGTCCCAAAGCCAACGTCCCATTGGTTAGCCAATTGGTTGGGCTCGAGAGCATATACTATGCAACAGTATGAATAACAATTATTAAGTTAACATTATTGTTATAACTAACAAATGGGTGGCACCGGGATCTATAGGGCTAACCTATTGCTTGACACTTGTTCTCCTCATCGAACATATTGATGCTTATATTAATAATAATAAAATTGATAACTGCTGTATCATATTTATTAAACATTTATTATTGTTATAATTATACATAAAATGTTGTTTTCAGATATATATGGGTTATTTAAGTCATATTTAAAGAATTATAATTTAATGATGAGTATGAAACTTACATTAAGTTAACATTACATTAAAGATTTAATTAAATTTGTTTATTTCTTGTATTTTTAATATCAAAATTTAAAGTGCATTATATTAATTAAATTAAGCTTTTATTACTAAAAGTTAGTTAATATGTTAATTACGTAAATAAATAAATAATGAATATTTAGTCTATAATTTTTAATATGATTTTTGTGAAGTACTTGAAGGTAGACACGTGTTTGCAATAAGATTGTAGAATAACATGAAATTTTACGGATGACTGATGTGTAGCGCGCGTACCGCGTGTGCCGTCTCTTTAATGTTGATCTGGTTTGTTGATCTCCACCCTATTATTAAGCACTGGTATGAGTGCTTCAACTATTCATGAACTTGTTTTATATGTATGTGACTGTGGACTCTATGAGCTCAACCATATCATTGCATTTGATGGGATAAGCGATTATCTGATGAATGAATGAATGTATTATAATAATTATAATTGTTAAGGAAAATGATATTTTATGGGAATTACTGTTATTTTCTATACAACTATTAATACTAATATTGTTATTGTTGCTGATTATCCTGAGGTTTACTTTCAATTATATTACTCTTTTTATGTCAGATTACAAATACAGTATATGTGAAAATATATATGTATTTTTCTATAAGTTTCAAATAAAAATAATTCACATTTTATGAAAATAAAAGATACTTTATTTTAGTCAATAGTATAAATTTGGTAAATGTAGAAATTTTCAACATTCAGCATATATTTTTATTATATATGCACTAACAAATTAAAATTAATTATAAGTAAATATAGTCTAATAATTTTTAACAAACAGTGATGAATAACATAAGGGTTCGTCAAATAGGAAAAGAGCAACAATTGTTGAATACAGTACTGTATATCAATTGATTTATAATGTCATCATTTCCTTCAATTAACTTCAATTATCTCATCAAATGATTAGACAAACGGATGGGCGCCTCTATAATAAAACTATCCTATAGTTTTGGTGAGATATTGTACTATATTTAAGAGCCATTGCTTGACACTTGCAATTGAATATATTATTGCTTTCAAACGCTTCATTAAATACTATATAATATAAACTCACTTTCTATGGACTAAATATAGACTTTTATGTAATTATAAAGTTTTAACATAAACTTTATGCCAGACTTTTATCTATTCATGAATTCATTTATTCGGTTTTAAAAAAAACATATTGTGTGCTAAAACAATAAATGATAAATATATATATTTAATTTATACAGTATATTGCTAATACTGTACATGTGAGAGCAATATATTAAATAATAATATATTAAAAGCAAAATTTACATAAATATTAGTCTTTAAAATTAACAAATATCATTATGTAAAACAAAAAAAACAAATTGTAATCTATAACTAATTATAGGCATATAAAAAATTAATTAAAATCTATAATGTATTGTATTTAAGTCAATGTTATAACTACTGGGACATCCTATAGAGTACTTTAGTACTACAGTATAAGTACAATATAAAGGAAGTAACAAACAATGCTAAATCAAAATTTGTATATTTAATATACAGTGATATTTATAATTATAATAAAATGTAGTTTTTATTAACACAATAAAAGTTATAATGTTTTCATTTACCGACAATTATATATAAATTTAAGGACTTATGTCATGAATAAAGTATAGCAGACAGCGATGTTATGTCAAATACTGGGACCACAATAGGTTACACACTCTACACGTGATACTCACTCTCACTCTTGACAGTGCTCTCAATAATCCCACACAACAGCCCTCTTCTCACCCCAAAACTAACTGTCCGTTTGTGCGAATCTAACAAAACATGAGTATAGTTATCACAGAGATGTTTACGATAACATATTTCCCAGGAATACCCACTGAGACTACTTATGGCCAAACAATTTGCATAACACTCTCCACTCATAATTAACCGTTATTTCTCATAAATGTTTAAATGCACTATATTTTCAAATAAAACATTAATATTAAGAGAATATTATCAATCAATTTTAGATTCAACTTAAAAACAATTAAGTAAATTATAATAATAATTATCTAAATAGATATTATTTATTAGAGTTAACGAAAATAATTGTTTATCTGTTAATAATAAGCTAAACATAAGTTAAGAAATTAGGAAAACAATAATTTATAAAATGATACCATTATATTATATAAATTTATATATATATATAGATATTATTGAAAATTTTAATGTTTTTTAACGGCAATCTGTGCGGGAAATTGCAACTCTTGTTTGGTCTCGGATTTAGACTTCTTCTTCTCCGACGATTCTTCTTTCTTCTCGGGCAAAGGCATCCTAATCTGCACCGGTATCTGACGTTTGTTCCGATTATGACTACTCAAAAAGCGTGACATATCTGACGATTTAGTTGATTCATTGTCCCAATCATCGTCGTCGTCGTCTTCGTCATCATAATAGTCATCATCATCTGGTGAACCATCCGAGTCATTGTTGTCTTCATTATCATATTTAGGACTTCGAGTCTCTTTTATTAGTTTTAAATTTATAACAAATCCAATAAAAATACAAAAAATTAATACAGTTTTTAACATTTTTTGTGCAAATTTGATATCTAAGAGAGCAATTTTGAACAATATTTATATACTTATATATATTGTAATTTTAATAGACTATAAATGTGTTTAAACATTAAATTATATGAAAATATTGAGATAAAGATGCAAATAATGATATTATGTTGATTTGTATCAAAGTTAACTCAAAGTGATTAATGAATTTTCAATAAAGTTTTTTAATAAATGCTTAAACATTACTCTTTTATGTTATGTTTAATAATAAATCATTATTATGATAAAAATGTTTATCTAGATAATCAAATCAAAATTATTTATTTAAATTTTTAATTAAATAATAATAATGTACACGTTGCAAGGTCAGTTAAAATTCGTATTAAATATTAGTGGATTTACAATATGATAATTTTTATTTAATTATTATTGTGTTATTAGTTTTATTTGATTTAAATGTTTGATCAAATTCTTTAATATAAATTTATATTACTTAAAGACTTTAAAAATTATAAATGTTTAATGAATACATAATATTATCACACATTTGTCACTCAATTTCATTATATTTCTATACAACTCATTCACTCATTTACTTTTTCACTGTAATTGCTGTATAACTTTAACATAGTTTTGCAGAAAAACTTATGATTAGTTTTAAGCTAAACTACTGTATAATTCTATATAAAATAATAAAAATCATGATTTAAATATAATTTTAGCTAATATTATTAGATTTATATAAAGACATCATTTTTAATAACTGAAGTGAATTAAATCTAACGTTTAGATAATGAGATTGATATATAAATTGCTAATAATATGAAATGAATGCAAGAGATGGCAAACTCTGTAATATTGCAATACTTGTATAATGTCTTGTATTGTACAATACATGTGTACTATACAGTAGAGTCTATTAATACAATATATTTGTTAATTTTAATTATTTTATATTTAAGCAAAAAAGTTATGACATTTAAAATAATAAATGTTTGTATTTTATAAAATAATAAATAAGTTTTAATATGTATTGATTGATGGATTCATATTTATTAATTTTTTGTAATAAATGTGATTACAGACAGCTATTTTCAATGTATGAAAATGTCAGTTAAATGTGAACATAAAAATATATATTTAATTTTGATATATTGTAACGAAAAAGTAATATTTGATGAATGCATATAATTATATAATAAATTTATAATAAAATATCTTATTATAAAATTTATTGATATATTGTTGATATGAGAGCACATAATTAAAAAATATTTTAATTTCACTTACAATTAATATGAATTGTCATCGAAACTCATGTCATTTTATTTTAATGTGAAGTTATTAAACTTACAAATTAAACTTAAACTTAAACTGTTAGATAAATAAATATATAATACTTTAAGAAATTTAATTATTTTATTTTTAAAAAATATTTTAATAATTATAAATTAATTTTGCCATAAACTATTTAAAAAATATTTATCTCAAGTTTTAAGACCTTAAAAATACAGTATAATAATATCATAATTAAGAAACATTTATTTATAATTAAATTATAACATATACAGTAATTATAATATCTTAAAAGACACATAATTACGATAATTTTGACTTATAAATAATTAATTTTGAATGTAAAATTTAAATAACAATTGTTATAATTATTTAATTAATTATAAATATTATATACTATAAGTTGAATTTACTTATAAATATAAATTGCGGTAAATTAATTTATTTTAAAATATAATTTTTACTGTAGTTAAGTAATAAATATTGTAAATACATTATAATTTATCATTAGTTTAAAAATTTTCTCAAATTTTATTTGAAAAATATTATTATTATTAAAGATAATTTAATATCACTATTTATTTATAAGTCATATAATAATTTTTTTTGCAAAAAAAGACTACAAAAATTTGTTTTAATGTAAAAACATTTTCAAAATATTAACTTTGAATTAAAGAAAAA